GGTCGCTTAAGTAGCAGCGACAAAGCATGTAAGACTCGTATGATCATGGTAAAAGCCAGCGAGCACCATACCCCCATCTTCAATTTCACCGTCTGCAAGGGAAAAAATGAGGCCCCCATCCACAAAAAAAAAGTTTTTTCTCCAAATTGCCATTAATCAGGATCTTCACATAGGCTCGTGTATTGTTGCTGCTGTACTGGGATGCATATTGGGTTTCATGCAGGACCTCACGCAGTAGGTATAGCTAGGTAGGGGAGGGGCTTATCTGCGTCCCTCCCGCCTGAGTGTTTCTGGGACGTGCACGACGGTACCGTTGTTGGTAATGGTAAAGGACAGACCTTATGGAGGTGTTACGCCGACCCTCTATTCTAGCTAGCTAGCAAGTAAGGCATTTCGGCAAGGGTTATTATAATATATCCTTCGAGTAGAGCAAACTGAACATTAGCCTTTACCGAGGATCCCGGCCGATCGAAATTTCGTATAGGTATTGATTGTATTGGGAACCACCACGTATCCGAAGATGCCAAAGAAAGGGGGGAACAGCGAAGTGGGGAAGGGGAGAGACGGATTTTCGGGACCCGTCTAATCTAGATGGATAACTAGATCTGCAAGCTCCTCGGACAAGTCAGATACTGAGGTTTTCCTGTCTTCCAAGTACGTAGTTTTCCGGGCCGGAAAAACCATACAGCTAAGCTAAGTGTTAGCACTGAATACTATATCTCGCTCTACCTCGGGCCAGAGTTGTTTTCGAAACCCCCAAACAAGAAAAAGAAAACCTACCTACATAGCGGGGCCCCGCTAGCTAACCAAACAACACTATAGACTCGAAACAACACTCCCCGACTGGTGGTATTCCATAACGAATCGTGTACGTAGAGTAAGCAAATCTTAGCTACCGGAACACCCCCTTGCCATATTCGTGAAATCAGCATTTGAAATTTCATAATAAAACAAATTCCAGGCCGAGTCACCGTGAGATTTTTAACTTTTTGGACCGGTCCCTTGTAGTGTTCGTCGGCGTTTATAGGCACCCAATATTGCAAACCACTTTCTCTAAATTCCTCCCATCATTCCAGTTGGGGGCCTAGCAAGCCCTGCCCCCACGTACAACTACTTTCGATAAACAACTCTCCATTCTTTGCCCCTTTTGATTGGCCTTCGGCGACTAGCCCCCACTTTATCCCCCCAGATAATCACGAACAGAAACCAGTCAGTCACTCCACAACTTAAAGAACGGATTTCTTATGCCAAGTCTCATCTTAGTAGAGTACCTAAAGTCGAATGCATAAACGAATGTAAAAAGAGGGGGGAAGCCTCATCCATCTGACTAGCCACGATCGATTTGAGCGAACATTTGTAAGGAAGCCCTTCCTTGCAAGTACTGGCAGATTAGGGGGAAATGTAGATGAATCAGATCATAAAAAGTTTATCCTACGCCTCAGCCCAGAGCTAGTCTGTCATATCATTTTTTCTTTCTTTCGGGGAAGAGGGGGCCGCATATGCCCGGTCCGGCCGAAAAAACTTGCTTGGAACAGGAAACGGAAAATGAAAAGAAGAAAAAAAGGTCCCAGAGCTCTGGGTGCTGTGATACGATCATCAAAAAGAGGATACATAACAGAAACCTATTTTGACCAAATAGCCAGGTTATGTCGAATCACAACCATATATATCCCTTAGCGCCTGGGCGTTAGAGTAGATAGATAATACCCACGTCCTATATCACAAGTCTCTCATAATATCAAAACCAATGATTGTCTCAACCAAATTCCTTTTCAGATCTAATCCGAAGAGCGCCCACCGGTTACGGCCGACATTTCCCCCTCAAAATTGTTTATGATTTAGAGGTACAACCTATACTATTTGACCAAAATATGTAAGTCGTGATCCAAGGATTAGTTATCGAGGCTGTAACAGTAACATGAAGTTTCCAGTCCAGTCACCCCACCCCCATTACTTCCCCGGGGATGACATGGTTAACCCTGACCCCACATGCGATTCGGTCCTCAGCCCCAAACACCAGCAGCACATTCAGCCTCCTCGAGGTACATACATAGGGTCAGGAGGAGGGGGAACTCACCTCCTCTCCCAACCACCAATCCCCCCAGCCGGTGGCACGAAATAAGAAACGCAGCTCGGTACCAAAATAACACAATCTGCATGGTTCCAGAAGGACCCCATTCCAGCGAACCAAAAGAGCCCCCGATATTACTTTTTTTTTGCCTAGCTAGGTACACGTTCTGGGAAGGGAAGGTGCTTCAACGGCTCCCCCGGTGAGAACTTTATTAGCAGCCCCAATAGTGCAGGATGCATGATGCAGCCCTGCAAGAGGCTCTTTTATGAAGCGAGCGGGGGGGGAGGATGATCATGATCAAGAAGGAAAAATGCCAGCGAAAAAGAAAAGAGAGGTGACGGTAGTTTTTCGTGGTGATCCATGAAGGATTACAGAGTGAGACTGATCTGCTCACGGAGTTCGGCGAGATATGCGAGAAATTGTCTGTTATGTACAGTAGCATGTAGCACTAATATGGAGGGAGAGGTGGAACTAACTAGACTTGATCGTGAGTTGGCCTCTTCGACTTCATTTTTTCATTTGCTTGAGCTTAGGGTGAGACAGATCGTTAGAGTAATTGTATCTTACTCTAGCTACATGTACCATGTCTTGTCGGCCAGTTTATGTAGGTCTAGTACCTTACAGAATCTCTTACACCGGTAAATCGTTAATGAGATCTGGATCGAATGGGGTTAAAGTGAAAGGGACAACAAAGAAAGAGAGAAAAGAATTTTTCTTTCTCGAGATGTAATTTCGTTTTCCAGAGACAGGACGAGAGCATGGCATGTGCTCTCGCTTGATACAAGCAACTGCCCAGTACGGGCCGTCTAGAGTAAGCTTCCCATAAGCCCTATGATATTTCCAGGGTGGTGCCGCCAATAAGATGATGTGTCTCGCTCGGTCTAGCTCGGCATGTTGTAGGTAAGACTACCTGAGGTCACAACTGGGGTTAGTAGTGGCCTCTAACGTTAAACTACTAGGGCAGCGGAAGCTGCCAACGCCGACGGACGGCAAGAAATAAAGGATGATGATGAATGCGGCTCTGTCTGTCTGTCTGTCTGTCTATCATATGTAGCATACACATGTCTATCTGCAGAGCATTTATTGTCACGAGGCGGCGTAGTAGGGCATTGAAGATCTATCTGATTCTGATTCTGATTCATTAAGAGGCAGTTTGTTGTCTCCTTAAGACTACATGGCATTGTAGAGTACCTCATACCTCGAGACCCCTGTTACTCTAGAGTCGGTACTAGACCTACTCTAGATCGATACAGTTACATGCATGAGTACATGTACCTACAAAGCTACTTGCTTGCTGGCCACCAAAGAGAGAAAGAGAGAGTCATACCTACATCGTTCTTTCCCTCGACTTCCCTTCTATGTATGCTGTCTAAGGTACATGTGGGCACTCTAGCTCCCTCTAGGCCCCCAAGATAATTAGCCGCGTTCTCTCAGTACACACCTCAGACTCGACCTCCCAACGTCCAGGCACCAACCTACATACATACATGTAGTGAGCACATGTACTTCTACCTAACACCCACTGAGCTGCCCTGTAATTTCCTCCCGATCCACGCAGCAAGTCGGTCTGCCGCAATGAACATACATCTCTAGATTCTTGGAATGTAACTAAGTACGCATAAGTACGCATAAGTACCGGTAGTTCAACCAAACCGAAGCTCCAGCTAACCGCGGTAGTTTTCACTACCCCCTTCCTTCCTTCCTCCACTCCTGATTCCCGCAGACGCCTCTCTCTATTCATTCCCCTATGTATCTGCTCTACATACGTAGCCGATCCCGTCCCATCGGAAAAAGTGATCTGTTGCCATATTTGCTTTTCAGGGCGCTTGCTAGCTAGCTAAGCCGGCACAACCGCGCCTGGAACGCATCCACATACATTGTATCTGTGCCGCACCTGAAACAGTGGATTGGGACCAGAAAAAAAATTAATATGTAGAGAGAGAAATCTGGCCCTTGCGCCAGAAGAAAGAGATCAGCAGTACATGGCGGGAAAATTTAAAGAGTCTAGACGTGCTCGAACTTCTCAGGCCGCCAAGATCCGATCTGCTCCATGAACCATCGCGGTTGTGGCTGCGGCGAGACCGCTCGGCCCGACGGACGGTGTATCGATGCGATCGCGGTTGTGTGTGTTATTTTCCTTCGGAGGTTATATGATGCCGTGGGGGAATGAGGGGGAAGATTAAATTAAAACAGGACTCTCGCTCCTCCTCCTATGCATGCATGTAAGTCAGCATGAATTTTGAGCTTAATCCAGAATATCACTTTTGTCGGAGAGGGGCCCGAGAGTTTTCTTTTTTTAAAAGCTGCTAGTATTTATCTAGATAGTGTTTGTCCCATTTCCATATACATGACAGTTGTAGAATTTGGAATAAACCAGCGTACAAATCTGCCTCCTCCAAAATTGAGATAGAACGCCCGCATAGTAAGAGAGAAAAAAAACAGATGACACAGATTCGCCCAGCTTAGCCAATAAGCGAGCGAGAAGTGAAGTGACAAAAAACCGACCCACCCGGCCCCCGTATCCTGATTTTTTTTCCAACAAAAAAAACTAGACAAAAGAAAAAACCAGATCTTGTAAGAAAGATAACTATAAACAAAAAAGATATTGTAAAAAAAGGTCTTTGCACCTACTTGTCAAGCAAGCAGGTTGGCAGATAGAAGAAGAAGTTAGTCGTAGAAGCGAACGTGTAAAAACAATGATGCCGGCCATATATAAACAAAATCAGATCCCAAACCCAGTTAAAGGAAACAAACACAAGAAAAATGCACCAGGCCCTCTATGATACGATACTCCCTGTAATCGCCCAGCAGAAAGAAAGACAAAAAACACCCAATGGTATATATAAAACAGTAAATGGAATCAAGCCAAAAACAAAAGAAATTAGACACTAAGAAAAGAAGGGAAAATGTGGAGAGCAGAAGCTCTGCATCACCACATGGTAGTTGCAGCTTTCTGAATAGGAACGATATCAGAAAGCGGCGGGAGGTGTGAAGACATGCCGTTGTCGTAGTGAGCTGTTCGCAACTGTGAGTCGTAGCCCATGTTGGAGAAGACGTCTTCCCGCTGCTGTTGCTGCATTGAGGTGTAGAAGCTGAGAGCTTGCGAGTTCCATACGATTGGCTTGTTCTTGTTTGCTCTGGACGCGATGTCGACTCTCTTTGGGCAGCCATCATCCTCGTGTCTAATAGGAAAATGTTAGAAAATTTAATTCTAGAGGCTATAGAGTTGCTGCGCGTTCTTACCTTCTGAGAGTGTCCTTGCGGGCAAACATGTTGTTGCAGAGCTCGCAGCGGAATTTCTTCTCCTTTGCGTGGACCTAAGAAATCACTATTAGCTGATGCAGCTCGACCTCAGACTAGTAATAGAGAAACTTACACAAGCCTGATGTCTAGTCAAGTCCGTCCTTCTTACGAATGCCTTCTTGCACTCCTCAACTCTGCAGACATGGGGTCTTGGCCTATCCGGGTCGTGGGTCTCCAAGTGCGCGTTGTAGTTCCATATCCTTGAAAAGTATTTTCCACACTTGTTGCAATGGAAGTTTGCCTCGCTGGGGTCCGTCAAGCGCCTCTTCTTCCTGTCCCTCGGCGCACCTGATGGAGCTGGAGAGCCCTCATAATGGCTGTGCATGTCCACTACTGACGAGATATCCGCGCTCCTGGCCCTCTTCATGGCGCGGATGCCCAAGCCATGGTCCTGAAACTCGTGGTCGTCCATAAACCCGCTTCCCATCACTGGCATGTTGTGGGGGTCCTCGGCGCGGAGAATATCCTCCAAAAAGAGCGGTGGAGGAGATGCAGCGCCGGCATGGCCTTGAAGCATGTTGGTGTCGTTTGACATCCAGATGCCGGGAAGGCTGGGGTCCATTGGAAGCTTGTCTTGCGGGTCCTGCTGGTACTGATGGTTCATGGGAGACATGAGGCCTTCTGAAGCTGGAGGTGATAGAGGAGAGTTTGAGCGGTGGTGATGGTGTTGGTGATGGGTGTGGTAGTTATCGGATTGCATGTGTGTGAAGGAGTGCTCCTGTTGGGGAGGAGATGGCAATGAGTGGTGAGGTCGGAGGTGGTCGTGTAGTGAGCGCTGGGGGAGAGATGGAGAAACTGAGTGCATGCTTCTAGGATGAGACTGGTCTCTTGTACCTCTTGACCAAGAGTCCTGAGACATTGGAGGAGTGTGGTATCCCAGTGGTGATGAATGCTGAGTCGGTGTGTATGAATGGGGTGAAAGGTGAGAAGCCATATGTAATGTATGATATTTGTTCCTTTTTTCTTTTCTTGAGGGGGGTGGAGGCTTGTTATGTAACTTTAGTTGGTTCCTTGGCTCGTACAGTTATATATTGCTTTTTGGTAGCCAAAAAAAATAAATGGATGTGGTAGGTTGTAACCAGCTGCTGCACTGTTCACCGGATATTGAGGAGGAAGAGGGAGGTTGTAGGTAGATATCTATACTGGAGAAAGCTCTGAATATATCCCTTATTGCAGGAATAGCTATTGAAGTGGGAAATATCGTCGAGTTTTAAAGTTCGAGGCTCAACGGGATGATTGTGCGTGTGCTTCTTGTCACTTGCTTGCGAAAAAAAAAGAATGCGGGGAGATTCCATGGAGTCATTTTGTAGTTGAGCACCTACATACTGCAGACCCATAAGGCAGAGGGCAGAGGGGGGGTGGTAGCTAGACATGGTGGGCTGGGTAGGTACCTTCACCGGAATTCCCATGATGGATGGGGTGGTATCGAGCCAGTCGGTAGTGAGTGGTCGTGCGGCGGGGTCCGCGAGCTAAGTTACCTTCCTTACCAACCCTACATACCTTCCCTGCCCTACCTGCTCTACTCAACCTACTCTACAAACCACCCCCCCCCCCCCCTTCCTCCCCTGCCATTACCCGTACACATCCACTAATTTTTCCCATAAGAACAGGATTAGAGACAAGTCCGGGTCAGGCACATTTTAGGAGCCAGTGCTGCGACCTGGACCTGGCCCCCAAAATTCCTGGAACCAGTGTGAGTGTGAGTGAATCTCAGTGAGTGCTTTGGACCAAACAGCGCGGTGAATGTTTCGCGCCGGGCGTCAATGCAACCCCCACCAGGCGAGACCCACATGCACGCGTTAGACTAAAATGCGGACGATTCAAACCCGCACACCCCCCACCCCCCAAAATCCATTTGTTAGAGTAGCGAAGTTCACTGCAACACTCTAATTCAAGTTTTCGCTCACTCACTCACTTCGACTCTAATTGTAGGTTATACATGCTCGATTCATAAGTCATAATATTCTGTTCTCTTGGTATTTCACTACAATCTTATGCCCTCCCACACACACACACACATACACACATACACACATACACACACGCACGCACGCACATCGCCCAAATCGTACACTATATACTTACATCCCTTTTAAAGCCAAAAGCTCATCTAACTTGCGGCTCATATCCTCAATCGCAACTCTCAGTTGCCGAATCTCGTCGTCCCTAGCGCTATAAATCCCGTCGTGACGATTATGCGCATATGGTGCCCTAGTCTCCCCCAAGGTCGACCCACCTTCATATTGATCTTCAAGTCTAAGACTGCTGGCAGAGCTCTTAAGCGCAGCCCCCGCTTGAAATCCGGCCCCGCCACCGAGCCCTAGACGTCCTCCCGCTAAGCGCCCAGACCACTCTGGGTATCGGTCTGGTCTCCGATTAAGCGGCCTCAGTCCATGACCGAATGGACTCTTCTTGGTGGGGCTAGGCCCCCATGCAGTGTGACGAGTCTCATTTTCTGGCCACAAGCTTTCATAAAGCATAATTGCCGCGACCTGCAAATCACTTGATTTAAGCAACTCATTCAAGGATCCCGTAAAAGGCTAGAAGAATAGATGGGGACATGGGGACATAAGACATCACATACAAACGGGAAATGCGAAAATTTCAAAAGCGCTATTCTGACCCTCCGCAGACGGCCAGCAGAGACAAACAGACGCAGTGGTCGTAAAAGGATTAGTGGCAGCAAGTTCTAAAAATAAGGTTATTATTAGTCTTTTAGCCGAACGAAACAACCACAACCACGCTACATCCTGTCGGCAGTCTTTAGTACTTACTAGCGGCGGGTAATAAACAACCAAACGATTGCTAGTTGAGGCTTCCATAACCATAATAGAAAACCTAACCGCCGAAACGTTAGCTGTTAGAGCAGGGCCAGAAAGTAAGGAGTCGCGGCAACGCGGCTACTCTACATACATGAACAAATATTCTTCCCTATCGAATCAAGTTAGTTCCGGAGATGAGCCTCGAATGGGGAACTGAAAAACAAGCGCGGTATCTACCTAGCATTATTCATCATCTACGAAAAGAGAAAAAATTGTAATTAGCCGCCAAGAATAATCGATATTACCAGGACTATGTAATTAACAGAGATTGACTGTATCTTACGTTTGTCAACCCATTTGATAGTATACTAATTAACGATGTGATCAGAAGTATATTCGTCAACGTAACGAAAATTAGCTTTTGGCACGGGTTAGCTCATGATCATTGCCAGCTAAACGAGTGAACACCCTAAATAATTTTTACTAGTACTCACCATGAGTGGTGGTCCCAAGACAGGTGAAATCTACCGCGACCGCGTCTAATGTGAGTTGTGACTAATTTAACCAAAGCAAACGCGGATCTATGCAACTGACCTCTCTCATTGCATCCTGGAACGTGCGTGTTAGTAGACCGAATCTGTATCCCTGTGCTACTTAGTAGTGAGGCTGAATGCACTTACAAAGCCAACAGTATTCTACAAGGTACCAGATATGATCAGCAACAGCGCATTAATTACGGATGCTGGCCCTGTCGGGGCAGCGCTTACCGAACCAAAGAAAACTACCCCAAAACCAAACCGGTCAGCACATAAAATTCTATTTTTATTTCCATCCAGTCTTGCTTAGACCAGCGGGTCCAAACCTTTAATGAGCATCCATGACATTTGCGATAGGGTAAACGTTTCGCGTGCAAGCAGCGAAAATGTTGTCAAAAATCCTACCCACCCCCCCATATTTAGCGAGGCGATCACAGGTGGGCGAAGTCGCTGCCTGTAAATTATAACCTACCAAGATAAAGAATCACGATCTATACCTATTAGCATGTGTAATTAAACCCGGAGGCCTTCTACCTAGGGAATAGGGTTTTCCCCAAGCGACTGCATCTACCCGATCTGATACTGGAAGGCGAAGCAAGAGCCGCAATAACTCACCAGGATTAGAAACTTCAAAAAGTCTTTTGTCATTTGTTTCAAACAAGGTATCAAGACTCCTGGATCACGGCCGTCAACGTCAGATGCAGTGTTCACGCAGATGTTTCATCATTAAGACCAGTACCAAAATAAGGGTTTAAAGATAGCAAAGAGCAGACACTAAAATCCAGTTGTTATCAGTATCCGTAACGGGTCTAATAAAGTCAAGGCGTTCTCGTTGTATCGTTACCGTGGTATCAATAATAACGCCTCGAGCGATAGTATATCAAAGGCGATATCAACGATTGCATCACTATCCTTAACCAAGCCAATTATTCCTGCAGGGATTGGTGAGCGCAGGCTTAAGATTTCCTTGGCCCGGTAATACATACTAACAACCAAAAATCCAACTGCTATCAAAATAATACACAGGTCCCATATACTCCAAAAATCGGCGGTATAGAAAGCCGTCCCTGCATCTCTGAGGGATGATATTTCGTCAACGGCAAATGCGATGAAGAAAACTATCAATGCGCCTTCCATGTATGTAAAATGGAATGGGTCTCTTTCAATCAGGACACCGTAATACAATGCAAGCAAGCTTGCGAAGAAAAATGCTTCAAAAGCCTTCTGATATTTTGGGACCCTCAGCCGGCAGAATGGATCCGCTTTTCTGGGAAGTCATGTATGTAAGCCAGGATTCATTGCAGCCTTCTAGAATATCGAACAGGACTCCTTGCCTTTTGTTGTAGAAGTGGGGCTTCTTAGACCCATCCACATCTAGCGATTTCCAAAAAGAGATTCTTCCGTCCCAGCTACAATTCTTCATTAGTATCTAAAAGCCTCATCGAGTGATAAAAAGCCTTGGCACATACATAGCATTAATCATACGTTGTACCTGCGTTAGCTCTTGTCAGCTTTTAATCTTGGCTAATATAATGTATGTCTGTAAGACTTACTGGTCGATGCGATAGAAACTTCTTTGCGTCTGCGAGGATCGCAATTTCTAGAGTATTGAGGCCGGCAAATGTCCCTATACTAACACACTCCATCTCATTTGAGCAATTCCTTCTTGTTTGGGTACCTCCCTCCAAAAGCCCTGTCGATTCTGTCGCTTCCTCTTCTGACTCGTCATGGGGTTCCAATGGAGGTAGCTCATAGCAGAGATACTCCAGTGCATCATTAGCAGAAAGGTACGACATCAGATCTAATGCTACAAACTCGGCAGCTAGAGCTCTGCTTGCCCCTAATCCGTGGCCATCATCTGCAAGCTCTTCAGCAGAGAAATGTGCTTTGCACCAACTATTGTCATGGTGCACAGCATCAGTCTCAATCAATCATTGATATCTCAGATAACTAATATATTAATGTCCAAAAGGGGAAAGAGTTTATGTAATAGAATCAATTTGTGGAACTTACAGTAAAGCCGCGACCGTAGCTGGGTTATGGCCTGCAAGAATAGTCATTTACCCGTAAGTATATAAACTACTAAAATAACTGGCAGGAAATTTAAATGTGTAAGCAAGCTGCTCTTTCCCTTACCCTTGTCTGTAAGTTGGCTGCAGAGCCGCGTCGTCACAGGGGAAATCTTGATGGTGTTGAGGTTCTGTGGTGTGTCGATGTTTTCGATAACTGCAGTTGTGTAACACCTCAGTCAGCGGTTGCACCGCTCCTCCGCTTAGAGAAACAACAAGAAGCGAGAAGAAAAAAAAACGGCCCTACAATAGTCTTTTAGGTTTTCACAAAGCTCGGCAAAGTTCATATCGTCTTTCACGACTGTTGGCGACATCAACGCTGGGGTGGACTCTCCTTCCTCTCCCATATGTTGCATGGAAAGAAATGAAAGCGGTCTTTTGGACGGCATGAAGCAACGCTGGACGGAATAGTTTCTGGGCGTGGAGGATTCTGCAGGGAAATTTGGGAGATGGTGGTTGCTTGATGACGATGATGATGCCGACTGGAGATATGAGGTTGAGTGAGCACACACAAATCAGGATAACGGCGAGGGGGTCAGTCCACATCTGGGAGGAAAGCCGTTTGTTGAGTGAGCTGTCGCAGTGCTGCGCGTATGTCTAGGATGTTTGTCTGAGGGGGTTTGCACGGTCATGTTATTGGCCTGATAGAGAAGCTTTATCAGCGCGTCAACCCCAAACAGGCGCATCAGTAAGCCCTAATCATACATATGCGTCTACGTTGGAACACTTCCTAAGATCTTGAAATTACTGGTCTATTGAGGCTCTAGTGTAACCCATGTATGATCATCGGCAAATAATTCCCCAGGGCCCAGGCAATGGAGAAAGAAGTTGAAGCTGCAACTGAGTAGAGATAAAGTGAAGTTGTCCGGAACGAAGAACCCGAGCTTATTTCTGGGCCCTGAGGCTCAACCAATCAGGGTTCATGTGCATTTACATGTACATACCACTAATGCTGTGCTAGGATCGGTTGATAACTAGCCCACAGAAAGCCAAGACTTCGATTTACAGTAAGCACATCTACATGTAGTGCAGTCTATCGGGTGAGATCGCATGACACCAAAGTCTTTTCTTTTGTGAAGAATTACATACTTACACACTTTGGAATTCCGCAGGAATCAGAAACAATGAATCAAATCCACCAGGGAATTATTTTCCTAACGAAATCTCGGGCTAGAGCATACAACTTGTGGGTTCAGAAACATATGAGGTGGATCGCTTAAATCTGGCCAATATATTACGCATCTGTAAAGTACACTTCAAGAATCCCATCCACTCACAATGTGCATCAGAAGAAAGCGCGATTAAAAGGCCCCACAAGCGCGAGCAGAAGACTACTCTATGCGTTCATCAAAGACAAGGTGGTGTGCCGCGAACGCACTGCATGCATTTAACCACATGCGTAAAGTAGACGCCAGCTAGGCTGGGTCACAGGCCGATCTACAATCACCACGCCCAATGTTTACACATTGTACCCATATGTGCATGTAGGTACATGTAGTTTACTCTGGAGCATGTGTAGGTACTCTAATTCAAGGCGGTGTTGTATTATGACTACATGTACTTATGACATGTAGCTTGTAATAAACACATGTAGAAGACACGACAGAGTAGATAACATAGTTAAACTCAAAGTAAAGGCACGACCTCTAGAATTGTGACTGACGTATGACTTCCCGCTATTCTTTTCACAATTCTGCATTTATGCGTGTGAAAAGGGCTGGGGAATTTGAAAGCGTGGCTCTCCCCTGTTAAAAGTGACATAAGAATAAAAATATCTCGAGTGATCGGCTGTGACCAGATCTCGCTTCAGCTTAGTAGAATTAAGCGTGCCAAGACAATCTGTTAATTACATCTACCCCCACTGCCGAAAGTAGCCCGAAAGTCCCTCCTCCCTCCCCTTCGCCAGGACCACATTTGGGCCAGAGCCAAAAGCATTGCCCCTGTCCCGAGCGATTTTTCCGTTCGGCTATTTGAGGACAAGCTCTGAGCCTCTGAGCCTCACTCTGACTCAACGGCTGTGCTCTAGTTTGAGAGTCACATCACAGCTGCCTGCCAGGAAGCACTACGTCGGGCACAACTAGGAACCGTTAGATGGACAGTTGACCCACTTCCTACTCCGACTCACCAAGAGTATAACTGTAAATAGTGATTCTTCTTTCGCCAACACACGAGCACGGGCGCTTAAGGGCGTATCTTTTCCTTGTACCGGCTCCTTTGCATTGAGAACCAAATTTTCGTGCTCTGAGACTTGAGGGACCGTTACTTCAAAGGGTAATGTTTCCAAAAACAATAATTAAAGCCAAAAGCAAATTGGTACGTACTCACGACCTTCCTCAATTGATACCTGGACTTGTTTAATCCCTTGTCTGACCTACACAATGTACCTACTCTAATACCTTATTTAATATTGCAGATAAATATCTACCACGATCAGATGCCGAGAAAAAGACCCGTAGGGCTATAACCATATTGGTACATTCTGCATACATGTACTCCAAGAACACATTAAACGCTATTTCCCGAGAGAGAAACATCTGCAAAAAAACACAATAATGTAGCACAAAGGCAAGAAGTTAAAAATGGTTCAATAATCATCTTGAATTGTTTATCCGAAACACATTGACCATATCGGTCTGTCTGTCGGTCACAGCCTTACGCGGTCTTCCCCGATTCTGCCGTCCCTACCTGGGCTTATGATCAGGTCAGATACGAATTGGGTAGCCATTGAATCTCACGGTTACATCCAAATTGGAATGATGAGCATGAGCATGAACCTCGTCAATCGGGGCACTGCGGCGAGTACGCATCGAAGGAAACAATATTCTTTCTAGAACGCTAGTTTGGAGGGCAGCAAGTGACAGCTTCTAACTGTTTGACACACAGCATCTTGGTAGTATAAAGCGGCACATGAACCCAATACCGACCGGAGGGAAACAGGAATCCTTAACCCTACCCGATCTTGCAGGTGCACACGCAATCGGAATGTCGATGTGAAAATAGATGGCACAAATACATATTCAAATGGACACACTAAAGAGGAAATATGTCGGAGGGTTTCCCAGACTGTCATTTCCATTAAGAGAAGAGATATAAGACCAATCCGGAATGTTCAATAATCAGATGCGGGGTAGTGTCTTATGCTGCTCTTATTGTTTCTCGCTAAGTTTAGTCGATGCCTCTCATAGGCTCTAGATCCACGAGAGACTTTTGTTGGTGTCTCAAAAAGAGATTTTGTTTAACTCCCGACTCCCCTTTGGGTAGCGCATGAACGCCACTGTTCCTCTTTGGTCCGTTCTTCCTTAAAATTATTACTATATCGATAATGACATATATGTACCCACTCTGGACCTACAGGGAAGTTCCCTTCTGGGTATTCGGTATGGCTAACTACATTGTGCTTCGTCATATCATTATGTGTTGGTAGATAATATCTTCTAGGGCGAGGCAGATATCACAGTACTCGCGGTCGCGCGACAAGAAGTTTCAAAAAAAAAGATAAGAATAGCGGTTTATTTTATTGAATTTGCACTTAATTTTTTTTCACAGCCTTCCATTAGGCAGATGTAACAAGACTCCTAGTAAATATCAGGAAAGTCGTGCGGCTCTAGTGTTTCGAAATTGACGATACCTCTATCTATATCTATTATCGTGGGAAGTATAGTTAGAGGTGGGGCCAGCCACGCGGCTCTTTTGGATTTCTGTTTAAAGAACAAACGACATATTCATGTCGTGCATCATATTAATGTGCGAACGATAGATTATAAGCGTGATGATGCATGCTGCATCTTGATTTGATATCTCCTTTCTTCCGAATCCTGGTGTTACCCCTCCCGATTGTTCCCCTCGCTGACCGGCGGGCGCGCGACGATAAAGCGATTAGATATGGTATGATCAGACGTTTTCCTCTATGAAACAGATATAGACTTTTTCTCATGCACGCATGTGCTCAGAGCACAGTTTCATGCGATAAAACCGGGGAATATCCACTTTCTGGAAAGAAGTTGAAGCCCAAAATAGTTGCACTTTACCCCTTGTTTCAGATTGTGTGGGGGAGGCTGAGTGTCAAGTGTCGGCAACCTCCAAATAGCATCTCTCAGTTGATTTTTGGCACCTAACCCTAACTTAAGCATCAACGAGGCGCAATGGGTTTCTTGGTGTGCTTTTCATAGCATCTAGTGCGTGCTGCTGTTGCATGACGTCGTAGATTTCACACACTAATTGGTAACCATTACTTCTGTGATTGAGCCCCACTCACTCAAGCCCTTGCAATTGTCTGAGAACTTTGGGCATTCTGTGAACGTACTACGGGGATGTGATCGATCGGCATTCGGCAGATATAATTTCCACAGTATGCTGCTAGCTGTGTCGGCCCCGGCCACTTGCCTTGTCAGGTTTTAAGCCGCTGTAATTTCCTTTTCCTCTCTCCCTCTAGCCTAACAACTATCTCCCGTATGTAGGCAAAAGTCAAGAAATGGGCCGAAATTGCATTCCTGTGCAGAATGGCTGGCGCATGGCCGACGTATTGGTAGTTTTCGTACCTCCCCGCGAACGCCCGACATGTAAAATACTCCACACCAGAGTATCTCTCGGCCCGGTACGTACCTACAGGGTCAAGGATCCAAAGTGAGACATTTTTGGCGAAGTCCATGCATAAAGGTTGTTCCTAATTTCTCCACACATGATCGATCTCACATTCGCGCAATAGGTTCTGAATCTGGAATGATGATTTGCAGCCCTCTCCGATTCCCGAATATATCCGGAGACAAAAAAGGGCTGTCCAGGCCGGCGACGCGCGCGTACAAGATCGGCCTTGCGGGTGAGAGCTAGACGAACGTTATGGCATAACGGCGAACCAAAACAGGCCACGGTGTAAGCACATCGGGTCACTTGATCTAATGTTCCAGGGGCCGAAGGAGGTGGGGAAGGGGACTTGGCTTCCGCTCTGGGTGCGGTAGCTGTTGCCTGGTATAGGATCTGCGCCGAGTGATACTTTGTGAGGATTTTTTTTTTGCCACCATGCGATTTTCACAAATTGGGTTTGCTAGGATGATCGGGTGTGAGATATGGTGGGGAGGCAGATCGATGTGTTGTCTGAGTCAGAAGTCGGGGAGGTTTAGGCAGGTCTAAAAATTGAGACCCGTGTAGGCTAGCCATTAATGGAGGTGGGTAGAAATTCTCCAGGAGTAGATGTGAAGACATCTACGCCTTTATACGCGCCTATGCACTTAGATTAAAAAAATCATGTTACTGGTAAACGTATTATACGGGCCGCAACAGAACGCACCGAACTTCTAGAGTCGAGACTCCATGAGCGCAGCGGAGAGGATAAGTTATGTGCCTTAATGCTACTATATGAACGAGTCTAGGCCTCGACATTTGGAGTAGTTGTTGAATACCGTTGTATCTAGCTACGTCCAATAGTGTCGCACTAGAAAAGTTGCTGCTCTGACAGAAGCTGCGGCCAAGCGCTTGTAAGGCGCAGAGACATTGATTGCCGCACGTGCCACCTTGATCTGCTTTTCTGCACCTAAATTTGCACAAGAACCGCACTGAGCTCTCCTGCGCCTTGCTATTGAGAACTCTTGTTCGACGTTTTTGTGTCTAGGTATCTATGTGTTTTAGATTTCACGGCCCTACTATCGCCACAACCGTAAGCGCGGTCGATCAAGGGGCGGTGTGTATAATAATCCAAACCGTGCTGGTCACGAAGATACTCAGACCGGCGGGTTCTGGGACCGGAAAACACGCCGAACGGGTAATTTACTACCTGAAAACTACAAAGTCATCACTCGGGTGGTGTGAGATATTTTACAAACTTAATTAAATTCCATGGGGTCCGAAATAAGCACGAATGGGTCAAGTGCTCCATATAGATCTAGAGAATTGGATACCCAGAAATATTTACTTTGCGATTATCAATTGAGCTTTCTCAACCTAGTACTCACGCGTTAATTAATTTCTGAGAATTCTTGGTAGCAACGACCTCACAAAATTTCTCAGGACTTAATTAACGCGCGAGTATACGGGGGTTGTAATAATCCCTGGACCGTATCATAATCTCGGGAAGCGGCGGATAATATTCTCAAGAGAGATTTGGCTAGTTAAAGAAGTTAGTTGATATTATCTTCCTATATGCAGGAACCATAACCATGTAGTAACTAAACGCGATTTCGAAAATGTCAACAATGCAAATAACTAATTAACAATTAGAAGTCAAACTCGAAAGGAATTCCTGATCTCAATATTCAAAGTCACAAGTAGTCAACCGATCCGACTCTCAACAGTTTGAATAAAGTTCCAGATCTCACCTGCAGTAACAAGGGCCCGTCAAGTTCCTCGCCGTGAATAATTCTTTATACTTAGATATCGATCTCGGGAAACGTGCTCGGTGTTACGATACACGTACACATGCATCGATCCGTGTAGACATGCCGCGATACACCCATGTGGCTCTACGGCCAGCGGAGTTTGGTAGGAGTTTCAGTATACCTCGACATCCTCACCGTCGCTGGCGGTACAGGTACATGTCGCCCCCTGGCCAGCTAGACAACCCACCACATCTAGATATTGAGGTCATATCATGGGTAATACCACTAGGATCAAAGTCCTCGCAATCCATCTCCTCTTGCTATGTTACAGACGGTCTGGAGTATACGCCGGGTCATCCGCCATGCCCTATGGCCTTCAGCGGCGAGATGGAAACATGCCTATATTAATTAAAAATAATACAGTACTAAATACGTAGAATGTGAATCCAAATTCAAGGCTTTCAACTTTTGACCCATGTCCCACCTAGCGAACCGAAGATATTTCTTCGACGTGTGACCTATGATACCTCAAAGCCGGCGGCGTGTTCTATTCTCGCGAATATGAAAAGCTTGTATTAGAAGGTTGAACAAAAAGAGTAGGTGAGTGATATTCCATGAGTCTTGGCAGACGATCATTGGCATCAGCTGAGATACAGTCAGCGATCTCAGCACCGGTCAAATACTTCATTGGTAGCGATACCAACGTCTCTTTTGGGGCTGAAAACAATTAAGAATCGGTTGCATGATCTTATCGAGTCCCAAAAGAGATAATGTCGTTTATTAATGATATTACGAGATACATCGACCCGGACGCCGAGCTTGAGACCGATGACCAAGACTTTCATTCCAAGATTCCGGAGCTAGGCAGCTATGTAGCTGTAGATTTGAAAGCAAAATCTAGATTATGTCAAGGATCCCATGCCCAGCTGGCTTTCTGTGAGTAATTTGGGTTGTACTTGATGCAGTGAATAAGCGGGCGAAGAGCTCCGACGCCCCGGTAATGTAGCTCATGACCACATCTAGCTCGAGATTTCATGATCTTATTGAGAGCGAGCCTTATCATTCATGCGGTGAGTCCGGGCCGGCTTGAACCTTCCTAAGGCTTGAGATAAACCATGAACCTTGACCTGGATTCAAGGAACTATGAGGAATATGAGGGCAATGAGGACGTCGTCTCAGCCGACAAAGACCTTTTAGTTTTACCCTTTCGAATTCTCATTCCAACTAGCATTGATTTCATCTGTCTATCTAATTTCCCCATGAAAATGCGCATATCATGTCATTTTACTACACTAGGCAGAAGTATATCTTGCTTCTTGGTCATTGACCACCGGCTCGAGTCATTTCACGAGCTTTTATCAAAGGTTCAAGCTTTATGAGCCTCGGCCTTGAAGAGCTTGAGCCAATTCGAGCTTATGAGCTAGCTTATGGGCCACATCGCATGAGAGACAAGCTAGGTCCGTCTTATCGGTATGGTATAGCACCATGGACCTGGTAGCTACATGTTAATAATTCCTGGGCCTGGTGTCTTATCATAACCCATGAATTGGCATTTGTCCTTGAAATATTTTTACTCCGTATGCGGATGTGCAGATGTAGATTAGTGTATCTAATTCAATTATCACTAAGCAAGTAACAACCTCCTTGTTATTTATTGGTGATTGATAATCCATTCGTGTATGAACCTCCTTGTTAGATAGTAGGCGATTTGATATGATAATACGTGTTTGATAGGTTACATACCAAACAAATGAGGGATCAGAGGTCGGGTAGTGAAAGTGGTCGTGAAGGTCAGAAAAACCAAGAAACCTCGAAAGCAAAGGGTAAAAAAACCCATCATGTGCGAGTCTCTAGACAGTGCGCGTTCTCACTAGCTATAGGCTGTGGAATCAATATTTCTTAAACACAGCTACTGTACTTCTCCGCTGGCCCGTTCCAAGGGCCATTTATGCCTCACTTTCCTCAGATGAAGAGAGGCAATGTTTCGAGAGGTGGTAGCTCGTTACCCACGCTACTTGTTGTCAAGCACGATTCATTATCACCCTGTGAGAGCATAATTGTAGTTGCTACAAATTGTGGTACTCAGGGCCGCTGTGAAGAGTAACGTCCACACCCTCCATGAGCCATTACTTATCGTGAGCAGGAACAGTTTCTGTCAGCTAACTCTAGCTCTAGCTCTAGCTTGGGATGGGTATTCACCAGTAGGTGGAGCGTTACCCTCCTGTTGAACCTGGTGGGAGGACACCAACGAGAAGCTGCCCGAATCCGACAGCGACGAGCATTGCATCTAGATTTCAGCATCAATTGAGCGCATTGATCTGCCACTAGTAGCGGATGATGCACAGAAGATGAAGCCTCACCTACTCGAGGTAGGCTTCCAGTGTGGTTTGACGCTTGGGGATTCGAGAGCCGGAGGCAGCAAGGCTGAGGCTGGTGAGAAGATTGAAGACTGCAAAAGTAAGGACCTCGCTAACTTTAACACTCACCATCTCAACCTTGCCCCTGGATAAATGCCAAAATCAGGATGGATGAAGAAGATGGAGGAAGAAGGAAAGCTCGAGGCGGGTGGTGTGGTGTGTGGTATGTGGTGGATAGAGGTTCGTGCTAAGGACCGGATGGGACTGTTTTTTTTTTAAATTTTTTTTTTTGGGGGAGCTTGGGCTGTGGTCGGGCGGGTTTAAGAGAAACGTTCTGGGTGGACTCGGCTAGCCGTTACCGTGAAACTCGAATAGATGTAGACTGCCCGTTAACTTCTGGTAGTCATTAATTCGCCAATTGTGAGGTCACGATTTTGTGCCCATATAAAGACGATGGAGAGGCGGCCGAAAGGGAAATGCATGAGATGTTGGGGATATCAGATCGGGGGGTGGGTCATTTTTCTTTCTTTTCTTCCTTTTGCATTCCCTTTTTTTCGGGATCTGGCTTTATCCCATCTTCCCCATCTACTAAAGATACCAGCACCACATCAGCTCGTCTCAATCTCCATGGAAATGACATTATACCACCAGCCCCTGTATCCAAGCTCCTCTAGAAATACATACATAAATCTAGCTCCCACGATACACCATCCCCAACCAGGCCGCCAAATGGCTGAAACAAGACCATAATTCCCCCAAATACACATCAGCAACCAGTCAGTAGGTTCTCAAAGGGTTGTGTTGGAGACCGCTTTCCACAGGCTGAGAGGAACGGTATTTAGAGATCCAGCTAGACAGATCTGAATGAGAAGTATTGAGGTATAGCGGCGGGGAAGGGGCAGCCGGAGGTCATCGTAATAAACCCCAACTATACTACTAAACACTAAACAACCCTTACAATCCGCGCAGAAGAGGGCTCATCTTGTGTCTCTCTTTTACCCAGAGCTGTGTTAGAGTCTATTTCTGGGCTGAGCTGTAATCATGATATATGTGGGAAAATTTTCGAAGCCCATAACATCAGCGAGTGATATTCCATGATTTACACACTGTCTACAAGCCAGAACTGTAGTCTTGACTACTGCGGCGGAATGCACACCACAGTACCAACCAGACATGCACCAAAAATCTTCTAATTACCAAAGAACAGCCTATCCTACACTACATCCGGTGCCGACTTTACTCCCCCATTTACTCGTTTGACATCGCCGCTGCGGGAATGCTTTGATGCTGTACAGCCGGAAGATAGGGCACTTTCCTACTATTATTTAAAAATTATATTTAAGATTTTGTTTTTTAGATTACATACAGACAGCTAGAACAAACCACATCGCACGTTTTGGGACAGTGAAATCTTCACAGATTATCACTCGTCCTAGTACACCCGGGAGAAAAAACAAGGGAAAAATGGATTGAAACGCCAACTATATTCAAGCCAGATATCCTGATCACCAAGCAAAACAAACCAACCACTATAACCGGCCTGCATAAATGGTGTTGCAAAAAACAAAAAACGAGAAAAAGACAGTGCCCACCAGAATAGCAAACAAAAATAGAAATAGTTTTTTAAAAAAGGGCTTAAATAAAGTCATTACCGCCCCCAAACCCTCCAAACCCGCCTCCAAACCCACCTCCAAACCCACCACCAAACGGCGGCCCGCCCCGACCAGGACCTCTCGGGCCCCTCAGCCCACCCATAGGCGCATCCCCCGGCCCAACCGGATCATACCTCGCTCCCGGCGGAAACCTCGGATCCGGGACCCCCTCACCACCCTGGCCCCCAAACATGGGGTGATCCCCCGTCGGGTGCATCCCGCCCATCGGTCCCATTCCGCCATCAAACCCACCTCCGCGCCCTTCGCCGAAGAACGGGCCTCGTAGCGGCGGGTTTGACCCTAGGCCAGGTGGGTTCAGGTCGTCGGCACCAATAGAGAGCGGATGGCGCCCACCGGCATTTCCATAGCCGCCACCGCCGCCGCGGGGCGGCTGTAGGATCTCGTACTCGTCGTCGAAGCCTGGCGGCCTCTCGCCACCGGCTGGAATGGGCGGGTTGGCCGGACGCGGGGGGTACCGCAGGGGGTCGGCCCTGTAGGGCGACTCGTCAAAGTCCTCTCTTGGCTGGTTGCGTGGTTGCTGCTGTTGCTGCTGTTGCTGCTGTCGTGATGCGGAGGCGGCGTTTTCTTCCGATTCCTGGAGGGCCTGCTTCCCGATGAGGTTCTGGACGATGTGGATCTTCACGAGGGCGGCGAGGTCGGAGATGTTTGATGCGCTGACGAAGGCGTTTTCGAGCGGCTGCGTGGGCTGCAGGGTGTACGGGAAGAAGTCGTCTTTGAGGTAGTCCTTGGTGGGGATGTCGAAGGTGGCTGTCTTATCATTGCCGTCGCCGAGGCCGAGGCCCATGATGATGGTCTTGTTGCCCAGACGGTTGACTTTGATTAGGTAGTTTAGTGGCGACTGGGCGTGGGCGTAGCGGAAGCCGTAGTTTCCGGGGCTGGCGTTCCAGGTCTCGGGGAGTGGCTGTGGGTTTGAGCCTTCGATTGCAGGTTCTGGGTATGGATGTTAGCGGGAGTGAATTGGTGAGTGGGAGAGGAGGAGAACGCTGTACGAACCAAGATGGTCGTCTTCGCTGAGACCAACGAGACGGAAGCCTACAGAGAGCATGCAGGCATGTACAAAGACCGCGATGGCATCGTGGGGGGTTTTGAGCTGTGGGGGGTTTGGCGGGAGCGAGGCATCGATGTTGCGAAGCACTATAGGAAGGCTGAACGGACGAGCTGCCATAGTGTGATAGTTTTTCTAGCTGTAGTTGTAGTGATTATATGTTGCTTATTGATTGTAGTTGTCCACAGGCAAGATGTGCTGATAGAGAGGTGCTGGTGGTAAATGACGATATGGTGTCTGGCAGGAAGCTTATAAAGCTACCAAAGCCTTGTGTGGGGTGAGTTTGTGAATTGTGGGGTTTGCGTCAGTGCCAAGACCGCACACCCGTGCAGGGGCCACAAGGCGACCCAGGCATCTACCCTACTAATTAATAAGACCCGAGTCTACTATCGGTGCGGGGCGAATAGAGTAGAGTAGAGCAGAGCAGGCAGCGTAGGATCGAACGTTATGCACAACGGACGCAGTCTACCATGGATCCAGCTGTACAGACTATCCTATGATTGGCTGCAGAGAACGTTGTTCACCTTATGTGAAACGCAGGCTGGGTCGTCTTCTGGAACGAACCAGGCGCGCATCCAGGCTGCATATATATATTATCCCCGAGGATTCCCCAGCTAACATTGCAAGGTGCTTTTTGACAGAAGTGCTACTACAACGTGTACATACATGTACGTACGTAAGTTCTGAGTCTATTTAAGCGATGACTCGACTGTGCTGCTGGGGCTGAGAGCTATGTCAATTTAGCCTCGAGACACCCGGCGGCCCCCAAGCTTTGTGGAAGCCTCGAGATATCCATAGCTTGATAGGAAGCTCTAACACAACTTCTGAAGCTTGAATACGCGCCCTGGATAATGTGGCTTTGCCCGGGCATATACGTATGAGCTGTGAGGCTGCATAAGCTTTTTGGGCGGTTGCTCTAGATCGAAGTACTTATTGACATTGTAGGCAACATAGGCTACGTGTATTCTCTCAACCTTGCTCAGAATATGAGGGCCACATGTAGTATTAGGAATCACTCTGCTAAATTTCAAGAGTACACGTATATTGTCTATCCCAACAGGAAAACAAAGTCCTTAGCGAAATAGTGGCCATATCCACGTCCTAGCTCTCAATAGCGTAAGAGGGCTAGGAGTCACTCTAAATTCCTTATCCACTTTCCCGTATCCAAATTGCAAAGTACAGTCTAGACCTTGTTCGTATTTCTACAGCCAAAGCCAAACTAACCACCTGTCCGCGAAAATCAAAGCTCTCCGGCGTGCTGCTCAGGTATGCAAGAAATCCGCCACCATCAACAGCTCCAGCGCCAGCTCCGGCGGGATCTCCATATCCGGCACGTCCTTCGCATCCCGATACTTCTCGTTGTAGTAAAAGTACTCGCAGATCTTCTCGAGAATCACGGCGCTACATGAACCCCCCATCAGTACCCGACACATCTCTCGATCCGCTCCTCTCACTCCTCTCGGAGACAAGAACATACCTCATGTTCTGGAAAACAATCTTGTTCTCCCTCGCCTCCGCAAAGTTACCTAACAGTCCACCCAGCAGCGCGTTAGCCAGCTACTTCTTCACTAGCAAGTAAAGTAGACAAGAGGATGTGGGGGGGGGGCAGGCATACTTCGCTTATCCAGCATGCTCTTAATCGCCGGGGACGCCATCGCCGCCGACTTCCTAACCACGAAGCGGAACCCGTCGTTGGAGATGAGGACAACGGAGTTTGTATCTTCCTCTGCCATCTCGCTTTTTCTTTTCTTTTTGGTTGTGGTTTTATGGTTGTTGATATTAGCGTACGTATCGTGTTGTTGGTTACACGCGAGAAGCTAAAGGTAAGATAAACGTTAAAGTGGGTTGGGTTGGTTATCGATAGCAACTGCTAAGCCCTTATCTGGAGCTAATCGGCATCCGCCCTGCAGCACGATGAGAGAGGGGGCGCGCACCAGGCCTAAGGAAAATAAAAAAAAACGTGTTTGAGGGGGACCCTAGTCGGTTTGGGGACGTTTATTTTTCGAAACTCGTGACGGCCAATCGGCCGTTTAGGAACCAATAGTTCGAATGATATATTGTAGTAGTTAATGATATTTCTTTCTTTCTTGATGGGTTCTCACGCCTACATCCAATATCGAGAAACCACTGCCACCACCACCATCACCACCACCACCACCACCATCACCACCACCACCACCAACTAACTGCCAATCATGGCTGTGCAATAACTTAGGAGAGCCACAATAAAAAGGAAACATACACGATCATAAAAAAAAGAAAAGGAAAGAAAAAGAAAGAAAGAACTCCTCAAGTTAGAAGCGGTAGTCTACGCATACTGCTGCTATTTCAGAAGTGATCCCAAAATCATGATTTGTGACCCGGCTCCCTCCCCTCCCAAATCAAACGCCCAAGAAAAAAAGAGAAAAGAAAAAAGGGGATAATAAGGACTGGGCCAAAAAATAGATACAGGGAAAAAAAGATCATCTCATATGATCAAAGGAAAGATAAAAAGGAAATAGAGGGGATAAATGATAGGGGATTGGTATATAACGGAGATGCACAAGTTAACTTCGCGATAATTCCCAGTGCCTGCCTCATTGCTACATCAATCAGAAAAAAAGGTTAGCTCATCCCGCAGCGCCCCCACTCTGACCACAGATTTTGAAAAAGTAAAAAATGAATAGAAAAATAAATAGTAAAAAAGTCCACAATAAATAGCGTTGTCATAAGTTATGACAAGAAAAAGGTACATAAAAGAAAATCCCACTGAAAGATATTATTCCCCAAATTATAAACTCCAGAGTAAAAACAAGTGGCCCCCAGGAAGAAATTAGATGAAAATCGGTTTCAAACTCTCTTTTCCTCGTCTTCAAGGCCATCGAAAATGTCGTAAATAGTAGGGAGAAGAAGAAAAAAAGCCGGCTTTATTGAATGATCAATTTGCGCTCATTCCCAACTTTCGTCATGTTTACACGTCTTAGCATTGCTGTATCACTAGGATATATAATAACCGGTGCAGGAAGCCGCGGCCCTTCTTGACCAATGCGGTACGCCACTTGTGCTGCTTCTTGAATTGCTGGCAGTTCGTCGTGGCAGGTTTTGTAGTCAAATGGAGAAACTACGATCTTTTGTCGTAGTGTGATATCCCTGCAGCTAGACATATGGGCCTACAATGATAGCAAGGTTAGTTGATTTAAGGTGTAGAGAAATGGGACTAATAAGTCTACCTTAACTGTCAGGAAATAATCAATTTTGTATAATGTTGCCGATGTAGTGAAACCGCTAACTTCATACAAAGGAAATGCCGGCTTCCCTGGTGGAAGGTACCCATCACTATCTCTCAACTCCTTTGCCGGAAATTTGATGTTAATCCTGGTTTCGTACCCAGATTCCGGTAGCTTTTGCCCCACAACCTCCTTCTTGCTGGTGAGCTGTTTAACTTTTGTCGATGGCTCGTCGCCCTGGGGATTATATGTGATGTGCTCCTCAATCGCTACCACAATTTTTGATATCGACACCTTCCTTGCCTTGACAATCCAATCCGGGTTTGGCGTCAGTCGTACCGAAACCTCCACAGGGTCATTCGGGCCAAAAGACCACCGCTCCAGAACCATACACAAAGTTACAAGGTGATCTGATACACGTTCTTGTGTTTCTGGCCTATTATACATCCCAAACGAAGATAAAGTGTCGTATCTCGTTATGGGCACCGGGAACGTATGTTTTGTCAACTCCGTATGGCCCTGCCTCACGCTGACCTCCAACTCATAATATGTCTCTGCAACTCGTGAAGGCAAAGTTAAGCTCGCCGGCGGCACATTTAATATATCTTCCGACCCACTTCCCGATACTGGTATCATCAACATAAACGGTAAATCCATAGCCATTACCATTTCGTAAGGCATTCCGGCTGGGCATTGGTATAGTCTTTGTTCTTTTGCAACTAGTTTCCGTAATTCTTTCCGCGGAGCAGCTAGGCGGCCGCTGATAACTCCATCTGCGTGGGGATGTATTGTTTCCTTTCGATAGAGACCAATGGAGACGAATGATATGGCGACCGGTGCTGTGTATCCCGAGCCAGGGCGGATTTCAACTTTGCCTTCTATACGAGGCTGGAAATAGAGCAGCAGAAACTCTGGTCAGCTCCCCTACGACTATAATCTCAACTTGCGTTCGCCCGGGAAGACCTGAGAGAACAAAAGGGCTATCTGGGGAGGGATCAGAGAACAGAAGAGGGGATGTGAGGGGAGGAGAGGTGTTTTTTACCATAGTGGCTGAAATCCCGGGGTATCCTACGAGAAAGTTACTGTTTGGCGGTCCACTTATACGGACGAATGCCGGAATCTTCTCTAATATCTCCATGATGGGTGATAGTAGCTGATGGAACCACCCCACTCCCGGCTATCGCAAAAAAGTAACCAGGACACCTTTCGCCAGTGGTAAACTAGGGGCCCAACGAGCCCTCCTGATTGGGGGGTAGTATTAGCGACAGTACTGGTGGTATTAATGGTAACGATAGTATTGGTTATTGTGGTAGTTGTTATGATAGCAAAGTGTAGTTCTGGTGATAGTTGTAGCGAAGGAGACTGTGTGGTGTCTTGATTTGTGGAAGTGGAATGTTGCAGGTTATTACTATTTGTTGCCTTTCCCCCCTTTGGCCTTTTCTTTTTCCGGGAGAGAATCCAGGGCTTCGTTTTTGACGCAAAGTGTCACCGGGGTTTTGGCGTGAGTGGGTGTGAGTGTGGGGGAGGGGGCAGCGACCGCAGCTGAGGAAGGATAAGTAACTCGAAATGGGTTTGGGTTGTATGTATGCGATGAGCGATGCTAAGTGTACCAGGGCTGAGAGCGTCGAGAACCGCAGTAGCAGAACCTCGTTTGATAGACTTGAACCACGTTTTTTTTTCTTTTCTCGGCTGCGTCTGCGGGGAGTGGCTCGCTGACCTTTGTTGGGCGGAAGAAAGGGGTCCTGTTGGTGAGACTCAAGGTGGTGGTGGTGGTGTTGTAATGGAAGAAGTTGTCTGAAGCGGCTCTTTCTGTGGTTTCTCGGGAATCGGAGCGCGAAACAAATTATGGTCAATCGGGCGTGGCGAGGCACTTTGCGGCGGAGTTTATGTACGGTATTTTAGGATCCCCAAACTAGCAACGATGAACAGGTGTAATGCATGGTGCGAGATGTGTGCCTGAGGCTAGGAAAGAGAACCACCGACAACAGGTGTCAACAGCAGAAACAGCAAATAACAGCAATAAGTAACAAAAATAAAATGGCATAAATCACATGTAGGGTATATCTATATCCTGTAGTGGTATATATGTATACCCTCCACGGTCATTGATGAGGTGGTAAAGATGGTAAAGAAAAATGAATGGCTAGAGATTGAAGGAAATGATGAGGCACACAGTTCCTCGAATGCAGTCTTTACCCCGAATTGTTATGTCAAAAATCTGCTTCTGGTATTGGTTAAAAGCTGTTGGGTTCAACGAAAAAGGTCGTAATATATTAAGAGCATGAATATTTACTGCAACTCGAGCTCTACAGTTCATAATACTATAGGAATAAAATATATGGGCAAATACTTAATACTATATGTCGTACCGGAGGGTTACAAATAATCGGTCATGGGTGAATACATGTACCCATCATGATCATAAGGTATAAGACGCACTACATGTAGTTTGCATTTACTACATGTGGTACATGTATGTACTTGTATCTGCTAGGCTTTATAGGCATGTTTCTTGCTGCCAGCCTAAAATGCAAGTACACGCATACCGGTGCTTTAGATACCTGCCTACCTAGAGTACGTGATATCGATATAGGTGAAACGATGTTGTGCATGTTTCTTTATGCAGTATCGCGCTAAACTTTGGGTGTAGCTTGTCTGCTGATATGAAAACGAGATACCTAGATCTAGGGTACCGAGGCAGTTACGCTTGTACCGTAGAGTGAGCGTACTCTATCCCCACACCACATGGAGGCATGAGTACATGGAGACAAGGCTCATAGTTGCAGAAATTTTAAACATTCTAGATCTGACAGGAGCGGAAGAAGGCTGATGGGATTTCTAGAAGCAATTGGTGGGGGAATTGCCCAAGTACATATGTACTGGTTTGCCCCGCCAAGCTACCTTAAAGCTCACTCCAATCTGATTACGTAAACCCTTGTCTGAACATTAGCAGTCGCAAGTTGCAACCGTTTTTTTCCACCTCGGTGCTTCAGTGGCATCCAGGTCACCCACCTTCATTCAACCGTGTATAATCCGTTCTCACATCTACTCGCGTTCTGCGCATCGTATCACCCCTTGGTTCCAGATTGCCCAACCTTCCCGTGAGCTAGACCAGAACCTCAGTTCCTCGACGACGTCCGCCTACCCCAAATCCCTTTCCTTTAGGTGCTGCAACTTACGAATATTGCCGCCATCAGCAGCTGTCACAACAATCTTGCTAGTAACACCCAATAGATCCCCCCCCACGGGCTTCCTCCCCTGTGGTCAGTAATCGCAAACAGAACACTTAGACTGCATTGGCAGCACGACTTCTACTTTCGCATGGCGTCTGCCGCCGCTCCCTGTCGCACTTGCTCTGCTTCTAGCTCGCCTTCATTCCACCCTTCACCTGCGCCCTCTTCCCCAACTCCATCGACGTCATCGGAATCGCGAAAGAGAAAACGCGACGAAGTTACCGCGAAACCAAGGCCATTTTTAATAACCCCCCCACATTCAGAAGACGGTGCTCCGGTAGGAGCTAGGCCTAGGCGCATGTTTACAATTCCGATGTTCACGAGCCTCTGGCAATCTTTGAAAAGCTTGGCCGGGGTTGGATCCGCACCTCCAGATTCATCGCCTGGCGGGGATGAAGATGTTGCTGGATCACCAAAACGTGTCCGCGTTGAGGGTACTGAGGACCCCTCAAAAGGCGATGGTAGGTGTTGTTTGTCACATATTATAAACTTAGATGTTGGCTCACTGTATCCCAGACTCAACGCCGAACGTTGACCCAAACAAAGAACCAATTGCTTCGACAGCACAACCCATACCATCCATACCACCCATACAATCGCAAAGTTCAAACAAAGAGTCTCCACCCCCCCAGACACAAAATAATCGCCCTAGTTTAAAAATCAAGGCCCCGGCCACTACAGACAAACAGACGCCACCAACTCAACTTCCCTCCCCTCTGGCTTCATCATCTGGAGATGAGCTAGCAACCGTCTTTAAGAAGACGACGACGGCCAGACCTGTACAATCATTACCACCGATAATGGCCGACCCCTTAGCCCCACCCTTTTTTACTAGACCTCTGCGCAAGAGGAGTAATCCGGAAGCGGTATTACTGAGGATCCTTGCGCGCAGAGCAGCATTCGGCCCAGCATATCCTCCAAGTAGGGAGGCTCGAGGAGGGTATCCACCGACTCAGATCCCTCGGCACCGTGCCCAAAAGATCATACCAGGGTTAAATGGGGAAATTAGGAGGGAGGGCCATCCATATTATCCTCTGCTGAGAAGACTTCCCACGGGAGCACCACCTGGCGTTCTCGATAAATTCAAGACCCATCTGAAATACCCGGATAATAAATCATCACTACCACTACCACGGCCAAATGAAAGACAGAGGTACACTGGGCGCGTGGAGAAGTATATGAGGAAAACGGTAATTTTGCTAATCTGATTTAAGCGGACTTTTTTTACTAACAAGTCATAGTATCAGAAAAATAGACATTTGGACCAGTTGAGCCAAATTGAACTAGCTGTAATACTTGAGCAGCTTAACAAGGAAAAGTATTCGGGTTTTCAAACCTTAGAACAAGTTGAGCAGGCGCGTAGAGAACGCAATATCGAGATAGCAAAATTAAGAGATGCAGCAAGAAAGGTAATTGCTGGACCCCCCCAAACCAATGCAAGCATAGTGAACCTGCTAATATTCTATCAAGGAATTAATACCCAATCTTGACCCCGAGTCGCTCGCAAGGTTCAACACAATAGTAAGGGACTTGCGCAATCCTGCGGTTCCCGGCGACAGGCTATATAACACCATGGATGGATTTTTAGCGAATAAGGCTGCTCTTGTTAGGATTCTTTGGCAAGAGGGTTCAATCAGTATGAACTGGCTTAACGATGAGGGCATGAACTTCTATGTCGCGATGATCGCAAAACGGGGCAATATCGAAGGCGAGCCTAAGAAGATATTGTCATTCAATAATGCTTTCTGGGTAAATCTAGTGAGGGGTGCAAGTGTGGCTAGATGGGCAACGAGGCAAAAGGTCGGGGGGCGTCTGATGTTTAATCTGGACTATATGATTTTCCCCTGCAATCATGGGGGCACACATTGGACTATGTGTGTGGTCAACTTCAAGAAGAAGAGGATTGAGAACTATGATTCAATGTACAGCAGGGCAACAGCGGATCAGGTATTCAGGGTATGCTTATCACTATTGGCTTTTTTCTTAAAAGTACAGGTCACTAACTTGTATTCAGCTCACGCGGGAATACCTTATTGCCGAAACCAAGTCGGATCTCGATGGATGGACAAATTACAACCATTGGAATACAGTGCAACAGGGGAACGCGGCAGATTGTGGAATGTTTTCGTTGAAGGCGGCAGAGGTGGCTACAAGGGGTGCGGTGTGCAACGTCACCCAGGAAGACATGCCAGTGTTGAGGCAGAGGATGATTGTGGAGATGGCAACAAGAACTCTTTTCCCCCCGCAATACGCACCATAATCAGTGTAATCGGCCGAATGGCAAGGGGGGGGATCATAGGATAGGACAGGTTAGGGGACAATCAATAATGGCTGAAAAAAGGAAAGCGGATTTCTACAGGGTGTTATTTCTTGCTCTTTTTTTTTTCTCTCTCTTTTTTCTGGGCGGGGTTTGTTTTTGACTGGTTATTTCCCCTTTACTTCCAGTGGAGTTTTACTTCTCTTTTTTTCGGTTTCATTTTAAAGAGATAACGGCACAGACTTTATCCATCTTTTTTTTTCTTTTTTCTTTTTTACTCTTGCAGCCTATTTATGCGGTGTTTTTTTCATGGGTTTTCTCCCTCCCTTCTCTCTCTCTCTACTTTAAAGTTGGCGTTCAAGTCTCGTACCCTCTTTTTGTCATGTTGGAGGTGTAGTTTTAGCATAGATATCTTGTGAGCGTTGGTGGTGTGGTGGGAAAGACAAAAAGAAAATTGAGGCGGTAGTTTAGTTATCGTTTTTTTCTTCTTCCTTTCTTTTCTTCATATTTCCCCCCTCCTTTCCTCTTTTTTTTTCTGTCGGGAGTCTGTTTTTGCGTGGACTGTAATATATTTATATTTTTCAAATATTTGGTATTTGATACGTAAGTTGCTTATTGTGGGCAATTCATACTGGAATGGAATAAATATGACACGACCAAACCTTTTATGGGTCTTTTATTAAGATTCCCTCGGCTGTTTTGTTCATTTTTGTTTTGCTATGAAAAGAGGACTGTAGTTTTGAAAGTGGCAATAGCAATCACAACCCCTCACTCGCAGCGGAACCCGGACCCTTGAACCGCCAAGACATGCATGACAGTACTCTACTAGTAGCTCGTCCCGTACCTGAACGCGCGATCATTGACATTCGCGCACACCGTCCCACACCAACCACCGCCGCCCGCTTTGTACAAATGTGTAGAGTTAGTCAGAACCCTGGGGGGCCACGGAATGTCACTTTCTCATGCATGTCCGCCGACATTCCGCGCCGGCCCGACTCGGACCCAGTTCACCGGACGGAGTAAGCTGAGTACCGCGCCGGGCAAGTCAACTACATGTACCCTCCGTGTGATCCCACTCACCCTCCGTGGCCACCACACCTAGCCAACCACCGACTTACACCGGAGGAGCCTCTTGGCTGCACCCGATGCAGCCGTATTAGTAGTAGCTAGCTGATATGATGCCGCGCGCACCCGGGTTATATAGAGGCGAGAGTGAGAAAGACTCGACGGGGCAAGTAAGTACATGTATTTGGGGGTACTTCTAGCTTGGAGAGGGAGGTGAGGGTGTGTGTTTGTATGGCGAGACTACATACATGTACCGAACCATCCTTACCCCACAGACCCTTCGTTACCCCTAGCCGGCTGGCCCGCTGTCGTCTCCCAGGCAAAATATAGAGACGATCCCAGCTACATAGCAGTGTGTACCACACCGCAACCTACTACAACAGAGCCTAGGTACATGTAGTGATAGCCCACTACTCGGCCCTCGCACGGTTAGTATGTACATACATCCAGGTTGTATGCATGTACAAAAATTTGTATGGGAGCACATACAAAATCAGAAACACCCAAACCATGGCTTTAAAAATTAGATCTCACACACCTGAGGAAATGGACTTGAAACTCTAGAATTCTTTGGGCTCCGTCTTCCAACTGTCCTGGAAGCTTTGAAATTTTTTGGGGTGGGGTTGGTTGCTTTGATCGGGTAAGTAGCCAAACACGGCTGCTTTGGCTGTAAAAAAAAAAAAAAAAGGGTATATCATAAAAAAACCTTCTGTCCTAGTATTATACAAGAGGATGCCCAGTGGGGTTCGTGGTAGATTATGATAGTAGGGCTTAGTAGGCGTCTCCCTAGCCCGCTCGGCCCTCACTCCCTCAAGTATTACTTCCCGGCCTTTGACAGGTGTGTGGGCGGGGTAGTCTAGTGGTAGACGCCTCGGTATATGACCACAGCATCACTTTTTGTAAAAAAAAAAATTATTTGCCAGCTTGATTTCACAGCTCGCCCATAATTTGGGTCTCCCTCTTCCCCCCATGGTTAGGGCTGGGTGGGATCTGCGTAGGATTCGGCTGGTTTAGCGCGCGGAACTTGTTAACGTTTAGACCATATTCTCTCGCAGTATAGTTAGATACCTACATGCAAGCAATAATGTACGTACATGTGCTCATCATCAAAGCTAGCTTAAGCAGTACGAAACCCAGACCACACCAATTAATCAATTACAAGCTCTGCTTTTTTTACAAAGAGATAGCTGTAGGCTTCGTTATCAATTAATGTGTCGATAAGCTACAATACATGTACGCAGCGCACAGTAGATGTACAGAGAGGGTCGTGGTTCGGTTTCAATTTGACAGAAAGATAGAGAGAGGTGGAATCTGCGAGCTCTCTAGTTAGCACCAACTTTGGCCTCGGTGGGTAACACCAGTTCCGTCTCTGAGACGCTCCTGTCCGTCCCCGCTAGCTCCAATCCTCATCATCATCATACAACCTCAACCACGGCAAGCCGTAGCTATCATAAGACACTACCCTATCACCATCCCAACACCCCAAATCACAGCGATAACGCAGCAGACCCACTACATATCTATAGTACCGCGCTGTTTCACCTACTGATTGTTTCACGATGTCACTTGTACTTGAATCACGAACCATCACTCGCCGCACCATTCTGTCCATCTAGCCAAGAAAAGTTCATTCTCTCTAGCTCTGCATGCTATCGATCTCTAGATTACTATTACGGCAATCCACTCCACCCCACTCCACTATCACCAGAAAAGAAAAAAGAAAGGAAAAAGAAAAGAAAAGGCAACATACAAGAAACCCTCATTCCACAGTTGGCATAGCACCATTATCTCACATAGCTCAAAAAAAAAGGAATAAAAAACAGAAATCAAAGGACCCCCCCTCTAGACAAAAGCCGCCATAACAGCTACAACCGCCGCCACCGCAAGCGCACCCGCGCCAACACTTCTGGAACTAGCCACACCCTCCGCATCATCCGCCGCAGCAGTCCCATTACCCGTGTTATTCCCCGCCCCCGAGGTGGTCTCGCCACTGGGCGTATTGCTCTGATCATCCGCCAGCGGCGTAATCGTCAGATTCGCAACCTCCGCGCCGCCCGACGTATACACCTTATGCGGGGTGGTGAACTCCGTCAACTCCACAATCTTGCCCTTATTCGCATTCTGCACCCCGTTCGTGAGCAGGTCCTCATCGGGGCACGCGGGGATGTCCATGCTGGTGTTAAACTTTGCGGCGTGGTCCTGGAGGATGAACTTGTCTGAGCACGTTGGTGGGGACGCCGAGGCTGACAGCGACGAGCGCGACGTGATGAGCGTGATGTCGATGCCGTTGTACTGCTTCTGCAGGTTGTCAAAGTCCTCGAGTAGGGTTGCGTCGCCGTCGCTCGAGATCTCGACGAGCCCGTAGTCGGACGGCTCCTGCGTGTACTCGTAGACGAGGCCGCCGGACCAAGAGTCGATCATGCGGTCGCCGTAGAGCGCCGCGATCTCGTTGAATGGGCGCGGACGCACGGTGTTGCAGCCGAACTCGCTGAAGAAGAGGGGCACGGAGGTGTTGGAGAAGGTGGTGACGAGGCCCTGGTAGCCGGACGTCTCCCAGGTGCTGTCGCCGCACCACTGGTAGCTGTTGAGTCCGTAGAAGTCGGCGCGTGAGTCGGCGTCGTCTCCGCAGGTGAGGTAGGCCCACATGGGGCGGCGGGTGTCGTCGTCGGCGGCGGAGTAGCCGACAGGGATGGTGCGGGAGGCGTGCGCGGCGATGTATTGCTTGAGGTCGCGCTGGATGGCGCGGATGTATTGGGGCACGGTTTGGGCGGATTTGACGCTGTTGACGACTTCGTTGCCGGCGAAGAAGCCGAGGAGGTTGGGGTAGTCCTTGAAGGCCTCGACGACGGAGAAGATGCGCGTGAGATAGCCGCTGTGGTAGCTGCTGGCTGGGTCATCGCGGTTGAGGGATTCGCCGCTGAGTGGCGAGTTGACGTCGAGGGCGAGGTAGATGCCGACGGCGTTGAAGATGGAGACGCATTCGTCGTGGTTGAGGGCTGGGTTGATGTTGTAGACGCGGATGGTGTTGACTCCGAGCTTCTGCATCACGGCGGCATCTGTGATATTACATGTCAGTACTTCCTGATGTATATTACACACACGCACACTGTATACATGTACTGGTAGCACAGAGAAAGGAGCAGCGGGAGGAGGTGAGACAAACCGCGAAGACATGCATCCGCATCACTGAGCGGGTCGACACCGGAGTTGGGGTCATAACCACTGGCTATTTCCCACACATTCCAATCAGCTTATATTCCATGATGCATAGAGTAGATAATAGCAGATAGCTAGGGAGGAAAAGAAAAAAGAAAGAAAACATACCCCCAGCAGGCTGATAGGCCAATCCCACCATGACGAAGCGATCCTCAGTGACGGAATTGACAAAGTCGCTGCCGTCGACGATCAGGGGGGATGCAGCAGATGCCAGATGAGCGGCTAGCACCGTGGTAAGAGCCGACTATCATTTTAAAATTTTGTTAGAGATGTGTTCTTTTTATTTTTCTTGTTTTATTTATTATCGATTGATTGGTTTGGTTTGGTTTGATTGATTGATGGCAGATAAAAATAAAATAAAAGGTAGATTAGAGGAGGATTCACTTACAAGTGCAATAGACTTCATGGTTACGTGAAGAACCGTAGTGTGTGTGGGTATGCAAACGAATGACAGAGAGCAGTGAACGAGAGTCTGAATGAACGAAGCGAGAGTGAGTGTTGTCTACTAGGTATTAAGATGATGATGGAAAGGAAAGAGAGAAAGGGAGAAAGGTGGAAGGAAGGAACGAAGGGCGGTAGTGGTAGCAAAGTCAAACAGGAAATGAGCAGGACCTCTTTAATCAACCTCCGTCGTCTACAGGAACCAAGGAACAGGCTGCATCATGTAATCCAATCACCCACTCCACTCCGTCATGCACGGACCAAGTTGGGGGGGGGAAAGGGGTTAGCTGATGAGAAACAGACGGATCGTGGACGGCCAGGGGTTAATTGGAGCGAGGGCTTTCCCGGGTTCCCTCTGTTCCCACACCACGAGAGGAAACACCGCACATCATCTCATAAATGGTAATATGTATACATGTAGGTATCTTCTCTGCAGTTCAATATGTAATAAGCAGGGCTCTACCTGTAGCAATCCCCAGCAATACCGTCAATTAAACATCTACCCAGCTGCAAATGAAAATACGCTGCCGCAGAGTAGCGCCAATACTCCGCGCAGAGGGTTAGGGTTACACACCCACCCCCAGCCGATCGCTAGCTCGGTCAAACTTTAATTTTCACCTAATTTCTGATCATTTCCCCCGCCAAACCTTAACGTCGTCACCAAACAAAAAGAGTCAGAGCCAACCTCAACCCAACCTCAACTCAACCTCAACCTCTCAACACCTCACCTCTCAACACAGCATCCACACAGCACACCAAAAAAAGCCCCAAATATCACGACATCTACAATAATAACTATCTAACCCCCAATGGCCGAGCCCGAAGCAGACAACCTGCGCATCCAGCACACAAACCCCCAAGATGTCGACCTCTCCGACGAGACCCAAGACTTCCGCTTCCTAAACCTCTTCAAAAAGTAACCCCCCCCCCCCCCCCCTCCATCTCCTCTCCCCTCTCCCCTTCCCCTCCACCCACAACTCACACCGCCCCACAACAGAGCAGACCCCGCCTCCCTCCCCCGCCGCGGCGAAAAGGACTTTGAACCCGACGGCACCACCCTGCAAGACACAATCCTGCACGAGTCGCGCCTCGCCATGCACGAAGCGCTCCTCGGCGAGCGCAAGCACTCCACAAAGGCGCACGTCGAGGCCACCTGGCGCCCCGCCAAAAGCCTCGCGCAGGTCAAGGTCGCCCGCGGCCCGCACTTCAAGACCGTCGGCCGCGCCGACAAGCACGGCGTGCTGTGGCTGCTGCCCGAGGAAACGATATACCTGGTTGAGCGCGGAAACCTCGAGTGCTGGTGGGAGGAGGGCATCCCCATGAGCCTGCAGGGCGCATATGCGAGCTGCCTGGACGGCTGCGGGGGGCTGGAGAGGTATCAGGTGTATGCGTACCTCAAGCGTGCGGGGTACATTGTTCAGCGCGCTGCCACGTTTGATGAGGAGCCGGAGGAGTCTGCATCGGCGGCAGTGGTAGCGGTGCAGACGGTGCAGCCGCGGAAGGGTACATCTGGCGGAGTGGGGCTGACGAGCATTGTGTCGCTGGCAAAGACGTTCTTTTCGCCGGCGCTGCCGGCCCACGGCCCCATCATCGGCCCGGGGACGTATCGGTCGTACGACGCAATCTACACGCGCCTGTCACTGATCCCGTCGCACCATCCGCCGCGGAGGCCCACGCACCCCGTGTCGGCAGCGGCGGGGCGGGCGCCGTTCCGCGTGGCGTATAATGTGTGGAAGCCGCGGCCGAGCTTCAAGAAGAGCGATCCGCCGGCGCCGGATTTCCGTGTTGCGGTTGTGTCGGCGCGCGAGACGAGCCTGCCGACGCTGCGGGAGCTGGCGGCGCTGTTTGATTCGGTGCCGGTGGATGCGGAGACGGCGGCGAAGGCGCAGTTTAGCAGGCTGAAGGATGGGTGGAGGAATGTGGTCCTGGCGGTGGTGGATAGTGGGGTCACGAGCTATTTGAAGATTGGGGATGTGGGTTTTGCGGGCGAGGAGATGTGGAAGTGGAAGCCGGGAGCGGGGCGTGGTGGGAAGAGGGGCGGAAGGGGTGGGAGAGGGGGCGCGAGGGGAGGTGCTCCTGGGAGAGGGAGGGGCAGATAGATATTGTAGGGGGGAAATTTTTCTTTTTTAATAGAGCCTTACATAGATCATTGATACCAGTTTAAGGGTGCCGAGTGATCGATGGTGATGCACCCGCTGGCCGAACGTGCAATTCCTACAAAGTGCAACAAATCCCTTTAGGCTCAAAGCAAGCGGCCAGTTCAGAACCTATACTCTCAACATATCTAAAAACCGCATGTTACGAACCCATACATAACTGCGCCCCAGCTGTAGCTACCCCAGGTCTTGTCTCTCTTAGGCCCCGCTATCTCCCCGCTCCAAACTGCTTCTTAAGCGTTAGCACCATTGGCGTGTAGTTAGACCCAAAGCCTCTCCGCCTCTAGCTCTCGCTCTGGTAATGATTCAGGGCTCGGGCCTTGCGGATGTAGTCATGGGCTAGCTAGGGTAAACATCCCCGTACTTCACCCCGCAACCTAGCTCACGCCCAGTGATGATTCTAGGCCCAAGCCTGTAGCGCACAGGCACTCGCTCGGGCCGGTTGGTTAGTCTCGGGGCATGTGGATCAAGTGGAGACTGGGTTAAGGTCTCATGGAGTGTGGCAAGATAGGTTAGCTAGTAGAGTGGTCGACCTGGGTCTAGCAGATGCTCAAGAGCGGGTTGGCTCGGGCGAGAGTGAAGAGGGCCGGTTGGTTGGTCTGGAGATCTGAGGAGGAGAAGGGAGTTGATCGATGGGCTCCGATAGGTAAACATATCGTTGATGGTTGTCCTGGCCTTCTCTTCTCTGCGCATCTCTGGTGTCGCAGGATCGAGTGGCCACTGTGACGTGCGTGTAGTAGCCAATCAGCGTTCGTGATTCAGTAGCACAACTGTTAGCGTTTGATATGGTGTAACTATTAGCTATTGGAGCAGATAGGAGTAAGAGTGCGAGTGGTGTTTGAGCTTGCCAAGCTAGATGATGAGCGGGCGTTTGTATATGCCAGAGTCCGTATGGACGACGTCACCGTAGCTGGTTGTAATCGAGAGGTTTCTGATTAGAGAGTTTGACCACGTCCTTATCTTGTTGCCCTTTCTGTTACAGCGAATCGTAGGAATACGGGAGGGATTCAGCTATCAATTCTTGTTCATAGATTCCTGTTTCTAGCTACCCTTCGCTGTCGTACTGTATGTGAGTCGATCCCTGTGGCTGAGATTGGTTCCGGAGTGTTGAAAGTAGGATTACAATACCACGTAGTCTAGAGCTTCAATTGATGTCATGTATAAACCCAATACAAGTTATGTATCTCATAGGAGCACTGGGCATGACACCATTTCTCTTGACAGAGAGCTCTTTATTATTCGCCACTGTGCGCGTGGCCTTGCTGCCTTGAACGACACATATGAAATTCGGAGCAGGTATAATTACAACGAGTGATAATTAGTGATTGAAAAGCACACATGGATGCGTCTAGAAGTCAGGCAAGATTAAGTGGGAATTTAGTTACTCTAGAGATTCCCCTTAGATTTTCTGCGCAATAGTATCGGAATTCTCTTAGCTTATTAAGCCTGGTGCTTTCAGTGCGCACTCCGATGAGAATCAGACATCCGGCTAGGATCACATTCTTTGTTCCCGGATCCCACCACACGACAAAACTTCAGCCTGGGACGTCGATACTATCATTGATACCAGATAAAAAGCAAGTTCTCCACGGGGCGCATCAGCTGACTGCGCGCGTGCCCCCGTGCCCCGTTGAACCCTGTCTCTCACAGAACACATCACACTCGGTCCGGGTAACGTAGCCCAGCCCAGCCTCTCCTCTGCATGGGGATATCTGATACCGGGAGCTATGAGACCCTTTATCAACAGCTACTAGAGCTATCTCCCCCCCCCAAACCAACAATAACAACAATAACAACCCACAGAAGCGTTTCACCATGGATTCAATCTTCACTACAGCCCGGGAGGCCGCGAGGGAGTGTACATCGCTCCTCAATCCCTCACTCGTCAACTTTGCCTTCTCGACATGCATCCTGCTGGGCATTCTCGGGTCCTACATCCCGCAGCATTACAAGATAATAGCGCGTGGCTCCAGTGAGGGAATCAGCCCTCTGTTTGTGCTCCTTGGGGCAACGGGTGGAACGTGTGGGTTTGTGAATATCCTCATCCTGTCGCAGGGAGTGTTGGGGTGCTGCCAGAAGGGTATTGGCGGGTTCAACTGCATCGCCGCCAGCCTGGGTGTCGTCCAGGTCGGGATGCAATGGACCTGTTTCGCTGTTATGTGAGTTCCCGCCCCCCCCCCCCCTACCTGCCCCCCAGGCAAAACTAACAGCAGTGCAACAGCCTGCTCCTGTTCCTGATCTACTTCCCGCGCGCCTCGCCTCTCGCCTCACCCGCCACCTCGCGCAACAGCCCCCCGAGCGCGCAGCGCTAACCGTCACCCTCCTCTCCGTCCTCCACTTTGTCATCGTCGTCGCGTGCACTTTCTACTTCTCCCTCCTGACCTCCGAGGACACCCCGCACACCCCCGAGACCATCCCGCAGCCGAGCCGGCAGCTCGTGGCATGGGCCAACTTCCTCGGCGTCCAGGCGATGGTGCTGGCGGGGCTGCAGTACATCCCGCAGCTGTACACGACGTGGACGTTGAAGCATGCGGGGAGCCTGAGTATTCCGATGATGTGCATTCAGACGCCCGGGTCGTTTGTGTGGGCGATTAGTTTGGCGACGAGGGAGGGGACGAAGTGGAGTAGTTGGGCGACGTTTGTGCTGACGGGGATGCTCCAGGGGGCGTTGTTGGTGATGTGTGTGGTCTGGGAAATGAAGAATAAGAATGAGGGCACGAAGGACTCTGCTACTGTCGATCAGGATGAGGCAGAGAGGAGGCCACTTATCGGGAATGAGACGTCGTAGTCGGGTTGGAAGAATTAGGGAATGTATTGTAGGATCTTTGATTATGGGTTTTAGCTTGGTTTTCTTTCCCTCTTTAATCTTGTTTTGACGTCGGTGTTTTAATGAGCGATGACAGTTGGCTCATACATATACATTTGCGGCGCGAAGTTTGGAAATGTAATTTAGGGCTGTATTATTACTACAGTATATATTTACTGTTTTTATCACTATAAATACCTTATTCCCATTCATCCATTCTCAAAGAAATATTTATGACTATTGATCTGAACCTACATGTACTAATCTAAAAACACATAAACCACCCATAAACCAGAAGCAGCACCAGGCCGCCCTACAACACCGCATCAACCCCCTCCCCAATCCCCTTCAACCTCCCTCTCCACCATCACCTCCCCAATCTCCCTCAACATGCCCCTCAGCCGTCCCTCCACCTCCTCGCGCCGCCGTACATTCTCGGCCACGGCCTCCACCTTGCGCTTCCACTCCTCCATGGCCTCCATCTCGGCCCACTTCTTCCGCCGCGCCTCCACGGCGGCAGCGCGCGATACGGCGTTGGGGTTCGACGGGTGCGCGAGCGGTTTGAGCGCTGCGAGGGTGCTGTTGGCGGAGGAAAAGTAGGCGGCGAGAAGGGAGAGCTCGGATTGCGTCTGTTTGTGCAGTGTGGTGAGCGATTGTGTGCTGTAGGTGATGTGGGTGAGGAGGGAGTGGAAGTGTGTTGTTGGGGCGTCCGGGGCGCGGGGGGTGGGAGCGGGAGTGGGGTTGCCCATGGTTTTTTTGGATGTTGGTGAGGATCTTTAATACTGGAGATATGTAAATGGTATTGTGAAAGTGGTTGTAGAAAAAAGATCTCTACTTAAGGATCTTCCTGGTAGGCAGGTCTAGAGTTGGTGATATTATGGAGGGTTGTAGACTCCGCAGAAGGTTATCCTACAATAAAGGGATTTAAACTCTGCTGGGAAACCTTATATTCTCCGCATTGCTACCGCCCCCCGAACCTCCCCCCGTATTGCTGTTGGGTTACTTGAAGCATACTCGAGACGTTTCGGTATTGCCTCGAATTGTGTTAAGACCCCCTGTTGGTGGCTACTGTCTTTTTGGGGCTAGCGCCGGTGGTACAAGGGGCGAGTGATGTTTTGTGAATGGGGCGTGGGGGGTGATTGGTGAGTGTGGATCTGTAGTAAGCGCGGCATTTGTTGCACTATGTTGGTGAAGTTTCTGGCGGTTTACGCAGGTACTTCTTACATGTGCTCATTCGGGAGTGGGTTAGCTACATGTAATATGTGCATGATACAAAATTGTCGATTAGTGGCCTACAACCAGATCTAAGGATAGATCTTGAGTGAGGCATAAGGCTAGGAGGGCCTTGAACTGTTTTCAGAGCTCTTGTGTAGATTCGCTCCTGCATTACCAGAAAAAAAATACAGATGAGGAAATGTCTCAATCATCTTACCCCGCCGATGAGATGCCATTACTCTACACATCGCACTATGCACTCTACATCTACTGCAGCGATGGTGATGCCTCCAGATCCGGGTGTCACCAGGACGGATAATACATATGCTTCTAGAAAGAAAGAAAAAAAAATCATTTCCACCCCTTTTCACGGCATGTGACACGTGTGACGTTCTGTTTCGATGTCTTGGCATAAGCTAAAGCAGGGATCAGAACAAGCTCCGCCGAACCCGATAGAAGGAATTTCTGAAATTTCGCCCCGTTGTCCTCCCCATCCAATTCATCTCTTCTTTTTGTTCTCTCTCTCTCCCCTTCTCATCCATTCCCTTCCGCTGTCATCCTATCTCCATCTTCTGTTATCACTGCCGCTGCAATCATGGACGACTCAACTGCTAGATCTGCCTTGGACTCGTTCGAGATCATTACTACCTCCGGCATCCTCCTTTGGTCAAAGAAGTATGCACCAGTCAACCCGAGCGTCGTCAACAGCTTTATCAGTGATGTCCTGATTGAGGAGCGCGTCCAGCCTGGCACGGACGGGAAATACTACAAGAAAGATTCGTATATGCTCAAGTGGACCACTGCGAACGATTTTGGCCTGATCTTCATTGTGCGCATATGCCCTCGTGACCTCTGTTTCTTATCGCAAAAAATAATACTAACATCTATTTTTTTCTTTTTTCAGGCTGTCTACCAATCGCTTTTGCAGCTCACCTGGATCGACGAGCTTCTGGACACTGTCAAGAAGTTGTTTACAACCCTTTACGGCGAACAGCTTAAGAAGCCGCATACAGCCACTATTGAATGTCACTTTGACGACTATTTCAATTCCAGGATCAGCGAGCTTGAGAGGAAAGCTGGAGGACCGCGACCTATCATTTCTGCCCCCGTCATTGAGCAAGCCAAGGATGACGGAAAGTGGGATGCACCACCGCCGCCCCCCATCCCGGGGATTCTCAAGGCGCCACCGAGACCAGGCTCTCCAGCCATTGCGAACAGCGCTCTTATGAGACCGGGAACTCCGGAATCTCGTTCAAAGTCACCTGCTCCGGCTAGTCATCTTCTTGCTGGGACTAGGCGCCCTGCCCGTGGTCGCCGGGGGGGAAACTCTGCGCATGCTTCGAGCGGCGAGGAGAAATCGCCTGCGCGTAATAGTAAGAAGGGGGGCAAGAAGTTGCGCAAGTGGGATGCGGACGGGAATGCAGATGAGGAGGATGGCGCCGTGTTGGATTACTCCGCTCCTGGTGTTTCTACAGACGAGGACACCGATCACGGGTCGCGAAAGATGGATTATATTGAGCAGAAGGAATGGGGTACCAAGACTTCAAAGGGAGAGTTCGTGTTGAAAGATCTAGATATGGAGGTAAACCAGATACTGAAAGAGGCGGAGGAAAAGGATCGGGCAAGCAACACTGCAAGCTCTGGTTATGGGGCTTTCGGCTTTTTCCGGAACATTGTGGGTGGTAAAACATTGACAAAAGCGGATCTCGAGAAGGCTATGACTGCCATGCAAGAACATCTTTCAAAGAAGAACGTTGCCCGAGAAGCTGCGGTCCAGGTTACTGAATCAGTAGAGAAATCCCTTATCGGCCAAAAGACTGGATCCTTCCAGTCGATTGAGGCAACTGTTAAGGCTGCTGTCGAGGCTTCACTCCGCAAGATTCTTACACCCACAAACTCACTCGATCTCCTTCGTGAGATCCAAACCAAACGCAGTGGGTCATCAAAGAGGCCATACGTTATCTCCATTGTCGGAGTAAATGGTGTCGGAAAGAGCACAAATCTCTCAAAGATTTGCTTTTTCCTCTTGCAGAACAAGTTCAAAGTTCTGATTGCCGCTTGTGATACCTTCCGTTCTGGCGCAGTTGAGCAACTCCGCGTCCATGCTAGAAACTTGAAGGAGCTGTCTGAGCGTGAGGGTGGTGTCGTAGAGCTCTATGAGAAGGGCTACGGAAAGGACGCCGCAAACATCGCGAAGGACGCCGTGGCCTTTGGTGAGGCTGAGGGCTTCGATGTTGTTCTCATCGACACTGCCGGAAGGAGGCACAACGACCAGAGGCTTATGAGCTCTTTGGAGAAGTTTGCGAAGTTTGCGGAGCCGGATAAGATTTTGATGGTTGGAGAGGCGCTTGTCGGGACCGATTCGGTGCAGCAGGCAAGGAACTTTAATGCTGCATTTGGGAATGCTAGGACGCTGGATGGGTTTATCATTAGTAAATGTGATACAGTTGGCGATATGGTAAGCCCCTCTCACCCACCATAAGTTCATATTTGGATATGTGTGCTAACAAAGAAAACAGATTGGGACACTCATCAGCATGGTCTTCGCTACAGGAATCCCGGTGGTGTTTTTGGGAACTGGTCAGAACTATCAAGATTTGAGGACGCTGAACATTGCCTGGGCCGTCAAGTTGCTCATGTCGTAAGGAGTCTGTGGGGGGTTTATGGAAATTTTGAATATTTTCGTTAGCATTATTAGTTAGGTTGGTTGGGGGACTGGGGCTAAGGTTGGGGGGAATATCAGATTGTTGCCAATTGGTTCTCAAAACTTGATCACAGTTTTTTTTTTTTTTTTGCGCGAAATAGTGATGCACCAGTAGCGGTATGGGGGGGATAATCGTAGTTACTGCGGCCTGAGAGCTAGCAGGTATCTAGCAAGTATCGCTATCGAGCGAAATTACTGAAGCCTCCCCTCTTTGGACGCCCGGATAGTCGCTCAACAGCACCCCCAGGTTAGGGTTACCACGTGGAGAGGCGGTGTCAAAACAGCTTCCTGGCAGGTGCTTGCATGGTGCACTGGAAAAGTGCAATGATGCAAGCAGGGGCACGGTTGACGCCCGGACACGCGAACCACGCGTCAAGGTCATACGGTACAGCCAGGCCTCAGTACTCCGCCCCACAATGTAGAAGGTTAACTAACCAGCCAGCTCACGCATTGAGGGGACTGGGACTGCTCCTCCGCCCCTTGGCGAAGCTTGTTAATGTTGTAAATGGGGGCCATTGTCGAACGACTAAGGCTGCGTAAAACTTTGGATGAGTCACGCATGCAAAGAACCATCTGATCAAGACCTATGTACACAGTCTGGTAGAATTATTGCTGAAGTCAGAACTAAAAGAGTGGGCTTCTTGGTCCGTGCTTACTGCAAAAATTCCTTGAAGGGCCAATAGGACTATCGGGTCACGGGAAAACCAACTTTCGCAATAATTCTACCGGCCATTGTACTGTCCAAGAGAGATTAAACGGGCAGCGGGGAATAGAATACCCCCTCCCATCCTTCCAAGGGATCTGTTAGAGGCCTTAGCATAAAAGCCTACTACCAACGAGCGTGTAAATTCTGCTCTGCTGACTACTGGCCGTGCTTAACGTTCCCGTCATGGGCTATCACTCGGTCGATTTACATCGGCGAAATTCGGGTCGGTAGGGCTGGTGTTCATGCTTGATCAGAGCTGAACCTCCCCGGAAGATGGACCGGGATTGGTGGGTACTGGAGGTCGGATATTGGGGTGCATAGCCACTGTGGAGTGGTGGTTATTGGGTTGGGGGGGGACGCGGGGAGCTAGGGGACGTATGGTAAACATGCCTTATAATTATAATCACCGTCTTTATACCGGTTTTGATACTTTGGTGCCTTTGATATCATTGTAAATCACTGCTCGCGTGATGGGAGGCCGGTTATTCGTAATAATTGGGAGTCTTGTTCCCTGTTTGGATAATCCTATGCAGCTTCATCACTAAGGGCTCCGCGGTAACGGGTCAGGCGAGATATGCCATCCTATGCTTGTGATGGTAGACTGTGCTATTGGTTTATATTGGGTAGATGCTAGACAGCGAGCTGCCTGCAGGGGGTGGGTATGAGACTCAGTTGGTAAACGCTCGCGTCCATGCATGATGCCAGCCTGATGAAAAAGCAGTCTGCATTGCCGTCGATGAATCCAGGAAGTAACTTTATTCAATTCGAGTTTCTCGCCTACTATCACGTTGGTGAACAGCCTCAGTAGGACAGGTTCTTAAGGTAAGTGACCAACTAAGGAACAGGACGAGCCGGTTGCTTTACGTACTTTATGGGTATTCCCGATTGAAACATGCTATGGTCTATATATATACAAGGCTAAAGCGATATTTTAAAGCGTACCAACAGCCAAGAGATAGAGGCAGAGAACACGTTAAAGAGCGGGGTCAAGTATATACGTGTAATGAAGTTAGAGGGCGGGTGTACTGGGGTAGCAACATTAACGAGCGACAGACCCGAGTATAGCAAAGGGGGATTTCAGCTATAGTACCAAGCAAGTGGATATTACCTCCACCAGCGTAGAATCTGAAGATGTGGGTAGCTATACCATGGCTGAAATATTTTGTTATTTCATTTTTGAGCATAAAATAGCCACATGGTTCAAATAAACCCCCTAATCATATTTCCATCCACGCAACCGTCATAATAAGCATTAACCTCTCATAATTTATCTCTCATGACCATGCCTCCTGAACTGCGCGAAAGCTTGATATACTCCGTATATCAATTTGGCTTTCAGCCGCAGAGCCTAGGTCTCTATCACCCTCCAATGCATTTGTCCATGAGCGTTTAGGCAGTGTGCCGACGTTCCCGCTTGGTAGCAAAGTCTTCGCCCTGCTCTTAAGTAATGGTGGTTTAAATCTCCTCCTTGTCGGGGTTGCAGTCTCAGCTCCAGCAGCCATAGTTACCCCACGTTTCAATTTCCCCACCGAACGCCGAACTTCCATTGTCTCTTTAGGCTCCAAGGGTCTCCCGAGCGGTGACACGTAGGGGCGGTGGACCTTGGTGCTTGTTCTTCTGCTTGCGTATACACTTAAAGGTCTTGATCCAATAGGAGAAGAAATTGGACTTGATGCTAATATCAAACCAGGGCCTGCTTTATGGCTCGATGGTAAACTGTCTGGATATGGGATGCATTTTTCAAATTGCTTAACGGAATCGACACCATTTTTGTGAAAAATTCCGGATATTGAAGTCCGCCGCCTCCCAGATCGATTGAGAAGCTCTTTGAGTGTTATTGGAGTTTTCGCTATGCTCCTTTGTCTTGAAAGCCCTACACGGGCTGGTGCAGGATTAGTATTTCTGATTATGATTTCCTCGACCTCGCCCTCGTCCTCCTCATCGTTGATCGATCGTTCATCTTCCTCATTGATGGCCTCGTTTACCGTTGCAAATTGAAGGGCTCTTCGTGTAGGACGGCGCAGATAGTCCAGTGAATTATAATCAATAGCACCACTAGAACTGTTTAAACACCGTTGGGCCATTGAAAAATAGCTACTCTCTGGTTTTTGAGTAAATAAACGTCGAGAAACTATAATTTATTTAGCTCCGAAAAGAAATATAGCAAGGGAGGATTGTTGAACCTGGAAGAGTGGGTTCCTCCTCTTCTGTGTCTTCTCCGTCAACGCTCCCCTGACTTAAAAAATCATTCCTCTTTGATCGTCCCCCTATATCGGAGTCAACTCGGCCGAGGCTAAAATGCGGCATCGGGGATGCCTCAGTCAGTTTTGGAACCCGATCTCCCGAGAATCCCCGTGGCTCGGGCCAGTGCAATTCAAGACAGGCACTGTGCATTTCTCAGAACTAGTGTTTATCTGGAGTTGCGGTAGTTCGTCTGAGTCCCGAAGTAGCAATCCCGCCTGTGCCAATCCACTTAGTTGTTCTTGATGAATACCCACAAGCCTTGTTGTCAAGGGCTTTTCATGGTAGGCTATGCTATCATTGGCCGCGTAATATTCAGCAGTAAATGTTGATTGAATGAGATTTAATGGAGGTTGGCTGTCAAGAGTTTCTACTTCTGATATCTCAATGCATAGTTGACCATATAAAGTTTCCGGTACTGACGGCAAGGGCACTGCCTACAAAAAAAAACATTATCAGAGTCTAGGTTACATAGATTTTCCATGCGGGTAGGTAATCACGCCTAAAGTAATACTGTGACAACTGGATAAGCGAAACATACCATATCTAACACCCCTCCTCCGGAGCTGCTGTCAATCTGTTCTGATCCTGCCAGCCAGTCAAAGCCACTGCCTGGCTTATTTCGCAACCTTCCTAAGGCAACATCCCTAGTAGGATTTATCTCCTCCTTCATAACCCTGCCAGGGACCGTCATTCTCGCTAACTTCGGTGTTTCTATCATGCCACCGAGAACACTTATTGGAAGGAGGGGTTTAGTACTGCGCGCACAAGCCTCTAAAACACACTTGTCACGTTCTTTATTACTATTTTCTTCTAGGATAGTAGATATCGGGTCAGCGTGCGGTCCACAGGGCTGTGCCTATAATTCCGCCTCAGAGTAACGTCAGCTAATAACGCCACTTCAAAGGGTAAAAGAGGAAATTATCTAGCCTTTTCATTAGAATCCTGAAACTCTTCAATATCAGTATCTCTTGAAAGAGGTAGAGAATTGTAGACCACATAATGTTTTCTTCGTTTCTGCTTCGTAATATCTACACCACCAATTAAAGTGTTCCACTCTATGTCATCAGTGTTCATTCTTTGTGTAGGTTTCTTTGTCTTAAAATTAGGCTTTTCTGTATGTTCTGCGTCCCTTTCAACAGCAGCAAGAGGATCAAGTAGAAATGTAGCCTCCCTCTGGTCTATGTCGGGCCAACTAGTTAACCCTGGGGTAACCAACGAAGCTTTTGAGGCTTTCCATGCAGAAGCATCCGCAATATGCCGGGGTCGTTTCCTGGAAGCCCTAGGGGCCCTGGGAGCTTTGGCCAACTGGGTAGTGAAGTTGCATTAGCCCTCATATGATTATTCTTTGGGATGATTCCGGAAGTTCTTACCACCCTTAGGAAATCGTCTACAGTCAATTCACGGCTTTCACTGCCAGTGTCAGCAGTGGGAGTGACTCGACTGCGGCGTCGGGACATGGCTATGTAGAGCAGCTAGGTAATCTATGCTGTTTAAACCGGGATAGGAGGGGGATCACACAGCGAATTTTACAAATAATTGCATGGATAGCTGCAAACTGTGATTAGTCGATGATTATGTTGTCCGGAAGAAGATTTCAATATGATTCGCGTTTTGCATACAAGGGAAGCTTTTTCACCACTAGCAGGGGTTAGACTTTAAATTTACGGCATAGCCCTGAAAGCTTGAGTCGAGTGCGGACGTATCGGCGGCCGGTTGTACGACACGAAATCGCAACTCGGGGGATTTTGGCCCCGGCTCCTGCAACTGGCCAACCACCAAGAAAACTCGCTACGGCCGAATGCCTCGTCGTTCCGTGATATCCGTTAGGTCCCCTTAAGCTTGGCACATGGGAGATATCTCGTACATAACTAGCCTGAACCCCAAGATTGATGGACCCTGAAGATTTCTGTCGATCAACAATTACTACTTTCGGTACTTATATATTACCCTCCCCGTCCTCTGCTCTTTAGTACGGACCAATATATCGAGGGAAGAGTAAAAACCTGAACCCCCAATTCAACCTAAATCGAACAAATATACCACCAGCAGAAAAAGCCCTCAATCTTGACTACACATGGATTCAAACTCAACAGCAATGGCAATGGCAATGGCGGTTGGTTTACCCTTATTTCCAGCGGAGATATAGACCGATATCCAAGTACTCGTCCTAATAATTTGTAGAGCAAAGGTCCGCCATACGCTCCAACAACAGCCGGTTTCGGGGGGCGTCCGGACACCAAAATTGATGTAGGCGTTTCGGCGCTCTTCATAGCTCTATTTGGACTTCTCGGGATCCTTCACATGAGAATATTCAGAATGAATAAAGCAGCTGGCCACTTCTTCATCTTCAATGGCGTGTGCTTCGGTTTCTGCATGTCTCGTATCACCACTTTTGTAATGCGGATTGGTAAGAAAACCCGACTGAGATCAATCATCGTTTTTTTCCTGTTTTGTTCTGTACTGATATTTTGTGGGTGTTTAGAATGGGCGCAGAATCCAACGAGCATCAGTATCGCAATCGCTGCCAACGTTTTCGTCTCCGCGGGTGTTATATTACTATATGTTATCAACATGAATTTCTGCCAGCGTACCGTACGAGGATATCACCCACGCTTTTATAACAGTAAACTATTCAAGAATGTTTTTCTTGCGTATTATATCTCGCTCATTGCAGTCCTCATAATGGGTAAGTTTGTTGTCTTAGGAGTAATGTGGTTGATGGCCGGTACTAACTTCTGCAGTGATTGTGACTACAGTGCAATCATTTTATACCCTCAACCCCTCGGTTTTGAAGGCAGATATGAGTACGTTATATCAGCATCATTATATTAATTTTAAGTTGCTGACAGACTCTGTATAGACGTCCGGAAATTCGGTGTCATGTGGTTCCTTATTTTTTGCTTTGCACCAATCCCGATAACTTTGACCGCAATTTTTATGCCCTCAACCACTGAACCGCAAAACTTCGGGAAGAAAGGAAGCTTGAAAACGAAAGCAATCATGGTTATAATCGTGTCGGCTGTTCTGAGTAGGCTCCCCTTGACATGTTTCGTTTCGTCGGATGTTTAAACTAATCCCATGATAGCTTTGAGTACCGGAGTTCGCGCTGCCGCAACATTAGGACCGTTACGTTCATCCAGCGACCCAGCTTGGTATAACAAGCGTGCAGCGTTCTATGTTTTTCTCGCTACACTCGAGATTTTGGTGGTTGGGTTTTTCGCTGTTATGAGGGTGGATCAGCGATTTTTTGTTCCTGGAAAGGCTGAAGCAGAACGTGAGACTGATGCCGAGTCGAAAACATCCGAGGGAACTGCGCGCCAAGTCTAAATTCCGTGGGGGCTCTCCTATGTTTCGGTTTATGGCGTATATTTTTGCCTTTTTATTCTTTTTAGCGTCATGTCGTTTATTTACCTACCCTAAGTTGATGTAAATTGATATATGTGATCTTATTTGTATGAAGTATATGTATTCGCAATAATTAGAAAATAGCATTTACTAGCTTTTTTGACCTTTACGAGTTTTGGTCAAGCCCGGTGCTTTTAGCTCGAAAATAAGCTTCCAGGGCTTGGATAGCGCCCTCTCGCTTGGACTTTCGCTGATCAAAGGTGGCGGTTATATACGATGAATGTTTAAAACGAACCAGGGTTGTGAGTCCTACTGGCTTGGGACGTCGTAGAGTATGTAATCTACATGTGGTATTCGATTCCCCGGCGCCAGAACGAGACACAAACTGATTGATCATGAAAATCTAGAACTACTAGCAATAGATCAGCAACAGAGAGGTAATTCGAACCAGACTCTCACGGTAATTGTCGTCTTGTAAAAGACGGTCACGTAGCCATGAAGCCTCCAAAAACCAATCTTATACTTGCGGTACTACCGATACTTTGTGTACCGATCATGAGCGTCTAATGTGCTGTTTTGATGTTGTTCTAATAAACTCGTCCCGATTGATTCAGAAACAATCGATTCTCGAATCGTTTTCGTCACGTCACAAGCAAAAGCGGCGTTAATGGATCACCAAAGCTAGGGAATTTAATCTAGAAAGGTGTGCCAAGGTGCAATTTGAGAGATTGGAAAAAGCAAAAAAATAACCGGTTGACATACAGGGGGCAGGTATTTTGTGTTTGCGATAGACCCACCCGCTTGACGCGTGCGGCGATTGCTTTCCGGATGCGATAAGAGAGATAGGTGCGGGTTGCTAGGGAAGACCAGACAACCGAAACACCACTGGCATGGTTGGCCAATGGTAAAGGAGATAAGGGCGATTTTCGCGTGGGACACGCAGGCTGAATATTTGGGAAGGGGGTGGCCAGCATTGGTTTGGTGGGTGGTGTAGGTGGTGGTGGGTATGGTTAGCGACGATAGAGAAGGTGGGTTGGTGGGAGTTGAGTGAAAGCAACAGACGGACAATCGCAATGGGGATTTGCTGGTGTGGGTGGGGACGTCAGGCAGGCAAGTCGGCATTCGCCCAGATGCACCACCAGTTTATCAATCAATGGAGACTCTTTCTGCCAGTGAGCACATACAAGACTCTATGTAGCAATACACACAATACATGTGCGTGTTCTAGAGTATCTGTTTTCTGGGTATAAAACGAGTTGCGTGTTCTAGATATAGAGCTCCATTAATTTGAATGCATAGCTACATGAGGTCTCAGGAACTTGACTTTATTTGAGTCAGCTCAGCAGCTTCTGGTCCAGACACAAGATTGTGTCGCAGTAGTACCTACGCAGCTCTGAAGTTGACCGTTTGACCTAATCCTAGTCCTTACAGCTAGTAAATACAGCCATACTTGTAGTGCCGCAGGCTGCGTTGCATCTCTGTGACTCTCAAACACACACCCGGTATCATTTGCTGTATATGTATGTAATGTATGTATTTTTACCTACCTGAAAGTATCTCCCGCCATGTATCTTACCCTATCCCTTGGACCACTGCCTTCTGTCTCTTAATCACTGTCCCCCTACCCTCCTTCCCCCCTCCTTCTCCAAACCGCTACATCATCTATCACTGAAGCTCCCTCTTCGCCCTACTATAATTAAATATCCTCGACTCTTTGTTGCAGTACACCCCACCGTCACCACTTCCTGTAATAATCTTATAACCGGTGCACCCCAATAGCCCGATATAGTGGTAACCCTCCGGCAGAGAAAGAGAGATCGCCGTGAAAACTTCAAGGTTTACACAATTAGCACACTTGGATTTCACAACTTTACTGATCTTCAGACTCTCATCACCAGTAGCAGCTACAATGGCTGCTGTGCTCATTCGACCACCAAGAGACACTCCCACCCCTCCACCGATGCCTTCAACCACTGCATCAACTCAGCCTCTCTCAGTGCCCGGGGTATCTTCAACTACCCCAATTTCAATCCCGAATAAACACATGCCAACCGTGGGACCAAACTATTCAAATCCTGTTACACCCCCGGCTTCTCCTCGTTCTGAGAACTCTGAAGAAGCGAATGGCTGCATGAGCTCATTGCTATACCCAGCAGACGACTACCCATCCGTTAATAGCTCTCCACCAGTTCGTGCTATTGATGCTGCTGGAGTTGCGGCCTCCCTGAACTTTACTTCAAGACAGCCGTTGCCCAACATCAATGATATATTTCCTTGGGCTCATGGACTTCATCAAGATAACAGCATACAATTAGCTTTCTTTTTTGCCCGGAAAAGGGCAATGCGAAGGGCCCCCACTTGCTACCGCGGTGTCGTTGTGGTAAAAGTTGGAGACCAGACACATTCAAGATTGAAGGGTTCAATTGCGCCAGAAGAGATACTTCACCCAAGCTTGACTGAGAATGCCTTTCTTAATATCGACCCAAAAGAAGGGTTCAGTGTTCGAAATTTCCATATACAGGTTGCAAAGTTCGCCTGTTTATCCGATATTATCGTCTATGGGGAAGAGGACGAGGCTGGTCAGGCGGAGGTTCTAAAAATTGCAAAGCGCATCTCAGCAGCTCAGCTCTATTACAGAGCACAGTTCCAAGGGAGCTCTAATCGCGAGTTCCCAATATACAGCACGTTCATTATCAAAAGTAAGACAATTGATGCCAGTCATTATTTTAAACAATCATATGTTGATATTATCAGGTCCATTCTCCATGTTTGAGAAATTCTTCCCAGAGATTGTTACTACCGATTCCAATGGTCGTTTGACAGGACAAGTTATCGATTTTTGTAAGCCAACCTTCTCTAAAGAACACAGTGAGCATATAATGACTTTTCAGGCCATTGGGAACGAGTGGAAATGTGCACGATGTCTAAAGCAACAGAGTTTTCCAAGAATGTTTGGCTAGGGCCAACAGCGGATGCTGGAGTGCCTTCTAGAGATGATACGCCCCGTTATAACCTTCTTATTGAGGCCAGTGATCAAGCAGCGATGCCTTCAGTAGAAACTCTCGGGGATTTGCATCAGGTTATGGAGAGCACAGAAACGACGCAGGTACTCGTATTTCCAGGATCTGGTACTATGCAATACGCACCGAGATATTCGACAGCTGAGATCGATGGTATAATTGACACCTGTCGCCTCATCCACTCTCTTGCAAACGGGAGTCAAGCAGATGAAGATCACGACGATGACGGTGACCATCCTATGACTACTCCACGAGAGCCTCGAAAAATACTTATTCATTGCACTGATGGATATACGGAGACCTCTCTATTAGCTTTGGCATATCTCATGTACGCTGAAGGACTTCCTGCGCACGCAGCATGGGTCACTATGCACACCACCAAAGGCCGCAACTTCTTTGCCTATGATAGGGATCTTCAATTTCTCAGACATATCGAGAACCGAATTCTTGAAGCTGCGGCCGAAACCAATGGGTACTGTCTGAACTATACAGCTTTGACACCCCCAGAATGGATTCATCGTCTAGATGGATCACTACCCAGCCGTGTTCTGCCCTACATGTACTTAGGAAACTTGCAACATGCCAATAACCCCCAGATGCTCGCTGCTCTGGGGATCAAGCGTGTCTTGAGTATTGGAGAGGAGCTCTCGTGGACTGACAAAGAGAGACATACCTTCAACAAAGAAAAAGCAATGGTTGTTAGGGACTTGCAGGATAACGGATGTGATCCTCTAGAATCACAATTTAGGAACTGTTTGGATTTTATTGGCAAGTCTATGCTGTTTGGCTTATTGGAGTGCTATGGCTAATATCTTATTCCAGACGAGGGGCGTCGTACGAATGAACCAATTCTTGTTCACTGCCGGGTCGGTGTTTCCCGCTCCGCAACTATCTGCATTGCTGAGGTTATGCGGGCACTTAAACTTTCACTTCCTCGGGCATAGTAAGTTCCTGTGGTTCTAAAGTACAGGATAATCACTAACATAATGGCAATAGTTGTTATGTACGGGCACGCCGTCTCAATGTTATCATCCAGCCACATCTACGTTTTATGTATGAGCTACTTAAATTCGAAGAGACGATGCCATTCAAAAACCGACACGGTTCTAAACGCGAGCTAGAATGGCACCATATTGCCCGAGAAGTTGCGACTATGAACCGACCATACACTCGACAAAACTGACTGCCGTTAGCGGATCCGGACTTGCCCTGCGTCTTAAATTTGGGCGATAAGACCGGGATTAACATAAATAATATAGTATCTTCCCTTTACTACCTTCTTCTTGTAATTCTTTTTTTCTTTTGTTTGATTCTATGACAGCTTGGCTTAGCTTCTGGGGGTTTCTTTCCTTTTCCCTTTTCTTCTCGGTTTCACGGCTTGGATTTGAAAATGGTCACACGATAGCATTTGTTTTTCTACGCAATCGTTTCTTTTTCTTCCTGTTTGTGCCTGTTTATTTCCTTTTATTTGCCCCGCACTTCCCTTTTTAAGGTATTTTTTTTTTACTGTCTGGACAATGGGCGTGGCGTCACTCGTTTCGGTTCTGAATAACGACGTGTATGGTCGAAGGAGTTTGTTTCTTTTTTTGTACTCTGATATTTTTTTTTCTTTTTTCCTGTTTCCCCCACCTTTATTTTTATGACACCATCTGCCTCGTGGCAGATATAGGTTGATATGGGACTTTCACTTGAGGCTTCGTACGAAATCTCCTTCCAATCTCAAGAAATACATTTTGATCAGTTTCGCAGGCATGCAATTTGGGCCTGAGTATTACTATATATCCTTGAACAAAGTGGGGATTTCTTTTCAGATGCTGAGCTCTCGATGTTATCTGCCGATTTTGAATTCAATATTTGCTTCTTCAATTGGTTGGCCCCGGTAGTTATGTAGTCCTTGTAAATTCTTTGTTTTTCGGAACAACAGGTTGTTCTACTTAATTTGTGATAAGTTCCCTACAATACTCACTTAGGTCCTTGCGGGAGAAAAACATCACTTGATTGATAGAACAGCTATTCATATCTATTGCCCCGCTGTGATGCGCCCGTCCGATGTTTCTACGATCAGTTCTCACAAAGCTCGGACACAATGCCAGTGTGCCCTTTGGTCCGATATTGTCCTACCAAACTAATTTCCAGTAACACGGTTCTTTACAGCGGCACCCCGGACACAAAAGAGAGGAACACAAGTCTTCTCCGGCACGCAGTCTCGTAGAGAATCCCCACAACTGACCCCTGTGTTTTGATCCAGTCACGATGGGACAAGGAAATCAGATCATAAACTAAGGAATATCATAACCAAGATCGGGGTAGATTGACGTCAAGTCCGTGCCCCAAAGGCATTGTACGCACTTTTACTGGCCAGGAAGGTGTGCGCAAGGAGGATTATTATGCACTGGAATCCTAGCCTCTGAACTATGCGGGTGTAGGGAAGATCGATATGTGGAGTTGATTAGTAGGAATGCTATGAATGCGGGTCCAATTGAAGTCGCGGGGGGTGTGTGACTCGCAGTTCTTTGCGCGCTTTTGCACGCACGGCCCTCGAGTCCTCCACAATATATCCGCATTCTTTGAGATCTACAGGTGATGTCGTACGTCGCGTCTTTTGGTGGGGTATGGTGGTGGGGGGACAAGTTCAGGGCATGGGAGTAGAGCAATAATAAGAAGGCTTGGTGCGAATTTTTATGTTTACTTGGACCTGTCTTGTCGCGTATATACGATCAGAATAGATTAATTTCAATCTCCATCGGTATTTCAATTTCGATGTTATTCGTGCAGGGTAGTGAAGTGCGAAGTGCGAAGTGCGCTGGGCCCAAGAATTTAGAGTAGTAGTAGTAGCAGCTAGAGTGAGGCGTTAATACCCGCTGCTCTAACAACATGCCGTTGATCCCACCGGGCGGATCCGAGATCGCTAGCGCCTTTAATTCTCAAAAGAACCGCCTCGATATTTCGATATTTTCCACAACTTCTGATCGTACCTCACGACATGAGGAGTTTCTAGTTGTTGGAGGTTTCACATCGATAAGGAAGCGCACGTACCACAAGTTATGTAACTATGTTTAGACCTGAGGGGTGCTTGGCATTTTAAGCTTAAACTACATGTAGTTGGAGAGGGCCGGGATTCTATGTATGTACCGAATAGGTTTATCCGAATGGATACCGGCATTTGTTTGGTTTTGAATTGATGGGCCCTTGATCTGTCGAACCGCTTTGGGGCCTGTCATTTGACTGCTTGGAATTGGAACTTAAGCATCATGCCGTCCTTCAGATTGCCCATTTAAGAGAGAGGGTCCGGGGTATTCAGAGACTGAGGGCCCGTATTCTTTCATGCCATTGAGTACATATTTAAAGCTCGTACTCCAAGAATATTCTAGACGCTTTTCAGGGCTCTGACCAGGTTTGAATCTGTGATTGCTGACATGATCTCAAGAGATCAAGCTTCGAGCTCAGCTGTTTTATTCCTGGGGTGGGATCGACTTATCTACATGTAGATCTCAAGTCTCACCAAATGTAAAATTTCTGTTAAGGCTACCTGCCTCTTACGCATGATGGGAACGCAATATAGATATCGAAGGCATATCAAAAATCGGTTTTTCCACGATCAAGTCCCTTGCCGGTGGCTTTACTGAATCAGGATCTTGATCCAATTACCACGTTGCTGCATGCGGCATAACGAATTAGCGAAGTGCAAACTCACGTCCCTTGCCTCTGAGGAAGGGGAAGCGTGTGCAGAAGATTCAACGTCATCGGATGAAATTATTCCACGAAAATGCAAAAGATATGGTACCTGAGGACTGTGGCACATACTTTTGGTACCATGCTTTTGGGCCCTAAGGAAGGTATGAATTGATTGTACAGGGTGCGTATCAAGTAATGGGAAGATAATGATTGTATCCTTATCGTGGCCTTATCTACCTCGTACATAACTGAGTGAGGAATCCAAGGTAGAGACCTTAGACATGTTGTGTATAGTCCTGAGCTGGACATTGTTGAAGTCTTGGTCCCGTGCCGGGCGGGGATTTCACAGTTACCAGCGGGATTAAATGCACCTAAAAGCGTTTTCTGGAGCACTAAGCTCGATATCCATGTTACTTTATTTTCGATTGGTGATGTCTGAATTTGTGGGGAAATGATATACTACGCCCAAAGGTCCTTGGAAAAGCGACGACGTTTGAGGTTGTGGCGCGTTCTGCGCTGCTCACTGCCACACCAGCAGGAGATCTCGCTTGCCCCTAGCTACATCTCCATCCGCCCTCACCCCCCAACGTCAACAATACCCCTCACCCCTCCACAGCTATCCTGCTTCCGATTACCTTTCCGTGCCCCCAACTACTACTGCTCCTATCCATAGTCTCTCACAAAAGTTCGTTCCTCCATTTTAAACCCCCCCCCTACTAAAAACACCCTGTTCCATAGAAAGTGTGGTGGGCTTCCTTTCATCGTTACAAGATCCTTGATTACCCCCCATTTACAACCACCAACCCCACGCGACCGACGAGACCTATCCTCCTCCATCAACTGCTCGTAAACAACGAACAGGACCAAACCTTCACAGCCCAACCCTTTGATACATACTCAAAATGGACACCAAAATGGAAGATGTCGGGAAATCCCCACCGGCCCCCGCCATACCTGTTGCCGAATCCTCCTCTTCGTTTGGACAGTTGGACGGATGGATCGAGACCTTGATGCAGTGTAAGCAACTGAGCGAGATGGATGTGCAAAGGCTTTGCGAAAAGGTACGTTATCAAAACTCGCTAAACGTTCGGTAGTGAATCAGAGTGGTGGGACCCTGGGGATGCACGTGGAAAAATGGGGAGGAGCTTATATTGCTGGTTGAGGCTCAGCTCGCTAACGTATTGAGCAGGCTAGAGAGATTCTTCAAGAGGAGTCGAACGTTCAGCCAGTGGTACGCTTTCTCTCCATACCCTGTAGGAACCCTTCTACATGCTAACCGAACCCATCAGAGGTGCCCTGTAACGGTGTGTGGTGATATCCACGGTCAATTCCATGACTTGATGGAGTTATTCCGGATCGGCGGGCCCAACCCCGACACCAACTACCTTTTCATGGGTGACTATGTTGATCGTGGATACTATTCAGTGGAGACAGTCACTCTACTTGTCGCCTTAAAGATTAGATACCCGCAGAGAATTACTATCTTGCGAGGTAATCACGAATCGAGGCAGATTACGCAGGTGTACGGTTTCTATGACGAGTGCTTGCGCAAATACGGAAACGCCAATGTCTGGAAGTAAGGCCCCTAAGCTTCCCGAGTTCTACATCCTACATCAAGCTTACATGAGGAACCAAGACTCTTCACAGATTTGTTTGATTTTCTCCCCCTGACCGCCTTGATTGATAATCAAATTTTCTGTCTCCACGGAGGTTTATCTCCTAGCATTGATACCCTTGACAATATTCGTGCGCTGGACCGCATTCAAGAAGTGCCCCACGAAGGGCCTATGTGCGACTTGCTTTGGTCTGACCCAGATGACCGCTGTGGTTGGGGAATATCCCCTAGAGGAGCTGGTTACACATTTGGGCAGGATATCTCTGAAGCGTTTAATCATAATAATGGCCTCACTTTGGTAGCGAGGGCGCATCAGTTGGTAATGGAGGGTTATAATTGGTCGCAAGATCGTAACGTTGTTACAATCTTCTCCGGTGAGACTGTTTTACCATAGCCCAAAGGTGATTTACTGACGGCATTACACTGTCTAGCGCCCAACTACTGTTATAGGTGTGGTAACCAGGCGGCGATCATGGAGATTGACGAGCATCTCAAATATACCTTGTTGGTTCCTCCTTGGCCAATCATCTTTGCAAAAAATTATGCTGACACTGGATATAGCCTACAGTTTGATCCTTGCCCAAGAGCAGGCGAACCAATGGTTTCGAGGCGTATGTCCCGAAATCCCTAAACAGAATGAACACAAGCTAATACCTAATGATACAGGCACACCGGATTATTTCCTTTAGACGCAGCCGACAGCCGAAAAACAAGGTGGAAAAGAAGAATATACAGCGCGGACGCAAAGAATTCCAAAAAATTAGCTCGAATAAAATCATGCTGTACATACCTTCTAATTGCCATTCGACGAACGACAAAGCAGCAACCCTTTTCAGCATAGCCCTTCATGTCTTTTTGTTTTTTGTTTCTTGCATCGGGAGTGCATCGTTTGAGAATGGTAATTTTGGTGGCTTTGATTCTGACGTCCTTATTTTACCCTGATTTGTGTCTAGATATATGTTGTGTGAGAGAGTCGCTGTACTTTTTTCCTGGCTTCTGCTTCTCATGTGTCGTGAATGTTCGTTGTATCCGTTCCCGTGATTGTTGTAGACGTAGAGGGGAAAGGCTCTTGATTACTATGGTTGAATCTGGTGTTTTCCGTAGAAGCTACAGTAGTCGACTCGTCGTAGGGATTGGCTTGGCTCGGGTGTTTTGTCCAGGTGACATAAGAGAAAAAAGATTGAATTGCTTTCTACAAGAAAAAACAAAAAAGGGACTCTACTGTGTTACCGCTTCTAGTATATCCCGCCGCAACCGCCCCAAACTAACCTACAGAAACCTCACAAACCGCATTGTTCTCGATTTACATCCGTCCGTTTTTCGTCCCTGACTCCCCGGTCGCCTTTTATCCGAATGGTATCCTTGGTACTAATTGTTTTAACCGATGACAAGCTTGCCCTCCTCAGGGAAGCTAATAAGAGAAAAAGAAATATTGATTAGCTTCGGTCCAGCATTGAAAGGGGTGAAAGAACATACTCGTATTCTGGAATCTCAAGGTTGAGTGGTGCAGGACCACGCCTTATACGGCCAGAGATATCGTAGTGGGAACCGTGGCAAGGGCAGAACCAACCACCAAAGTCACCAGCCTCACCAATGGGCACACAACCTACAAACCCGGATTATCAATAAACCGTCCATAGCTCACAGAGAGGTAAAGTGGGGAAGAAAAAGGCCGAGTGATAGGATAGATAAAACATACCCAAGTGGGTGCAGATTCCCAACATGACGAGCCACTCGGGCTGCTTGACACGTTCCGCATCGGTCTGGGGGTCTCGCAGAGACTCAATCTTGACGGCGTTGGCCTCCTCAATCTCGTCGGGTGTTCGGTGGCGGATAAAGATGGGCTTTCCTCGCCATTTAATAATGACCTGTAGTTTTTTTTTTTTTTTCATCGTTTAGCGCGGATTAACTCGAATTGAAATTAAGTGACATTGGTGGGGGTGAAAGTCGTACGTTCTTGCCCTCGGGAATAGCAGTGAGGTCAACTTCGACCTTAGCCATGGCCAAAACGTCGGCCGAGGCAGCCATGTTCACCAGGAAATCTACCGGTGCACAGCGTCAGTCAGTTATCAGACGATAATCATCAACATAGATACATCCTCCGGCAAATTGATCTCTTTTCCTTCCTTTCTTTCCTGGTCCCCAGTTTTCTTCCGCTTGCCGTTCCCCAATGCTTCTTTGCCGCCACACCAAACTTATCCCTCCCCAACTCGACAAGCTTAACTGGCAACCTACCTTGGATAGTAGCCTTCGCTCCCGCCGCCGACAACACTCCCATAGTACCAACCATGAAGTACCCAAACAACTTGTTGGAATTAGGGTTACCACCCTTGTATTTCGAGAAGTCGGGGATGCGGGTGGTGTCCTTCTTTCCGGAGGCCGCAAAGGGGGACTTGTAATCGCTGCTTTCGAAGGTTGAGATGCTCCTTGCCGACAGCGCCGCGGTGCGGGGCACAATTGAGCGCGTGGCTGCTCGCTGGGCGACGACCTTGAGGCAGTTCATTATGACTGGTTTTTCAGGTTTGGTGGTAGAGGGGGGGGGAGAGGTGAGTGGTGATGCTTGTGGTGTGCCGGAGAGGGGAGATTTTGCGTGAACTGGGTGTGAAAATGTTTGGAGGGGGAGAAAGCCGGGTTGACGTTCGGGTCGGTTTCGAGGCGTCTTAGTAATCCTGGGTTACGATTGGTTGGGGTCAGGGAGATCTTATCTTATCTGATGGGAATATATAGAGCTCATTCGGACGAAAGGCACCGGGGCGATAGTGGTACCTGACTCACTGTTTGTTTTGTAGGTACAATTAGAGGTGAGTTGAAAGATTCGGCTTGAAAATGGTATTGCGGAGTTTGCACGTCGTTAAAGATCATCGGGTACTTACCGGCGATACATGACGTTGTTCTGGGGGAAAGATCTGAATGCAAGCTGCAGATAGATACCGATTCAATCTTTCAAATGAAAATGATACTAGAAATAGATACTGTAGTGTAAAGTACCAGCTAATCGAATAATCTCTTCTCTGGGAAAACTCGAGAGAACAATTGTGCACAAAAATAGTCTCCTAAATGACCTAGCTATCCACTCGTAGTTTGGAGCCTCACCTACCCCAGAATTTTTGATCACAGATGCGACTAACTTTCTAGCCAAAAAAATTCTTGACGCATACGCCAACGGGTTAGTAATGTTGGTGTGAGTGATCATTCATGAGCCAAGCCCGCAGAGGTACGACAGGGCCCGAGAGAATCGAACCGACGGTGGGAAGTGCATCAGCTCCAGCATCCTGGACACGAAGAGTCGATTACATATGAAATTGCTTTTAAATGAGTTTTTAGTATCTAGATGTTTTCATAAAAATTTACACCGGAGCTCGGATGTAAAACAAGTGTAAGTACTGCACAAACAAAGAAACACCCACCCAACATCCACCGAAACCATAAAAAGGGCCTCTTCTCCCCAGTCCAAACCATTGATAAGAAGTACCTTTTGGCCAATTTTTTTTCCATAGTACTACTACAAGTTATGAACTTTCAAAAAAAACACAAACAAGAAAACAACCATGAAACTACTACCAGAAAAAAAGAAAAAAAGACAAGAACCAGCAGCAGCAGCAATGTCATAAATTCATCCCCGCCCCCGGCCTTCCCGCCCTTCCCATGCTGAAAACAAAAATGGATATGTTTTTTTTCTCTACCTCATGCTTCTATAGGAAGCATTGAGGAAAAAATCCTCGTCGCCAGTCATGTTCCCGCCCGCGGCGTCTCTTGTCTTTTTCTGTGCCTCCTGAATCTTCTCCGCCATGGTGGTCGTGTGACTGTCGATCCACTGCAGACTGCTGAGATGGTCGTTGAGGATCTTGACGATTTGCGACAACTATTTTTCACAATCTCGTTAGCTCCATTCATAATTCCAAAAGCAAAAGAGAAAACCTACTGGGTCGTCCGCATTCGTAGTCTTATTAATCGTTGTGCTAGCCTTATTAATATCCTTAATCATTCCCGAAAGCTCCTGGCCCATACTCTGTAGCTGGTCATCCAGCTTCTCCGCCAGATGGTATGCCTTCTCGCGCTCCTGGTCAGCCGGCTGCATGCCCTCAACACCACCCATCTGTGCTTCAAACAGATCCTTGATCTGCGCCTCGTAGTAATCGAGCGCCGTCCCCAGCTCCTCCTGGTCGCTCTCCAGCTGCTGCAGAACGGTGTCCATGCGACCCTGCGTCTTTTCCGCCTCTAGCGTCTCGGTGAAGAGCGTCATGATCTTATCACCATTCTCGATGAGAACACCATCCCACTTCTTGACTTCGGCGGCTTGAGTAGTGAATTCGGTTTTGTACTTTTCGAGGTCGGTGGTCCAGCGGGTTATTATCTCTTCCATGGACTTGTTCTTGAGGCGAGACTGTGGAGGTGGGGCGATGGAAGCGCTGAATGCGGCGGGGGCAGCAGCGGCCGGGGTCTGGGCGGCGCCGGCAGCAGCAGCTGGGGTCTGTGCAGCAGGAGTGGCAGCCTGAGTTGTGGCAGCGCTGGCGCCTCCAAAGAGGCCACCTGAGGGTGCACCAGAGGTTGTAGGAGTAGAAGCGGCGGGAGCTGGGGTGGAGGTAGTGGGCTTGGGACCAAAAAGTCCGCCTAGAGATGGAGCGGCAGAGGCAGCTGGCGTCTCAGCGGGCTTGTTGGCAGCAGTTCCACTGAAAAGACCACCGCCAGAAGGGGCAGCTGAGGCAGTTGTTCCACCGAAAAGACCACCGCTAGAAGGGGCAGCTGAGGCAGTTGTTCCACCGAAGAGACCGCCGCTGGCTGGTGCAGTAGACGCACCAGATGTGGCTGTAGGTGCGGAGCTGGCTGGTGCTGCGCTGCTAGTAGCGGTGTTGCCGAATAATCCACCTGAAGGGGCAGAAGTAGCTGGCGTCTCAGCGGGCTTGCTGGCAGCAGCTCCGCCAAAAAGAGCGCCCGCCGGCCTGGCTGCGGGGAACAAGGACGCGGTTTGGCCAGTTGTTGGCGCCGGAGCGGCAGGTGTGGTTGATGCGGCAGGAGTATTACCGAATAGACCACCGCCAGGGGGCTTGGTAGCTGGAGTCGTAGAGGCAGCTGCATTTCCAAAGAGTCCTCCGGAAGTGGTCTTCGTTTCTGTGGGCTTGGCGCCAAATAGACCTCCTGATGATGGGGGGGGTCCAGCAGGGGTAGAGCTCACATTGGATTGTGCATTGCCGAACAGTCCACCTGTGCTAGGAGCAGACGAAGTACCTCCAAAGAGACCTCCGGAAGCAGGAGCCGAAGTTGTAGCGGGGGCGCTTCCAAAGAGTCCACCTGAGGGCTTTGGAGCCGATTGCTGTTGACCGCCAAAAAGCCCACCTGAGCTGGGTGCCGCCGTCGTGTTAGACTGTGTAGCACCACCAAACAACCCCCCACCCCCACCCGCGGCAGTAGTAGGACCACCACCACCACCACCAAACAAGCCCGTTTTTACAGCTGTTGGTGGAGCACCGGCAGGCGTGGTGGAAGCCCCACCAAATAATCCACCACCAGAAGCAGGAGTCTGCGAGCCAAATGCGCCAGTACCCCCAAAGGAAGGCTTGGCCGCGCCCGCACCACCGCCAAATAATCCTCCAGATGGGGTAGCAGAGGCCCCTGAGGCGTTGTTTTGGGCGCCAAATAGACCGGAGCCGGTGCTCTGTGTACCACTAGCTGGTGTGGCTCCAAACAGACCGCCAGTAGCAGTCTTTGGGGGTGCGGGAGAACCGAAGGGGCTGTTGTTTGCCGCTCCCGCACCGGTGTTCGCGAACGAGAAACCGCCACTGCCACTGCCACCAGCACCGCTACTGTTGTTACTGCCGCCGCCGCCGAACATTCCTGTCATGGTGGAGTTGGGGTCGGGTTGCTTTTGTGTGGACCGGGCAATTCACGGGGTCGTCGTGCGACTGTTGGAGACCTAGAAATTTAACCCAAATGGTCAGAGAGCTGCTTATCGACGCCTTGAAAAGGATGATTTTTGTCTAGAGCTTACTCACGCGTCAGAAGAATATAGTGATAGGGGCTCTTGTGTAAGTGTAAAGCGACTCGGTATCTGATGTCTGTAGCTGAGTGGTGTCAATGTTTTCGTGATGGAAGACGTGTTGCAGTAACAAGGTCTTGGCGTGCACACTAGCCACTAGGTAGGGATAAATGTGAGCCGCGCGACAAACGCTTTCTCGCTTTCACACCCAGTTCAAAAAGTGGACTATCGAGATAATGGTTCTGGATACGATGGAATTTGCCAAATACGACACTCACGCAAATTGATGCATTGGTACTTTACAAAAGTCACATGTAGCCATTGACACTGAACCAAAATCAAGGTAAAAGGAAACCTTTTGCGTGCAGTTAAACGGTTGGGACGTGCTTTCGACGTCCACTATCGTATGGTAGCTACGCACACAGCTTTCTGCTCCTCTTTTCCGCTTTCATTTCCTTGGTCTTTTTATTCTAGTGCTTCCTATCAGTTTTCCAACGTAAGCTGAATAAACGACATTGATCCGCTAGCCTTGTCATGCAGCGGATTGTACTCGTAATTTCATATGTAGCGTTTGTGAACACAACTGGGTGCGCATACCCGCAAAATCCCGCATGAGGCTTCAGGTTTTGGCCTGTGTAGACCCAGCTGTTCACAAACGCTATGAAATTATGAGTACGCGTACGTCAAGGACCACCCCCCCCCCCCCCCCCGGATCTTACGAGAGCTGGGGTTATAAAAGCCCTGTACTCTAGTGGGATTCGAGAATTGCTAGCCCTCTCTCCTTCAGGTCAGGAGCGAGTAATATAATTACATGTATGGACTTTTATCGGGATTTATACACCATGATATCGAATGCTCAAGGCACAAGGCAACATGAAGTTACACGACAATCCAGCTTCCTAAAATGTGAGCTTTGAGTTCTCGCGGTGATCATCTCTTTTTGACCCGAATTCCCTCTGTGCCGTTCCAGGTCAACCTCCTTCCCATATATCTAAACGAGTCATTGACCGAAATCCATCAACCTCATATTTTATACCGATCACCTCACAGCCAGAGTCCCACAAGAGGCGGACCGCATCGAGTGATATATTGTGACTAAGAGTCTGTCCGAGCCTAAAGCTCCTGGAAAATTACAAACTCGAATCGCATCATGCCTTGGATTATTTTCTGAGTATTTTAGAGAAATAAGAAGTAAACCAACCTGGAATAAACTCAAACTGAGGATTTTCGCTGCAATAGTGAAACTATAGTTTAAGCACCTAATAGCGTTGGTGGTGATGATAAGACCTGAAATCTCTATATACGACCTGTAAACACATGTGAGGGAGTGATCCGATAGCCACACCACACACACCACAGCAACACACCACCACATCACCCTACATACCCGTCTCCCATCTCCCCGCGCCCCATCTCATATACGATTCCATCTCCACTTCTCGTCTCGAGCCATCAGCACCTCATGGATGCACCTATCCTGATGTGTGCGTATATCCTCTCCAGATCCAGTGTCTGCGGCGATTTAACCCATATCCGTCGCCATTAACTACATGAGTAGCACAAGACTGGCGCCTGGACTCCCGCGGAGCAAGGAATTAACGTGGATTTGGCTTGGTGAATTGGCCACGCTAAAGTCAATGACCCGGTCAGGATAGAGACTCATCCAACCCTCCCTTTTATATATATATAAAAAAAAAGGTGTCGATTGGTGGCCCCAGCAGTCTAGGCCCGTTCCCGTATCCGGCTAATCAAGTACTTGTGACTTGCCTCTAGAGACTGGACTGAATTGGCGCACTGATATTTGGGCGAACAGTGTGGCCCATAAAGCAGCTAAAGGTTTTGACTCGAGCCTTACAGACTTAGGTCACGGATCCAAGTTGACTCGAGTCCAATAGATGGACCTACAGCTATTTAGCACTTTCATATGGATTTTACCACCAAAGTTCTTCGAGAGCAACCCGGGCTGACTGCTCCCGAGCAACCGCTTTCGGCTGAGACCGACCGAGATTTCCCAGCTATTTAGCAGGTGAGCTTGTCTGATATGTGAAAAAATTGCCAGAAGATTCTAACGGAACAGATTACACAATTACCACTTACCTCTGCTCTTCATGACTCTTGGTTATATAAATGCACCGACGATTACATATATTCAATTTGGTCGATTCAGGTAACAACTCTTTCCAAAAGTCCTGCGAGTGATATTTCATGTTCCAAGCTAGTGCCCCCAAGAAGCGCACGCCGGTGTGCTTCTAGATTAATCCATACTATTCCTCCCGTTTAGATTACTTTAAAGTAAGTTGTTGTATGCATATAAACGTGCTTGCGGCGGTTTCATTGGTATTGTCTCCCTCCACCCGGGAGCTAAGTAGCGAGTGACGATCTGTGAGTATATGCTAACATAAGCTCACTACAATTCTTTTATTAATTGATATACCTAAGACGGGAAAGATATCGTTTGGGCCATCAGCCCGGATCCACATGAAGCTAATTTGTTGCATATGGTAGTTATGATACTATGAGAGATACGGGATTTATTACCAAATGTCGAGAACTTGAGGCAGGTCATGAGGAGCTCTTTGAATCTTCAATCAGATCATCTTTTGATATAGCGACTTTCTTATCTGGCTGTTTTACACCATTGGGATCCAAACTGATAGTCCAAGGGATAGTTCCGCGAAACTTTACGTGGCACGATGACGTGCCAAGAAGACACCCCAAAAGTTACCTGGGAAGGACATCGCGGAGCTAGTGGGTTGCCTTCATAAATAGCAGGAATACAAGTAAATCAATTATCCTCCTCCCCATATACCGCGATGGAGATATAAACTTGAATCACAAGTTCCCACCACCAAACCATCACTAGTATGATCGATTTCTCTTTCCACCAAATGCTATGCTTACAGTATAGTACTTTCGTATAATATACACGCCTAACTAGAGTGGGGTGTCAGCAGTACAGGAGAAGAAATTTATAAAGGAGAATTTTTGTGATATACACCCAGCCCGTAGGCCTACTCATCCAGGTCCTAGTCTCCGTTCTCCACCATGCAGAAAAACAATCCAACCAACCATGCCAACAAAACAAAACTCCCGTATTCCATCCCGCTCCGCCCGTACGTCCGTCCCTCATCAGACATTGATGCAAAGATTGAAGGTAGTAAAGAAACAAATAATAAAACAAAGTACAATTAGGAAAAAAGGAAACCTCTCTATCTCCTCAAAAATAGCCCCACTATAGCTGCCATGAAGGCCCCGAACGCCGTACTATCAAGAATCCTGCCCGTGAAATCAATCTGCCGCAACGAGATCGCTATAAACGCTCCAAATGCAGCACTCTCGAGCAGCGCAGTGGTAAACTCCACCTGTTTCAGTGCGATGGATTGGTCGCTAAACAGACCGTGCAGCTTTTCGTTCCAGTATTGCCATAGCTTTTTGACCTCAGTCATAAAGTCTCTCTCCCACAATGGTTTCTTCTCTTGCTCGTCCTGCAACAAGGCCGCAACCTCCTCTACTACTGCCTCACCCTCTCCCGTAGCTGTAGTAGAAGCGACAGCATCATGGACGATATCCTCCTCGAGTAGCACCGGCTCACCCTCTACCACGGCCGCTGTATCAGCTCCCATGGCCGTGTCAACCGCACCGACGCCACTCTCTCCGGCTATCTCCATGATTTGTTGCACAACCTCCTCGGGTTCAACATGTAGGTTCAACAATGCGTTTCTGAGCCCCTCCTCCTGGATCACATCCCTAACCTTATCCTCGAAGCTCCCAACCAACCGTTTTCTCTTCCACGGCTCCAACCATAGCTGAACAACCACAAATAATAACACGTTGAAGCCCATCAAACCCCATGTAACCCAGGTACTTGCCCGGCGGATCTTGTCGCTCCAGATTTGCTCCTCGTGGTACCGCGAGAGTATACTCCTGCTTAACTTCGCCTGCATATCGTCCACCACGCTCTCTGCTACAGCAAGCTGCTCCTGTGCTGCTACCTCAGCCTGTTCGTTCGCATGGTCGGAGCGGTATAGCTCGGTGAAGCGTTCGAGGTCCGACGGCGACCAGGCGTGCTTACGTTGGAGGAGCTCATTTACTTCACGTTGGCTGGCAGAACGGCGGGCGATGGCAGATTGGTATTCTTCCTTTGCATTGCGGACTGCTTGACGCGAAGATTTGACGGCTTCCTCTATTTGTGGGAAGAAAAAAGGGGGAGAGGAGGACGGGTTTAGCGAAGGAACTGTTTTTGGTGGCTTTTGGATGCGATGGGGGTGGTCTTTCTTGCGTGCCTAGTGTGGGAAGGGGAAGGGAGGAGGAGGGGGGAAGATACCTAGGGCTTCAATGGACTTTTTGAGAGCTTCGATTTCTGAGTAGCCGGTTAGGACATTGAGTTTTTGGCCGGCGGTGAAGACAGCGATTTGGAGGTCTTCCATGGCCTTTGTAAACTTCTTTGCCATCTCCGAGCGCCGAAGATCCTGCTGGGAGGGTAGGTTCTTGAACACCGGACTCAGCAGTGAGGATATTGGAGGCGTGTGTGGTTTTGAGGAAGGTGAAGGTGAAGGGGGAGAGCGATCATTGGCTCCACCTTCACTTCCAGCTGCCCCTCCTCCAGTAGCACTGCTGTTGCTGCTGTCGCCGGGGGTGTTTTTGTCGCCGGATGAGACCCATCTGATCTGCTGGCCCTTCAGTTGCAGTCGCCGAGGTTGTAGCAATGGGTTTCGCGTGCATGTCGGTTTTGTAAAAAGGCACGAATTGGAGTGCAATTGCCGGATGCTGCGGAGGTTGCACGGTGAGGCAGTTGGCCGGGCGAGTAGAATTGATCTCAAGAGCGGCCGCATGTCGCCGAGGCGGAGGTAAGAGATTGAGGGTGAGGGCGGGTTGACTGGCGGAGGGGGAGGCGGCGGTCTGCGGGGGGATCGGGGAGGTCCTCGTTCAATTGTTGGGCCGCACCGTATATCCGTTCGGTCAGTGTTGGGCAGAAGTGGGAACTGTCGGATGCGTTGCTTGGCAATCTAGCTGTTCCTGGGGGGTTGTGTGGTGGGGGAAAGTGAACCCCTCGTATGACGCACTCGGGAGAGGCAACTGCCTACGGGTGTAAACAGTAACAAAATAATAAGATTGTAACTGAAAATAGACACATTTATTAATTACTACTCTGCATCATTACGAGAAGAGTATCTACTGGCGACTGTATCACTTTAACATTTTTGCGTGAGAACAGAACTTGGAATATCCAAGATACCTGCCCGTGACGTTGCGGAAGAGAAGATATCATATCAGTGGCTGAAGTCAACGTCTTGGAACTCTCAACTTACCAGTAGAGAGGGTTTTCCCTGTAAATGATCGACAGATGCTGGACATCATGGATTATGCTTCTTCCCCTCTTGTACCGGTATTTATTCCGGGCCTGTTCCCCCTCTTCCTGGTTAGCATCCAGAAATCATACGGTGTCTGCTCATTTAGCCAGCTATCCTCATCATACTGCTATTAAAGAAAGCTATAGCCATCACTTCATCTCAGCACCATCATTACAGCCTCTTCTTCTACGATAACTATTAATTAGTTTAACCAACATTCAATCATTCAATATGGCACCTAAGCATAAGGCAATTGTCTTCTCCGACTTTGACGGTAGTCCTTCATCTCAGTACTCTCAGTAATGCATCAAAGATAGACCAACTAACTGACTTTATCGTACCTCCAGGAACCATCACTCTCAAAGACAGTACGTCCCACTTCGCCCCCCGTTTCAGGCCACCAACTAACATAATCACCCACAATCAGGCAATGACTACCTCGTAAGCAAACTCCCCTCCCCATACCCTCAACCCCAATCTCACCCACCTCCTAGACCGACAACGTCGGCTACGGGCACGAAAAGCGCCGCGCCGGTAATATCGAGATCCTCGAGCACCGCGTGACCTTCCGCGACGCCTTCCGCGAGATGCTCGAGTCTGTATCTGCCAACAAGCCCAACTTCCCGGAATGCATCGAGCTTCTCCGCGCCAACATCAAGCTCGACCCGGGCTTCAGTACCTTCTACGCGTGGTGTCTGTCGCAGGACATCCCCGTGATTGTGCTCTCGAGTGGGATGGAGCCCATCATCCGCGCGCTGCTGACGGACCTTGTCGGTCCTACGGCGGATAAGATCCCCATCATCAGCAACCAGGTCAAGATTCACGAGGACGGCAAGGGGTGGGAGATTGTCTACCATGATGATAGCGACTTTGGGCATGACAAGAGTTTGGCGATTAAGCCGTATAAGGATCTGCCAGATGAGGACCGGCCCGTGATGTTTTATTGTGGGGATGGAGTCAGTGATTTGAGTGCGGCCAGGGAGACGGATTTGTTGTTTGCGAAGGTTGGACATGGTTAGTCTGCATCCTCCCTCTCGCCACCCCCTCCTCCTTTCCTCTATATCTTTTTGTGGGTGGCTGATTTTGCGGGGATAGATTTGATCACATACTGCGAGCGGGAGAAGGTCCCATTCACGGTATTCCATGACTTCAAGGATATCCACGAGACTGTCCAGGAGATCATTGAGGGCAAGGCCACGGTCAAGGAAGTGGCCGAGAGACCGCAGAAGGAGAAGGACTTTGGGAAGAAGAAGGAAGTCTTGAACTAGATATAGTGCTTATTAAAGTAGAACCTAGACTAGAACTAAACTTGCTAGACTCAACTGCTAGACTAGAGGGCTAGATAAATAAATTATTTGCCAAAAACGTTTTATTTCTTCGTGGCTGCGATTTTTGTGAATAGTAGTAGTGAATTTGGGATTGGGATTGGTGGTGGATGGCTAGTAGATATTGGGGTATTGCCAAGGACGAGAACGGTAATGATAGTAGTAACAGCAACCCAGAATAGTCACAGCAATAGTAATAATAACAGCAAAGAACACTCAAAACCATAGGAATAGCTCAATAACTACATATCTACAAACCACAAACAAATAAACACACCCCCCCCAACCACTACCTCGTCCTCAACTCCACCTCCGCCTCCTCCCCCTCCCCTCCCACCCCCTCCACCAGCACCTCCCTATGCGCTCTCGCCCTCACTCTCGCCCTCCAAAAAAACACCCGCCTCTCAACCCACGCCGCAACCCGACACACAACCGCCCACAACCTCTCTTCCCGCTCCGCCTCCCCCGCATCATCCTTCGGATGCTCCCGATTCTCAACAGCGAACTGAAACCGCAACACATCCTTCCTCGTCACCACTCCGCACAACCTACCCCGGTGCTCAACCAGCACAACCCGCGGACCAACCTTCTTGAAGATCTCCATCACCGTCTCCAACGGCAGCCGCGGATGCACACACAGCGGCGTCGGGTCCACGAACTGCGAGAAGTCAAGCCCGCCTATTCCTCCCCCCGCTCCTCCACTCCCACCACCACCACCACCACCTCCACCGCCGCTGCTGGCAGAGCCAGTCGCATTCTCCGGCGGCGTAAACACGCACCTCCCCGCGCCGCTGCGCGGCGCGCGGTCCAGCGCGAACCGCAGCTCCGTGCGGTTGATGTAGCCCATCAGCAGCGGCTGCAGCGCGCCCTGCGGCGTGACGACGGGGAATCCCTGGAACTCTGTCGACGTCAGGATGGCCTCAACGTTTGCGCGCGTGAGGCCCGTGGCGGGGAGGGTTGTTAGGTCGGTGTTCATGACGTGTGAGACGGGGACGTTGAAGGTGTGTTCCTCCTTGTTGTCGAGGAAGGGGAAGCCGTTGAACCATATCATTCTGTCTGCGATTCCGCCTTTGCCGCAGCGGTCGGAGACGGCCTTGGTGATGCCGACGACGATCATGGTGGGGAGGATGTAGGTTAGGGCGCCCGTGAGCTCGAACATGATGACGACGACGGAGACGGTGATGTGCATTATCCCGCTGAGGGCGGCGGCGGCGCCGAGGAAGGCGTAGGTGCCGGGGGTTATGCACTGGGTAGGGTTAGAGAGCAATTCTGGAGGTTGGGGGGGGGGGGGTAGAGAGGCATACGGGAATGTCTGGTTGGCAGCTGGAGAAGAAGGCAGAGTTTGGCGCGGCCTCATGGAGCGCCTGGACGAGGATGCCGACGGTGCGGCCGAATGTGGCGCCGATGGCCATGGAGGGGACGAAGATGCCGGCGGGTACTTTGCACCCGTACGAGATGATGACCAGGAACACCCTGATGACCGTGGCGATCGTGAGCGAGACAATCATGTGCCATCTCCGGCCGCTCCTTCATTGCTATCAATCAGCACAAGAATCCCGGGATAACAAACACAGACAGACAGAGAGAGAGAATGAGGGGGGGGGGGGGGCGCAAGGACATACTCGCAAAGCCCGTTATAGTCGTGTCCGCCCTCACACTCACGAAACAATATCTCCATACTCTCCGTCATGTCGATGCGCAAGAACATATTCGCATAACAGATGACGGCCGTGACGCCAGCGAGGAACGTGACCTCGGCGATGGCATACTCCTTGAGGTATCTCTTGCGGAACGACTGCGCGCGCAGGTTCCACTTAATGACAAACTCGCCATAGAGCCCGCCAAACACGCCGATAATCACGAAAAAGACAACCTCGAAAAAGTGCCAGTCGCGGTCGTACGACACCTGGAACATGACCAGCTGGCCCGTCCGGAACGGGTTCATCGCCGCCAGCACCGCCGTCGCCACGAGCGCGCAAAAGTACGAGCGCCACATTGTCTTTAGCGGGAAGTTTGACGACATTTCCTACCCCCCCCCACATACATGTCAATGATCATTCTGCATGTTTTTCCACAACCTAGTGACGAACCTCAAGAGAGAACAGAACCCCGCCAATTGGCGACCCGAAAGCGACCGCGACGCCGGCGGCGGCACAGGCGGAGAGGATCTCGCGCATCTTTGCGGCGTTGCGGCGGTACTTTGCGAAGAACCTGCTGATGACGTTGCCAGTGCAGACGGCGTAGTGGACGCTGGGCCCTTCCTTGCCGACGCTGAGGCCCGAAGCGATGGCGAGCGGGAGGCCGATGGACTTTATGAGGAGCGTCCAGCCGCCGAGGAAGCCCTTCATGACGAAGCCGGCGAGGATGCACTTGATCTCGGAGATGCCGGAGCCGGCGGCGTAGGGCGCGAACGACTTTACGAGGATGGCGCTGGTGTAGGCGAAGAGGACCTGCGCGGGGGAAGTGGGGGGGTTAGTGGTGGTGCGGAGGTGGAGGTGGTGGAGGAGGAGGTGGGATAGCTACGGAGAAGAGAATGTAGAGGATGTGGTTGAAGGGCCATATCGTACTCCAGGGCTGCCATTCGGGGCATCCTGCACATCAGATCGCTGTCAGCTTCAGCTTCAAGAATCGGGAGGGGCAGCAATTCAAAGCGCCAGCAGCAAACCTTCGTCACTCCCCCAGCAGCAAAAGTTCTCGTTCAGATAGAAGGCCGTCGTGCACCTTCCCATGCGGATGTCCGACAGCCACTCGGTAATGATGTTCAAGAAGCTGGCGTTGAGGCCGATACAAACACCTATCCCCGCGCCCCGCGCGCACAATCAGCACACACACTTCCACTTCCACTTCCCCCCCCTCCTCCCAACCACGCAGTAAAACAGCAGCAGAAGCAGCACCACCCTACCAATCAGCGAGATGACAATCCACGCCTGCCCGGCCTCATAGCTCTGCCGCAGCTTCCACCGCCACCCCTCCGCACTCCCCCTCACAAAGAAGCCGCCGTCCTTCTGCCGCCGTCGGCGCAGTTGCGCCCGCGCTGCATCTTGCACCCAGTCTATCCAACAACAACCACCACCGCCGTCAGTCAGTCAGTCATTCAAAAACTACCCAGAGCGAGTAACCCAAATGCGCGCCAGCCAGCCAGCCAGCCTCAAGGCACTCTCCTACGTACCTATTGTCGTAAAATCCTACCCAGGCACACACACACCGTCCCGTCAGCTTTCCCCACTTTACCCACCACCGCCATTCCCACCACAAACAGCGCCTAACAAAAAAACTCACCTCATACCGGCGTATCTCGTCAATCTCCTCAAAGTGCTCCTGCTGCTGGTGGGGGTTTCTATGTGCGCCGCGCTCCTCGTCGGCAGAGCGGGTCGAGATGGCGATCGACAGGCGCGACGACAGCGAGGGCCGCAGCTGCGGGCGTAGGCGTGGTGATGGTGCGCTCATGGCATATGTGGTGGTGGTGGTGGTGGTGGTGTATGTGTGCTGCTGCTGTGTGCTATGTGTGTGTATGGGTGTTGGTTGGGAGCTATTCTAGGCACGACCCAGTTGAAACGAACGGGTTGAGGCTCTGGTAAGTAGCTGGTTGCCAAGTATTTCGGTGGAGGGGGGAGGGTGGGCAGGCACGTGATGAATGCGGTGTGATGTGATTACTCGACATGGCGGGTGGCTGATTTGGGGGGGGGGGGAGGTGGCTGATTGGGGGGGGAGGTGGATAATGTGCGGTGCGGCATGGGGCGTCACTCGGTCGGGCGTGGGGGTGAGGATGGGGGAGGTGGGGGAGGGAAGAGTGAATGGAGTGCAGTGTGGAGACCTCGGCGTGGAACTAGGTATCGTGGGCACACGGTATGTACCTGAGAGCTCTCAAGTAACTAACTACTAATTCCATTACCAGAGACTTGGGACAAAGTCACTACTTTACGTCCTACAGCTGCCAGTACGGGACCAATTTTCGTGTGGACCCCAACCCGAACAATTACTCGGGAAGACCCCACTACATATGTATGTACCGGCACCCAAAAGATGGGATATTCATCGCGTGATAATAGGCTTTCGCGGAAGGCTGCACATCATCTGCCTGTCCTACTCTACATACTGGCCAATCAGGGTGCTCCTGGTAGTAATATTTTCGGGGGTGTTACTGCAACAAGAGAGCGTCAGTCGGTGGTGACAGTTACGTTACGCTGCCTCACATTCGCAACGTCGGACGGGGGTGTCTCAGCTGCAGGGCCAGCTTCTCGCCAAGCATAGTTGGGGTAGTTATTCACATGAGGAATAGAGAATAGCAATTACTAGAGTAGTTATTCTTTAATTTAGAGAATCTCTACTGTGAAACTGATGAGAAAATATCGGTATCTGTTCTGAGTTCAATTGCAGCCAATTCCCCCTCACATTCGGTTCCTGCCTCGCTCGCCTTTAACCCAGCCAACCCAGGGAGCAGCCGCACGGGCCACACACTCTTTTTCTGCTGTGGTTTAGGCTTCTCACTTCTCACTGAACCCTGCACAACGCAACAGTGCAGACTTCCGTGCCTGCAGCGCCGAGTCGTCTCCCACTTTCCTTTCTCCCCAGCCAGCCCAGCACCCAACAGAACGAATCCCCGTTCACGTGAGTGAGGCGTCTACACTCACTCACTCACTCACTTACTCGCTCACCTCCTAATTTCCCTTTTATCACCAACTCCCTCTTCTCTTCTCTTCCTTCCTCTCCTCTCCCCTCTCCTTCCTTTCTACCTCACTATCTCCCTAACTACCTCCCTCCCCACTCACAATTCACCTATCACCAAACCCACCACAAGCAGCAATGTCCACCACCACCACAACCGCACCCCCGGCCATCACAGCCGAAAACATCCTCCGCCTCTTCCCCGACATCAACACCTCGCTCGCCACCGCCGCCCGCAACTCCTCCGAGCTCGACGGCTACGACGAGGAGCAGGTCCGCCTCATGGACGAGGTGTGCATCGTCCTCGACGAGAACGACGTGCCCATTGGCAGCGCCACAAAGAAAGTTTGTACGTACCTACCTACCTGCCCACCCCTCCTCCCACCCCCCCCCCCCCCAACCTCCCCGCCATGCACACAGACAGCTAACCCACAGACAGGCCACCTGATGAAAAACATCGAACAGGGCCTCCTCCACCGCGCCTTCAGCGTCTTCCTCTTCGACGACGAGAACCGCCTCCTCCTTCAGCAACGCGCCGACGAGAAGATCACCTTCCCTGGTACACTCCCCTCACCCCCCCCCCCCCCGGGGCCCCACCACCACCACCACCAGATGTGCAATTGAACTAACAGACTATGGGCTACTATGCTAGGCATGTGGACCAACACCTGCTGCTCCCACCCGCTCGGCATCCCCGGCGAGACCGGCGCCGACCTCGCCGCCGCAACAATGGGCGTCCGGCGCGCCGCGCAGCGCAAGCTCGGCCACGAGCTCGGCGTCCCCGCCGCGCAGGTCCTCCCGGAGCAGTTCCGCTTCCTCACCAGGATCCACTATATGGCGCCGAGTGATGGGCTGTGGGGGGAGCATGAGAGTGAGTTTCTTCTCCACTCTACGTAGAGGGGAAGGGTGTGCTAATGCAGATATGTGTGTGAAAAAAGTCGACTACATCCTCTTCATCAAAGCGCAGGTCTCGCTCGACATCAACCCGAACGAGGTGCAGGCGTACAAGTACGTGAGGGCCGACGAGCTCAAGGCCATGTTTAAGGACGAGAAGCTGAGCTTCACGCCGTGGTTTAAGCTCATCTGCAACACGATGCTGTTTGAGTGGTGGGAGAACATGGGCAGCTTGGAGAGGTATGAGAATGAGACGCAGATCAGGAGGATGTGAGGTCTGGTCTGGTCTGCTGCGCGGGGGAGGGGGGGGGGGGAGATGTTTTTTGTAGAGGTGCTGGTTTTTAGATAACTAATACAATAAATTGCTGCTTTGGGTTAGATGTATGTGGTGCTTTGGGTGTGTAGGGTGGGGTTGTGGGGTTGTGGGGGTTGCAGGATTCGTGATGGCGGATGTTGTGCTGTAGCGCAACTGTTTCCTTCTACCTTACGATTGGATTTTGGGGGTGGAGCTTATTCGGGCCCTCAATGTCCGCCTGCCAAATACCTTACGATCTAACACAACACTCCCCTCAATACATCCGATGAATCGAGCACATACATAACCACAACTAAACCCCCAAACAGGAATAACTACTTCCTCCCTCCCCTCTAGCTCCCAAATCCAGCTGCTAGTACACTTTACCTTGTATACTAGCTACCTTAACAGACCCTCCTCTCTCTTGGTGAAGACGCCAGCGGCTAATATATGCTACCTACTTCAACCCAGTACAATATCACTCACTCACGATATAGCGCACGGCAGGTGTCAGGTGTATCAGAGACATTTAGCCCCGTAGCCGTTGGACAAAACATATTATAGAGCACGAGAATACTTCACTATCGGAATGAGACATTATATACAGCAAGAAGGAAATTACTATATTACTTCACCTATCTACATCCCCCGTATGCAGAAAAAAAAAATCAAAAAATATTCCTTAGAAGAAATTCAACAGCGCCCCGGGGGGAGGGGGGGGGGGGTGTGATCGAACCCCCATCTCTTCCGGCAATTGTTTCTACGGCTACCCCGATGGAAGCGCATTATCCCCCTATGCTACCGGCCTGTTGCTCGTACAGTGGCTGGCTGCCAGAGCAGATTCTAAAGATCTCTCTCCCCGTCATTGATTGCAGATAAGATCTACTAAGAGAGATAAAGAGATTTTATGAGCCAAGGTGTAGTACTCCGTCTCATAGCTATGAGATTGATGCCTGCTGTATTCCACTCAATGGTGAGGGCGCCATTTAGTAGGTGCAGGGTTAGATTTTAACGAAACTTTTTTCAGTACATGTTCTTTTATAGTATAGTAGACGTCCGCACGCGCGGCAAGTGCTCTAGGAGGCCTACATGTACTGTTGGGTTTTTAGTGATAGGTACATGTAGGTACAGTAGCCGGACCATGGGCTTCGCTGTTAGGATATGGCTATTTTTTTTTTTTTTTGGGGGGGGGTTGCCAAGAACGAGTGATGGGCTATGATGGGCTATATTGGCTGCTCGGACCTAGGGGGGGTTGAGGTTTAGTGGAGCGGTTTATGCTAATGAGATGATGTGGTAGGGGCAGGGTGTATGCTGTAGCTTGGTACATGTAAGTTTGTAGCTGGCCCCGCCCGGGATAGCGGTCCCAGGGACAGAGGGTAAACCGTAAAGGGTAAAGGGTGTAGGTTGTTGGTGGCCGCTTGGAAAACGCAGAGCGGCTGTAGAATCTCGTCCAGTCTACAGGTAGGTACCTTTCGTTTCAAAGCCAGCTCCAAACGTACACTGCTAAGCTTCAGGTCCAACCAGCAATACCGATATTGATTCTACGCTTCTCAACTATTTTCCACTGTTATTGATAGTTGTGCATGTGCCAGAGGATGAAGGGTCTGGGTGCGGAGATATGGAGATAAATATGCTTCAATGGGAATAAACCACAGTGAGTCATATTCTTTTCCCAGCTTCTGAGTTTGGCTCAGAAACTACGAGTAGTAGTCTTTACCACTGGCACTGTTTAAAGGGGAGGGGGTTACACGATGTAATGTGGCTCAATTCACCAAACCAAAGATCCTTCAGGAGATTGGGGGTAGGGTATAAGTACTGGGCTTATGATTGGCTCTAAAGTGCTTATATAGCTATCACATCGGGGTTGAGGTGGTATCTCTACTATTATCGATGATGACAGTTTCTCAAAGAACAATGGCTAAGGTTATGACTTAGGTCTCGGTCACTATATTTATGTCTCGAGCTGACGAAAATTCAAGTAGCAGTCGGTGGCATATTCATTTATCTACAGTACGGTGGTGCTTCACTAGTGCTACAGCAACTACTAATCACCATCAATATACAGCACATGGTATTCTAGCTATCAATTGAATCAACCAAATTGGGCAAGGACGCATGGTGGTGAAAACTCCATTTCGCAAAAGCTAAAACCCTATTGTACAGAACGCCAAGAAGCAAAAGGAATCAATTAAACCCAGACGATGATGATGATGATGATGAGGAGGAGGAGGAGGAGGAGGAAAAATATGAAGAGATGATCAGGACGGAGGGGCAGCATATATAGCCTCAACACTCTCACCCCGAAAACGCAAACCTACCCAACCCACCACCGCCCCCACTACCACCGCCAGTGCCGCCACCACTACTCCCCGCCTCCTCCATCTCCACCTCCCTATCCACAATAGCCTCAATCTCCGGCGTCACCTTCTTGGACGCCGCCGTCGTCCCCGTCGTCTTCCTCCTGCCATTGGCGACGCCGCCAATAGGTAACACGGTCTGGCCCTTCTCCTTCTCCAAGGTCTTTGCCGCTTTCTTCTCCCGCACCTGCTTGTACGGCACTGTCTGCGGGATGGTATCGGAGAGGAACTCGAGGTTGTTGGTACGGGCCACTGCACTCGCTGTTCTAATTGTCAGTGACGGTAGCGCGGGGAGGTGATAGGACAGGAGGGGCTCATACCAAGGTCCTTATACTGCATCGTCTTCCTCTGCTTGCGGTCTCCTTGCGTCATCTTAAGCCCCTGCTCGGCTAGGTACTGCACGAACATCTCCTGTACATCCCCATCATTGTCAGTGCCTCTCCGTCGCATACACACAGGCACACAGGGACGAAAAATATACAGCAGCGATAGTGACCAGGAACGCGGCGCTGTTGGAGCACCCCGCGACATCGTCATCGAGGCGGATAATCTTCTTGACGCGCGAGACTGCGGCGGACACATGTCATGTTAGTTTAATTCCTGTGACCGACACTCTTAAGGGGGGTACAGTAGGCAGGCATAAGGGAGGGAGGGAGGGAGGGAAAGAAGCGGATTGCAGCATGCAATGAATACCTGGCAGAGCCGGATGACCTGTGATCTCCTCGGCGGGCGGAATGGCCGTGGTATTGTAAGGCATTTCTGCGGTTTCTGGGCACGTAGAGCTTTTGTATAGGGTGTGTAGGTATCCTCTGGCAAAGGCAATGTATGTAGGCAGCAGGTAAAGTAGAGTGAAGTAGGTAGATAGGTAGGTAGGGGTTCAATTGACCCTTGGGGAGCTCCGACTATAGATTTATGCCAGTTAGAGTAGCAGAGAAAAAAAGCGTGGAGGTCTATCAGTGGCTGCACGTGCTGTGCAGCTGTGGGTGGGGGGATTCTGCATACAGCGTCGGTGAAGGTTGGGTTAATGAAGAGCTCTCTCCTCTTCCACGCGGGTGTGGTGGTAGAGCTTGGTGGGCCCTATCTACTGGGTAATACACAGTCTCCGATTAGAAATTAGGCAAAGTATCTAACTCTCTATCTCGATACGGTAAGCTTTTTTTCTTTTTTCTGAAACATTTGTGGTAGGGTTAGGGTTTAGGCGTCAGCGATGCAGTTGAATGGGTGGATTACCCTGCCTATGGTGTAGTAGAACTTTGGATCACGTCACTGATTAGATCCAGAATCGATTCTAGGATATCGGTTTTCAGGATAGCCCACCTATAAGGATCCATAGACTAGATCATGAGGCATTTGATTGGAAAATTGGTATATACCTACCGTTAGAATCTAAAAAAAGTTTATATATGCAGGAATCCTACCGGGTACATTCTGGACATGAAATATCACTCACTTTTTCTATCACCGTAAGGTAGTCTCGTTCCCAGACTGTTTTGCTGTCGCCACTGCGTGCAGCTACAATCAAAGCAAACACAGGCTGGGCACAAGACTAGCCGTAAGGCTGAATTATGCCATTCGGCACGACTTGCAAACTGATTTTGGTATGTAACTTGAATTATTTGCTCACCTAATTGCAATCGTTCCTTATATAATTATATTAATGAGAAAAAAATACAAGATAAACGCCGTCATACTAGTACTAATACTGTTTGAATGTCTCTATATTTTTCTTAAGCTTCTTATAACGCCACTAGCTACAGTCGATGTGCTAAATTAGAAAACGATGTCCTTTTATGTCCGTATACTCAAGAATCTACAAAAGTCCTGGTTGGTTCTCCCTCGTAGTTCTGTGCCCGAGGAGGCAGTCAACGTACATTCTGTACCCGAACCTTAATTGTTAAATAACGTGATAGTTAGGGTGAAATCTCAAAAGCGTTGGCTGTGGTTATTCTGCTTCGCATGATTTGCAGCTACATGTGAAGTAGTGACATTATACAAGGAGTACAGTGCTATAAAAATATATACATAAAGTGGGTGGCTTTCTAAAGTCTTACTCTGAATATGTGTCTTATTCGGTTAAACTCACTATATGTATGTATACATGTATGTACATGTAGTCTCGAAGCACCGGTGCTATACATATGGAGCACGGGTTAACCCAGTCAGTACTTATATTACCTGGAGATCTAGGTAGCTGTTTTATGCTGCACTCCTCGTTGGGAGCATGCATATAGTGTCACACTAATTGCGTACTTCAAAATGGCACATTATACAGGAATTAGCTAACAAGCCATGAAATCTCGAATGAAACCTTTAATTGCATTAAGATCATGGACTTACATAAGCTTGCTGAAGTATGTATGACTTTGTGTATAGTAATGCATTACTTGAACACTCAGGTGCATATTCTCCCTTCCTAGCCAAGGTTCCACAAAAAAAAGTAAATATGATCATGAATGAAAACGTTATCTTGACTGCGTGTGAGTAACCCTGCCGAGTGATTTCCCGTGACCAAACAACAGAAGTCCACCATTACAATAAGATAGAAGCACAGCTACTCGGGCACGAAAGAAAAGAATATTCAGTAGCAAATGAGTCGCTAGATCGTATCTGTGACTCCATACTGAAATTTTACCCAGCCCTGATACTCATGAAAAAGAAAAATTAATACCCGTTACTAGCCACCTTTTTGTTCCTCCTCAACCCTAAGATATCTTCAATCCTGCTTTGTTTTGTTTGTTCGGCCATGTGTATCTTAGATAGCATGAATATGGCCTTGTTCCAGATCGACAGAACTCCTGAAGAGTTGTCCCAAATCAGACTCTGCAGTCATATCGTCCTGCATGGAGTGTCCTTCGCTTTCCTGACCGGTCTCAAGAGAATCGGGGTAATAGATACTTCCGTAGTCGATGGCAGTGTTAGGTGCTGAGCTCCCGCTACTATGCTGAGATGTTCCGTCGGCAGTACCAATTGATGTATCATCGGTGTCTTCAAAACTTTCTTCATTCCCAGTTTCGACTCCAGCACTGATAATGGTAACGCTTGTCAGGTCTTTAATGATATTGGCCTCAGTGATTGATGCGGTCTCTTCTTCGCTAGCGCTATCATTATACGGAAGACTGTGATCGGACAGCCTATGGTGACGACGGTAGGGAGACTCGAGGGTATTTGGGGGGGTTTGACCCATTTGATAAGGGTCGGCACTAGTGTGGGCGGCTTGAAAAAGCCTCCTCCGCGCAAAATCCTGTTTAAGCTGCTTTTTCCGTGATATATATTTGAATAGTGATGCAATCTGAGCTGATGTTAGTGATTTATAGGAAACAGGGCTGTGGGATAGGGGAAATACTCCAGGGGTGTTGACAATAACGAAAGCGCAGGTCGTTTCTGTGTTGATTTAATTTAATTAGAACTTGTGCAAATGTTTATCCTCACTTAACAACTTCTCATTCAAGGTGGTATTCAAACATACCAACAAGAGCCCAAAATGTGCTTGATCCAAGGCATCTCAACGACGTGACTTCCGCCATGCGGCCAAAGGCAGCACCAATCACAAGGAGTCCGAGCCCGAAGAGAAAGTACAATCCCGCTTTCCTGCGAATCGGAGCTCTCAGCTTCATGACGAATGGTATCGGGGTCACAAGCAGCGGAATATCTGATGCGATATTCAGAGAGCCAACGATCAACATCGTGCGGTATGTATCATGGCATTCGCCTTTTTTTTTAATAGTTAGTATATCTTCATGTGGAGAAAGGGATGGAAACGTACGAACAGCAGGCAGTGGATTGATCTGCCAATAATCCGTAAACGGAGTGCAAATAGCAGATATTGTGATCATGGCTGCGAGGAAGGTAACAAGAAGAAACCATCCAGCAAGGATGACGGCCAGACTTCTTTTACCATTTATGATAGCAAATTTCCTCATTACACACCACCAAGTGCACTTGCATCCCCAGATGCAGATGCAATATAGATACCATGAGGCCAAACTTGCCTTGCTGCCTATGACACGAAACCTTTCATCATGGTTGATCAACATGATAAAGTCTTCGGCAGTGTTCATCAGATTTGTCCCTTTCTCGAGGTAGACAGCCACACATAGCATGTAAGCAGTGTAGAAGAGCATGCAGCCTATCATTAGCACTTCCTCGAGATGAATCTTTCGATTGATGAAGCATCTTATTCCAACTCTGGCCAAGCCAGCAGTCATTGAGATGGCGTAAAAGATTCCCAGGTCTTTAACGAGATACTTTCCATAAGGAGATTCCTCTGGGAACCGCTGCACCTCAGTCCCCATTCTGGTTGACGAGAGATTGAGATTGGTTTTGAGAAGAGGTTCGATGTAAAGACAGTGTGTAGTAGTGAAAGAGGGTGTGGAGGTTACAGGACGAATTCAAAAGCATATTAATCTGGGCAAAGCCCCACGTACTTTCACCCAGCCCTTAAATCAAGTACCGGGCACCACATCTCAATTTTGCATAATTTATCCAACCTAAGGAAAAAAAAAAAAAAAAAAAAATCAGATAAGTAGAAAGTTGAAACTTACAGTCTAAGGATAAACATACTATTTTCTCTGCTTATTTTTGATCAGTTGAGTTTCCCGATTTTATTCATTCTACACGCCCAGCTGTATTGAGGAATTTTATCTTGATCATTACGGGGCAGAACATTAAGGTTCAAATACCCTTGCAATGAACGTTTAATGTACAATACGGGATATAATTCACACCGCTAGTGATGCGGCATTGTATTAGGATACCGGGTTAGCTCCATATAGCCTTGCGACTACATGATGTACATGTAGTCGTCTCAAGCGTGGCTCGAGCACCTCGAGCTGACGCTGCCCCTCTTTATACAAGCAAGAAAAGGCATGGACCATATGAGGTAGAAGCACCTGGAAGGAGTTGTCTTTGCTCGCCTTGAGCAGCCAGCTCGTGGACTACACTAGTCTTTTCTGAGCGATAGCAAACCTAGTTCGATGGTTGCGGATGGGACAACAAAACCAACAAGTATCAATAAAATCGTAGCGGCCTTTCGCCTTGATCGACTATTTATCAAATATATGGTTTGCTGAGAAGTTTCTATTTACTCCGACTACATGTAGGTTTCGCCATTGTCCCAAAAAAGACTGTACTATCAGAAACAAGAAGGTGGCCAGTGGGTAAGTTCGTGGTAGATTGTGATTACAGGGTTAGATTTCCCCTTAGCCTGCTTTACCCTCATGATCACCCCTTACCTGTAGCCCGTGAATGGACACAGCATTACCTTTTGTGTATTTACTGCCCGTTTTTTCTTTTCTTTTCTTTTCTTTTCTTTTCTTTTTTGAGGGGCCTAATGATATCGATTTGAGCTTTCTCTGGCCGGCCTACAATTGCGGGTTGAGCTATCTTAGCTTCTCGCGCATTATTTGGCTAATCGGTCTCGAGTAGGCCGGTTTACTTTCAGGCCATATTCTTTTATAGTATGATAGATACTGTAAAAGGGGAGGGGGGAGAAAGAAAAAGCCGAACCACTACCGTAAGACGAATCCCGCTGAATTTCACTTATCTTCCCAGCACTGTAGTATTCCTTACGAGGGTCTATCTTTCTAGAGTGAGCTCCATGTAGCTTAGCTCACTTTCGCACGAGTGATAAAACATGAAATAGGGTTAGGGTTAAATGTTACCCTACCTGTCATTCAATTCAGTCCACTAGAGATCTTCTGTTCTCGATAGATAGATATTGAAAGTCAAAACCCTTACGAGCTATTCCCTACGGCTGCAATGTTCGCACTCCGCTCTCTCCTCTATCGCCCGGTGGCGGCGCCCTTTCGTGCATTCTCCACAAGTGCTCCCGCCACTGCGACATTCAACCAAGTAATTCGAGGGGCGCGCAAGCCCCAGCCCGCGCGCAAACCGGTCTCCCCCGCCATGTCTACCACGGGGAATCCATGTATGAAGGGCGTATGTCTCAAGGTCACAGTCATGAACCCGAAAAAACCCAATTCGGCGGACCGGAAAGTCGCGAGGGTGAGGTTGAGTAATGATAAGGTGGTTACGGCATATATACCTGGTGAAGGTAGGTTTCTCTTGGATTTCCCCATTATTTATGGGAAGAGATATAGAAATGGCCAATTCTGAGAGAGGTTAGGTCACAATGTACAGCAGCACTCGGTGGTGCTGGTGCGCGGTGGAAGATCCCAGGATTGTCCAGGTGTGAAATACCACTTGATACGTGGAGCACTTGACTTGGTAAGTTCCTATTATATTCTCCTATAGTTGGCGATCAAGATATTGATGATGGGATAGGGAGGCGTGGGAAACCGCACAACATCAAGGTCAAAGTATGGTACAAAGAAGCCGAAGTCGGGTGCGGTATAGGTATAGCTTCCTACATAAAATAGATAAACCTCCATGACGGGCATGTACAGTACTTTTATCTAGTGAGAAGTGACACTACTATTAATCCAGTAGCTTTTCTCATTGAAGCTCCAACTATATGGTTAACTCATACTCAACTGTGGTTTCACTCTCCTATATAATGCCACTCCCGGCCAATTGCGCATAATACACATCCTTAAAAGGGAATTTGCTATTGATCAATATTTCATCAATGATGCTGCAAAATTGCTCTTACATTTGTGTGCTCCAGGCTATTCTCACGGATGTTCTAAGTAAAATTATGCTAATTGATCAGTCTATCAATAGGTAGAACCGTGAATTGAATGGAACCGGTTTTAGGGTTAATGTCCATGTGCAGAAAAGTAATAGATTTCATCCCACTAGTGTATATTTCCAAACGACCCCACCTCCAGTTAGCATAACCAGAAAAACCTAAACTCCCTTCTTTTTCATGTTTCATGCCTTGATAACTGCCCCACCTTGGCGGTCCCGCCTGCCTAAACAATTTTTTTTTTGCCTTGAGAACCAAATAAAAAAAACCCAGAAATTCGTTATAAAACCTAACACTGACTGCACTACTACCTCAAACGCGTCATATATTTAGTCCATTCCACCTTGGCGGTCCCGCCTGCCTAAACAATTTTTTTTTTGCCTTGAGAACCAAATAAAAAAAACCCAGAAATTCGTTATAAAACCTAACACTGACTGCACTACTACCTCAAACGCGTCATATATTTAGTCCATTTGGTTCTGATAGCCATCCGGCTTCTCCAAGCCCATGACATCAAAGTGACGGGATGTGCAGGAGTATCCTAGCATACAAGTCAGTATTGAAATTGGGCAAAATGAACAAACAGGATGATATACCCTTCCAGTCAAAGTTATCCTTCGGGTTGCAGGTGCATTTGAGTTTGATCCTGTCGCTCTCCGTGGTGGGGCAATGAGTAAACGGGACATGATAGTAACTACCCAGTTGTTAGTTTGACCTTATAGAACCACGCTTGATCTTTAAACATACGCAATATCGTTGAAAAAGTGGATTTCATCCTTCGACATCAACAACCCTGCCGCGATACTATGCACCGGGGCATCCCCCCATCTCTCATAAAAGAACCCTCCATCATGGTCCAATTTGTTAAAAAAATCCGTATATGCTTGCCCTCTCCAAAAGTCCAGCGATCCGACCTCAAAATTCGACCAGTAATGACAATGGTTGTACGTGTTGCCATCGTCGTCCGACAAGAAGGCCATTGCGTTGTCTTTGTGTATATGCTGAGGATACTCCTTCATAAAGGCTTTGACACTATCCCAGAGTGTGGGAATAGTCTCCACATACTCATACAGAGATAGCACAAACCCGTACTTTTTCTTGTTGTCGCGCATGAATCGGAATACATCGTAGTCAACATCACAGTAGAGCTCAATTGATGGCTCAACGCGCCAGTAGTATTCGTAGTCAAGCAGAAGGGGATGGTGAAAGAAGAAGCCGGATTCAAAACGGCACATGTGACGGTAACTGACACTATCACCATAGATGATTTTACGCTGCGCCTATTGATTCGAAAATGGTCAGCATTGTACCATCCCGCCCATAGGGATAATAACGTACCATATCCTCTCGGACTTTCTTCGCTTTGTCCTGGTCGATCCAATCGGGGAAGCTCCAGTGCTCCTTGGGAATCAATCCATACTTCGTATTGCCGGATACCAGGGCAGTAGTAATCTTTTTGAATTGAGCATCGAAGGGTTTGTCGTTCAGGAAGACCCAGTCGTAATTGAATTTTCGGTTGAAACGGTCCTCGACCTGCCGGATGGATTTGGCAATCTCCCAGATGTCGTTATTCCGCGCGAGAGTGATGAAAGTCGCATTTGCACGTTCGCCAGAATGTACTGCGGGAGGGAGAGAGTTGGATGTGTTGGGTGTCTGATCAGAGGAAACCGAGCCTGGGGAGGTTGCGCCATCGGCGGTGGAAGGCGAGCTAGGAGAGCCGTTTTGTTGTGAGATGATTTGCTCTACAGGAATAATAGAAGTTTTGGCGGTAGAGACATAGGTTGACGAGTAGACCTTGAAAAGTACGGCTATTGTCTATGTGGGAAGCGAGAGATTAGATCGGATGTTTGTTTGTGGATTGGAAATTCAAGATCAAACGGGACCTACGAAAAATGCCAGCAGAACGAACCGCAGGGTCCGTGTGTTGGATGCTGCCATGTTGTGGCCAGCTAAGGGTATGACCTGTTATCAAAAAGCCGTGACGTCTGAACTGTAGAGACGAAGGTATGCTAAGCTACGATGGCAAGTATCGCATCCAAATGGATTGAATGGAGGAAATAAAGATGGAGAACCAGGAGGAGAGCTGGCTTTATGTGAATGAAAGCAAGGGAGATGGGCAGTGGTTACGAAGCAGATGCGAATAGCTACAAGGATCTTCCACGAGTTTAGGGGGTGTTTGGGTCATTTGGAGACAGCGGCGAAATTGAAACAGCACAACTACATGTAGGGATAGAGCACTCCCCTGAGCTCAAGGGATTGGGATGGCAGATGAGTTGATGAGTACAAATGAGCCCTCGAGTAAGGTGCTCACAAAATTAGTTAGCCAATAGGTGTCCGATCTAGTTACTCCTTCTTAAACTTCTTTGGGGAAGTGTCTGGCTGGTGCTCGGGGCTGAGGATTCGACGATGGTGATAATAATGCCACAGGAGGATTTATATTCAGCCCTTCATAAAATTGGCGCCGGACCAGATCATCGTCTCGATTTGCCAAACTCACTGCTCCGACCGTTGTTGGTGCAGGTGGCGCCGTTCCACCATTCAATCTCAGGCGCACAACCTCAACCAACCCCACCCCACCTGCGATCCCCGCCTACGTATCAACTTAATTCTGCCCCACACTAACACTCTCATCACTTACAACCCACCATCCTTCATACCCTTTCCCCCTATTGTTTTAATACACCCCATACTCACCCTGCCGGTGCTCTACAATACCTTATATCAATCGACCTTCCCTCGGAATGTCGTTTTTTGGATTTGACACCGGTCCCCTACGGGATCGTGGGCAACATCCTGCGACAGCCCCAGGCTTTTCCCAGATCCCAGACCATTTTGCCTCTAGGCCGAACGACGACGACGATGACGACGGGTATGTTTATTCTGTAAAAGGTCGGCTAAGCTAAATGATAGATACTAACGTTATATTCTTTCAGAATTGACTTTGAAGACACATACGACGGTCTCGGCGACGCACTGGATGAGAAAGATGACGCTTTCAACGACGAAACCTTCGGTGGTGGGGATGATAAGATTGGTACATTCTAAATAGGTCATTCTGAGGCTTTGGCCATATATTAATCAGAATCATATATTCAGGCAAAGATTTCGACTTTCATGGCCAAACCGCAAAGGTCGCGGACGCAATGGACGAAGAACACGAAGTGTTTAATCGTTCCGCCCGGAAGCCATCGGTAGTTCACTCTGCTTCTACCCAGCAGCAGCAACCTTCCCGACAAGCCCTCCCACCCGCTCATGTCCCGGCTCTCCGCCCTGATATGTCCCTATGGGGCGGCACTACCATCTCCTCAACCCCCCCTCCACCTCCAGCGGCAGAAATCCACCGAGAGCAAACCCCCTCCGCCCGTGCTCCAACACAGAATGTCAAGAAATACATGTCCCTTGATGAAGTCGAGGCCGAGATTCTCATGAGTCAGAAACCCTTAGTTATGGCGCCGCAGCCAGTATTTCAGGGTCCTCCGCCACAGCAGGTACACCAGTATATTCACCAACAGCCCGATTTCCACCAAATCCCACAGCATGGAGGATTCAGTATGCAAATGCAGAATATGCTACGGGGGAGCCAGCAACAACAGCAACATATGCAGGCTCCTCAGATGATTCACCAGCAGCAACAGCATCCAGATCATTTGCGTGGAATTCCGACCCCTGTAGGTCCAGCGGGTGGGGCAAGATTGCCACCGCACGAACAATTACAGGAACCAAGGAATGTGTATGGCATGGCACCTCATGCCCCAGCTTCACAACTTCAAAATATGTCTGAAATCGAACGAACAAGGTTTCTGGAGGACGAGAGAAAGCGCTTAAAACGTAACCACAAGATCGCGCAGTTGGCTCGCTATAATGGACTGATGACACCGAATGATAAAAACTTCATTACAAGGATCCAGCTACAGCAACTTGTATCCATTAACAATGCCGATGACGCTGCAAACGAGGACTTTTATTATATCGTGCACAGTGCGATCCGTGCTAGAGCTAACCCTACCCAGCCATTAAATCAGTTTGCTCAAACATATCTATATCGACAGGGGAGAGGAAACCGGCGTCAGGATAATCATCTCCACCGTATGGAGCAGCAGGTTCAGCGTGCTGTTGCGGCAGCGAAGGCGAGGCCAAAGGCGTCTCAGTTAGTATTGGAAGGCAGCTTAGGGAAGATCAGCTTCAGCAATGTCAAGACGCCACGTCCAATGCTCAATATCAAGAAGAATGAAACTGGAGTGGGCGAACAGGTCCGGAAGGTATAACTGCTCCCTTTCCTACCCCACCGAGTGATAATCTATGCTAATAAAATATATTTAGACCCAACGCTCCACAATTTCTGGTGCAGGCAAAAAGACACTTCTTCTTACCATTGAAAATGTTTATAACGCCCTTCTCAACCTTGAATGCCACGAACGCGACCGCGGAAAGCTTCCACCACCCCCAGAGACAAATATCCACACTGAATGGGAAGCAAAGCGACAACTTCTCGTAAGCAAGCTCTGGCAAGAACTCAAGATTATGAGCCCTATCGATCCAAGCAGCAATCAAACACATCCTTTCATAGCAATTCTAAGCTACACAAAGATGAAGCGTGCGATTCAACGCATATTCAGACACCTGGACGAAGAACAACGAGTCACAGTGCTTACGATGATTGTGGTCCATCTTGACATCCTTGACGTTGTCAAAAACGGCGTGTATCAGCCTCATGAAACAACACTTCCGTCTGCAACACGCGAGGAAATCGATCTCTTTGCCTCGACAGTATTGCCATCCCTCATATCCTATGTGTACGAAGCGCCACTCAGAATCGTCATTGGCCTTCTTGGAATCCTTTTGGAGCGTGTTGATGTAGTTCTAGTCTCAAAGACAAAAATCGGGCTCGCATTTCTCACCATGTTTTCCTCCAGAGCCGAGATTGTCAAGCAATCTGGAAAGGCTAATGAGAACGAACTTGCTCAATGGCAAGCAATGTATGACCGCCTCTTTGAAACCTTACAAGGGCACTGGATGGGATGTTTCCCGCCAAATGGAATGGCCGTCGACGATGTGTATGTTTGGCAGTTTTTGGCAAGTGTGGCCGTAGGGGCCAGTATGCCACAGCAGCAGATGCTTGTGGGCGCTGTGAAGTAAGTTCTTTCTTCTCTTTCTTGCTTATTTGAATGTTGGGGGGCTAATGAGCGACTATAAATCACAGGGACCGTGTAATGGAAAACGTAATGGCGTCCAAAACACTTCCGGCGGAGATTGGGACGCAGAAGAGCGCCAATGTAAATTTGTTCATGAGAGCCATTGGTTTGGATGTTGAGTTACTTGGATAGTTGGAGGAACCAAGAAAAGTTCATTCGTCATTTTTTCCTTTTTTTTTTTTTTGGACTTGCCGTAGTTTCCCCCTTTTTTTTTGGCAGGGAGGGAGAGCACACACCAGTGAAATGGAGGGGCGGCATGTATCAGCGCGGTTTGTTTGAAGCGCTTAACTGACCATACTATGAAAACTGTGTTTGGGTTGTTGTTGGAGTTAGTTGTTTTCACTTTGGTTTTTTACGTTCAATATTGACGAGTTGAGATTAAGTAATAGATTCGGTGGTAGTGTGTGTGAGTAGGACCTCTTTTGTGTTTTCTCACATATTTTTCGGTGATATATGCATGCTCCTTAATCCATTGAGAATCTCACGATAGTAGAATCGTATGCTCACGGTTTCTGGCCTCGTGAAAAGGATGAGTGCGAGGGTAGATGATCTACCTACTCGCTGCTGTTACCTAAATTCAGGTTCCGGATCACGAAATATGACTCGATGTAACATAGGCACCTCTTGGACGTTCTTAATATTGATTACCCCCATCGATCTCCAGCTCCGTTGTGCTCCAACATGCCCGCCTGGGAGTGTAGAGCACACCCGAAGGTTTGTATCCCTAGTACTTTACTTTCGGGTACCATAACATGTGCCGCCCGCGGAATATCTTGTGTCATAGGCGCTCGTACGCCGTAAGCCGTGGGTGCGTATATAAGGGTCATTATGATAATCCAAGACCATAATCCTCTAATTGTAACCTCCTTGGTATATGCCTCGGAGGACAGTTTTTCCTATAACTATCTCATCATGTGGTCATAGTGGGAAGATTCAAGATTTTGGTTATCGATCTTCAAGATTGTTGATTATCGTTTTATGCGCCATGAATTATAGGAGACTTCTTCTCACGTTACAGCCAGCCCAGTCAAGCAACTACAAACGAACATGTATGGTCGAGTGATATTTCATGATTGAGCTAGATAGTCTAATATTGCTATTATCATGTTCGAACTGCAGGAGCCAGACCCTGGCCCATGAACCGTAACCATAAAATGCCACATCCACAGCTATCCAGCGCAAGTAAACAACCCAGTAGCTATTTCGCATCGCCCTCCTCATGCTCACTCTTTACACCCGCAATATCACCATCCTTCGCACCAGCACCCACAAACGCCGGCGACGTCGGCTCATCCACAGCCTTCAGCCACTCTTCATATCTCTCCACAAACCTCTGGCTCACTATCCACGTCAGCTCGGTGCTGCAGCACTTCTACTCACCCGCCGCCGCCGCTTCATTAGCCCACATGCGCCCTCACAACCCACCAGGGGGGTAATGTCACTGGTACTTACCGAAGACCACCGCAGCCGCACCTCACCCTCCTTCAGCGGGCGCTCATAGGGCTTCAGGGGCCACCAGCTGACGCCGTCCAGATTGCCACTAGTGTCGTGGTCAAACATGCTCCCGATTTTACCCTTGAGGTCGTTGAGGCAGCTCTCGGGGGTGGTGTACTCGACCTTGAGCGGGTGGGCGCGGGCGAAGAAGGAGGTGTAGTAGTTGTCCATTTTTGAGTCGGTGGTAGTGGGGGTGGGGGGATGGTCGGCAGTGGTCAGTGGTCGGTGAGTGGAGTTTTGGGGGGGGGGGGCGGGATAAGGTGAGACTACTTAGGGATAGTAAAGAATATTTTGTTATTGTAATGGGACGCTGGGGGTTGTGTGCGTAGTAGAACGCTGGGGAGTCTCTAGTGTGGCTGTATTATTAGTATGAGAACAGCTGTCAGTTTCTGTCAGTTGTAGTTGTTAGTTATACTTGTTGTTGTTTGTTACATCACCGCCGGATACCACAGCTATATAGCTAGCACAAGCACTAGAGAGGTAAGGGACGCACACTCTGTACACACCAACAAAACTACTTTCAATAATACTATTTTCAACAGCCAACTACAGCTCCAACCGCACAAATATCAAGAATCTTTTACCCCCTAGAATATACGATTTCAAGTGACAGCGCAACAATGGATGTGTCAACTGTTCTGAAAAGCCTAATCGTGCAAAAGCCAACCACGGCCGGCGCGGCCGCGTTGTGTAACAAAGAAGAAAGAGAACCAATAATGAATCGATGACAAAACGTGACTAGATATACACTCTAAAGCTACATGTACTCACGCATTAATGAAGTCCTGGGAATTCCTGGTAGCAGCGGCCTCACAAAATTCCTCACAGGACTTACATGCGAGTACCCCCTATGACAACGAACAGGCAATTAATTATACCGTGAAAATCTAATGTCCCAGAACCTATATGCACTATGCAGGGACATGTAGTATCGGAGAACCTTTTAAGTTCAAGGCCCGGGAATGAGATCAAGTTACACATTTCCCGCTATTCTTTGGTCACGACCTCTGTCTGGTATAGTAGAATAATAATAGTTGGTTGAATTTGAGTCCAAGGACAAAATGATTTTCAATGCTAGATAAACAATTAGGCAAGATATGGACAGCTCCATGAATTATCACTCGTCTCACCCCACCTATCCCCTCCACCCGCACGCAGCCTGGCAATCCCTCTCCCACAATAATACTGCAGTCAACTTAACCTTTCACACACAGACACCCTACGAACTACTGCATGCTCTCAAGAACAATCCATAACCCTCATCACAAAATATATTCCTGGTATCCCACAACTATTTCTACATTAACCCACCCCCGCCCCTCTACCTCCCCCCACTCCCCACCCCCCACTACCCCACCAAACTCGCCGTCGGCTCCGGAAAACTACTCACCACCAGCGGCTTCGGCGGCAGCCGTCCCGGCACCGGCGCCAGCACTTTCATATAATGCTTCTGATCGTCCACGCTCGCTCTATTTTCCCATTAGTTTAGTCCCCCATACCACCCCCAGTACCACACTATAGCCAGGGGGAACTTACATATACACAAACCCCATGACACTACTCTCAGCAAGCACCTCCACGGCATCCCCCATCTCCGCGTGCAGCACGGCCGCAACACTATGCTGCAGCAGCGACGTGGGCGTCGTCTTGACGAGCAGCGGCTGCGTGTCTTCGGTTCCGATGGGGAGCACGCCGGATATCAGTGGTGATGCTGTATACATTAGCTCACTTGTTGCTTCTCTTCTTAGATAACCAATTCGGGAGTAGGAACAGACCTTCGCCAACCCGCCATAGGTTCACTTCATTTAGCCCCACGGTAAGTGTGTAGGGACTCAGCGTCCGCTTCGGCTCGCCAAAGAAGTACTCGCGGATCGCGGTCTCACGCGCCTGTTTCAGGAACGCCTCTTCGCGGTCGACGCACCCGCCGGATTTAGCGAGCTTGACGACCGTGACGCCGCTGGCGGCCTCGCGGCCCTCGAAGCGTCTGACCATATCGCTGTAGAGTCGCTCGCTACCGACCACGACGAGCGTATCCACGCTGAACTCGGACACAGCATGGGAGATGACGTCGTAGCTTGCTATACCGGAGGTGTCAATGATGCATCCGCTAACCCTGCTACCGTCCTCCTCACTCAGCCGTGACGACACCGCCAGTGCCATCCGCGACACGAGCGCGCGGTACAGCGGCGCATTCGCCTCCGGCGACGCCAGCCCATAGTAGTACACGAGCGGCAGCTTCACCGGCACCGGCGACGGCCCCGACGTCGGCGAGCTCCCGAAATGCTCCTCCACGTCCATGATGGTCGAGAAGCTCGTGGCCGACAGTGTCCCCGGCAGCGACAGCATCCCCTCCTTCGGGTCGAGGTTGACCACGCACGGCATACGCCCCTGGCGCACTGCATACGCGGTCAGGATCTTGACGAGCGACGTCTTGCCGGCGTCCTCTGGGCCGATGATCATTACGCGGGGCCCTTGCTTGGACGGCAACTCGCTGGCGGCGCCGCGCAGTTTCTCGAGCGCGAAGTGCAGGTTGGTGTAGGAGGTCATGGGCGTCTCTTCAGAGGTGTATTCGACGGTGGGGGTGCCCGTGACGGAGAGCGTGCAGCCGGACCAGGTGTAGATTGCGGATTTGCAGCCTGTGAAGGTGAATTTGTGGCCGGTGGGGAGCTCGGTGCCGAAGATCTCGGCGGTGCCTTTGAGGAGCTGAGGTTGGCGGGTGTTAGCTTGCTAGGTGGGGGTTGTGGGGGGGTGTGGGGGGGTGTGGGGGGTGTGGGAGGGTGGTGGGCTACTTTGACTTCTACGGTGGTGTTGAAGGCCACCTCGAATCGCCATTCACGGCATTTGCCAATCTCGTGGATCTTTTCTGTGGGGGGCTCGGCAGACTGGGGATCTGTGGACTGTGAAGAGAAGTTTGGGAAGGATTGGCCGATGGAGAGATCTGCCAGCTGGAGGCCTGGGACTGCCATGGTGCTGCTGTGGATGCTGGGAATGCTGGGATGATGCAGACTGAGATGAAACTGGAGAGAAAGACTGAGTGGGGGGTGTTGGATGGGAGACACAGAATTGATGATGGTTGAATGGCGGAGAGGGAGGATGGCTGGATGGCAGAGACAGACTCTTCTTCTTCTTCTTCTTCGAGGTGTTGTTCTCCAATTCCGGGGAGACGCGACGTTGGTACAATCACGCTAGTCCTGAACGGGGCTGCGGCTTAAAACCTTAATTGGCCTTGGCAGCGACTGTGAGGGTTAGGGTTGTTCTCACCCCAACACACCACGCCGCAGATGTCATCATCATCAATTGCGGCCCTAGAAGTCTCGCTACATGCCCCCCTCCAGCGATGTAATATGCCCTGCGCCGTCTACACAGCGCCCTGTCCTCGTGAATAGTAAAAAAAAAAAAGGAGAAAAAACAGAAGAAAATGCTACGCAAAACTACAACATGCCCTCCTCCTCATGCCTACCCTCCTCCAGATCAAACTCATCGTCGTCGCTCTCCCGCTCGATGCGGTCCATCTCGACGTTCTCCCAGGCGCCGCTGGAGATGGAGTTGAGGTACGTGCGTCCGTATGACGGCCTCAAGAGCCCTCCACTTCTTCCACTACCACGCCGTAGAGGGTCGCCGAGGCAGGAGGAGAGTGCGAGGAAGACTGTTTCCGTAGAAGATCCGAGTAGTATTAGAGGGTGGTGGTGGAGAGGGTGTGGGGTGCAATGGGGAATGGAATACTCACAGGTGAGCAGGACGAGCGGTACTACGAATATGGGGATAAGGATCCAGATCATGGCTGCTTAATTGTTTGTGTGCCTAAGGCTCCTGTTGCTTGGGCAGTATCTCGCAGACGGTAACACTGTTGTAAGAGAGTTGAGGATGCTCCCTGAGTGCCCACATGTAATTGGGAGATAGCACCCGCATTGATTGGCTCACTCGAACCAGCTAGGTTCGCCATTGTCCCAGAAACGAGTGTAGCTGTTTAGGTTCCGTCTGAGATGACCATATGCAGGGGAGCATGAGCCTTGCCTGCACCCATTACCTGCACCCATTACCCCCAAATTTGATCCAAGGTTGGCATCTTATTCTCCTCCGTCCGGTATAAAGAGAGCGGTTCCTGAGATGTCTTTACGATGAATTAGCCATATCCTATTCTTTCCTCCAGGTTACTGATACGATCACTTATATAAAAAAAGCAAAAAGTCTCGTTGACGTTTCGCACCTAATTGGAAAGACAATTTCCTTTGATTGCTTTTTCTTACTACGCTATCTTCTTCTCGTTATAACCTTATCCACATCCTGATCTTTCAGAGAGCTAGCCCAACAAACCTCAACTTCATTCCACCACTCCCCTCCTTCTCCAAGCCTATTTATTTTATAATTACACATTTCCTACGCACCACACCATGCGTGCCAAAAGCACACAAAAAACTCAATCCTCACCATATATTTTCCTTATCTACCATTGATTGCTATAAACATTGACACTCGCACTCGCACTCCCTCTTTCCCTCATCATGAAATTATCATACTTCCAAACCACATTACCATTAACAGGATCCTTCTGAAGCTCACCTCCACTCTTTACCATGTAGTCAGCCACCAAATTCTCCTCCAGCCGTACATTCGGCAGATGCGGCGGGTAATAGAAAGTCTCCGACACAAACGCAGTATCGGCGCGGGTTTGCGGAATCGTTCGCTGTATCTTGTCGGTGCATAGGAGACTAAAAAAAAAATGAAAAATTAAAAAAAAAGAGGGGTAGCAATAATGTTGGTATACTGACAAAAAACAAAATCGATATTTACGCCGCGCGCGGGGGAGAGGGAGGGGGGGAAGGGGGACGGGGGAGGGGACGGGGACGGGGACTAGACATACATATCTCCACCGTTCAGAGTAACCATTTTGCGCTGCTGGCTGGCCGTATCGACGGTCAGATGGAACGTGACATGGCCGTTCTGCGGGCCGCCGAAGAGCGTCGCGACATATGCATTGTAGCTCCGCACCGCAGTGTCCTCGAACCGGGGGACCGGTATGAGCAGTTTTGAAGTCCCCATGTTATACTGGCCGTGGAGGAGGAAGAGGATTTTTGCAACGGCCTGCGCACGCCATGGGAAATGTTACTAGCTAGGTTAATTACGCTCCCCCAAGTACATACAGGGCGGGATATATGGGAGATTTTAAAAAAAAAAAAAAAAAAAAAAAGACATTACTAGGTGTTGTACCGTACCGAAGACATAAAGATCTCCTTATCCATGAACTCAAAGGTTGTGAATCCCAGATCCCCACGGGACTCCAGTGCCTGCACGCGGTTGAGTGAGTTCATGCGGACCGTGATGTTGGAGCGCTGGCAGATGATCACGACGCCGTCTTCGCCCATGACCCGCACCACTGCTTCGGGCTGCTCGTCGGCGTCGAGTATTCCGCCGTCAACAGTACGGATTTGCATTTTTTGGTGCGGGAGATAGCTGGTTGGCTGGCTGGCTGAAGAAAGGGATATATTAAAGGGGCGGAGGGAGAGAGAGGTCGCGCTGGGTTGGTAGGTCGTTGGAGAGCGACGGTAGGTATATATGTGCGTACTTGTAGCTATCGAGATATATGTAGGTACAGGTACGCTTCAATGCCGCCTGGCTGGGGCTCCCCGCTTCTGGTTCAGTAATAATATTATTATTGTGTTTACAATTAAGGCCCTCCCTTGTACTGGATAAAGGGATAAATTAAAGACAACAACCATCACACATCATCTAGTCGTTGGTAGAAACACCCTCGCGCTGCCAGATTAGAGCTATTTAGACCAAAAAACTAATTGATACAAAAACTGTACGCCTATTAGCTGCCATCCATAGTTCTTTGGCCGGCAGCTTCCAATTAACTAGCAGCTAGTGGTCTTCAAAGACCTAAATGAACCTCCGTTCTTTTCTATAGCTAGGTGATATATAGGATGCATATGATTCATAGTAAAAATATTTGTTTATCAATTATATAAACTAATCCATGTTAACTACATGTACTATACAGGCGCAAATATGTACCTACTCTAGTCAAGCGCATGAACAGGCTGTGCATAGGGATTAGCAATCAAGCCAGGAACATTGGCACAACGACCAAGAACATGGGCACAGAGCCAGTTAACCGGGCAAGGCCAGTAAAGCGGGCAGGGCCACTAAACCGGGCAAGACCACTAAACTGGCCCCAGAGCCAGGAAACTGGCCACAAAGACCAGGAATCTGGGCACAGAGAAATTACCCCTCACGATGCGTGAAGCCACACCGAGATGTAGTACAGGTGTCGAGGTACATTTGGAGTCTACATATGCTTAATTATGCCGATTCATTTCCCTCTTCGGGAAACCGCATATCATAGCTCTAATAAGCAACTGTTCCAAAGAATCGCCTAGGCCTCACATGTTACTTACCGTTCTACTCTTCACTGGCTGTTTTGCAAATGCCATTCAGGACATCAAAATGGCCTCGGCTCATATACACCTTTCTTGATCTTTGGCCTGGGTATATTATCATAATAGTTAATTGCAATCTGTGTCTTTGTTTAGTGGGGTTTTGTAGTACGCATTAAATTGGTTTGAGAGCGCTGGTACTGGCAGTGCTTTACTACATGTAGTATTATTTCAAACAAATGATTGAAAAGTAATATGATATGATATATTCAAACACACGAGCGAGCCCGCCCTCCCCCCCTCCCTCCCTCGGCGGTGGCCTCAAAATTCTGCTTCCACATATGTATATACGTAACTCTTGAGAGAGAAAGAAGGAAAGAACAAAAGAAAGAGCCTGCCTCGATCACAAATTACATAAGATCAGCTCTCGTAAAGTACGCCGCATAAGGCGACGGCGGCGCAAACATCATGATACGCGGAAGTTGAAGAGTAGCAGTAGTAGCAGCAGGGACAGGAGCAATAGGAGCAATAGGAGCAATAGGAGCAACAGCAATAGTAGTACCAGCCCGCCCCTCCTCCTCCCCTCCCTCCCCCTCCCCCTCCTCCATCTCCGTCCATGGCCTCTTCGTCCCCGCCAAAACCCCTCCCGCAGCCCTGCCTTATATCTCTCTGTTGGCTTTCACCCCACTCCTCAATTAAAAAACAACAAGAAAAAAACCACTCACCACAATTAGCCTCATGCTTCGTGACCTGCTCCCTCCTCGAGAACCGCCTGCCACAGCGCGCGCAGCACAGCGCCATGAGGGCATCCGCCAGCTCGCGATGGTAGCTGTCTGCCGCGCCCAGCACGTGCCGGCGCAGCCCCTTGGCGTCGCTGTACGCCTTTGCGCAGACGGAGCAGCAGTGGCCCTGGCGGCGCGCGTTGAGCTCGTCCAGCTTGTGCAGGAGGGTGCTCAGGCAGCTGCCCTCGCTGGTGGTGCTGCTGGCTCCGAGACTGTTGACGAGGTGACGGAGGAGCTGCTCGTGGACGAGGAGGTGCTCGCTGATGGTGGGGCTATCGAGGGCGGGCTTGGGGCCGGGGCGGGACATGGCTGGTCGGTGCGGTGATAGGTGGGTGGGTAGGTGCGGGGAGAGGAGGGGGAGTGAGATATTGGGGGGCAGGGAGGGAGCTTAATACTTATATCGGAGGGGAGGTGCTGGGGAGCTGCCTGAGCTGCAAGAATGGCTAGCCCAGCGCTAACCCTAACCTAACCACCCCATGCTCCATGGGCCACGCCAGGGTGTAGTAAGTCGGATGGCCGGCGATAGAAACGGTGATAGACTGAAGAGAGCGAGGTTTCTTATCTTGTAGTTGTAGATACATGAGATGAAGCATCTTAGACACTGGATGAACTTGGTCGCACCAAATTATTACTGCATGCATTGCGTGCACCCTTGGGGTGCAACCCGCGCGGGAACAACAACCGCACGGGAAGCTTGGTGTGCCAAGAGATGAAGAGCCTGTTCCATTCCTAACAAGGTAATAAACAGCTCTGATCACTTTCCTAATTAGATAATTGTTTAGGTCAGCGTTAACGGTGTATCACAGTGTTTGTTCCATCCAAATAATATAATTCAGATGAAGGACAGAACACGCAGATAGGGCCGTATTGCAGCGCAGTAACCGTCTCGGGCACGGTATTGGAGGAATAATGTCAATGAAATACCACTTGGGTATAGAGAGAAAAAGTATCGATACTACAGTGCAATCCCGATAATATGGTCCGGAATGGAAATTCCTATGCCACTATCGAGAATATGCTTGTATCGAGAGCAAATTTGCCTGTGCCGATCCGTTCAGGATTGGCCAACAACATGCTACTATCGAGAGTATGCTACTATCGGGGCTCCGCTGTATGTTGGTCCACCCGAATAACATTATTTAGGTGGACCATAATAGATACTCTATAAAACAATCGATATTCTGGGCCTCGCGCACTTCAAACCAAGAAATAATAGCCTCTCACCAAAAACCCAACTTTTGAAAATTATTATCCAACTCCACAACCACGACAGATATGTGAAATCAATTAATTGAGCTCTGTCTAGTAGAGCGTGAACAAGACTGGCCTTACATAAATTCAGTAGTCGCGCGCATGTCTATGCCCTAGCTTGCTACTTTTCTTTCCGGCCTCTGGTCTAAAACCTAACCCTTATTCCGCATGTCAATAGTGATAATCGATATCAGAATACCATTTTTCGGTCCAGACCGATCACTAGGCGACTGTATCTACAGAAATGTTGCAACTTATAAATCGAGCGGGATACATGTACGGTACATGTACGGTACATGTACTCACGGTACTACAAGTACTGTACTCAGTCAAACCCTCTTCCCTAAACTGTTACAGCAAGAGCTCCCCCGGCCAATGACGTAAGCCCCCACCAACGCCATCCCTGCATCCCCGCCCCGCACAAGCCACACCGCAACCCAGTTCCAGCCACTCCACCTCACAGAAGAAGACAGACAGAAGAAGACAGACAGACAGACAGACAGACAGACTTCCACTCCCACCTCCAACCCCCCCCACCAACCACAACCAACAATTCTCACGACACTCCTCCTCCACTTCCACACTCACTTGACTTCACCCCACTACTCCCCCCTCACTCACCACTCACTCCCCCCCCCCACCTAGAACCACACCATGGAATCCCTCTCCCGGATATCCACCCTCCTCGAGACCGCCCGCGACCTCACCCTCGAGGCCGCACAATCCGCCTCCATCTCCGCCTCCTCCCACCCGCCGCCCACGCCCTCCCCCACCGCGACCAAGAAACTGCTCAATTCCCGCATGGACCGCGAGGTCCTCGACGGGCTGCGGAAAGTCATCTCTGTACCTCTCCCTCTCCCCCATCTCATCCCCACCTCCCACACACACACACAGCTAACACACCCAGATGATGTCCCACGGCACCGACTGCAGCCCCTTCTTCGCCGACGTCGTCAAAAACGTCGCCTCCCCCAACCTCGAGATCAAAAAACTCGTCTACATCTACCTCCTCCGCTACGCCGAGTCCGAGCCCGACCTCGCCCTACTCTCCATCAACACCATCCAAAAGGCGCTCACCGACCAATCGCAGCTCGTGCGCTCCATGGCCATCCGCGTCATGGCCGGGATCCGCGTCCCCGTCATCTCCCAGATCGTCGCGCTGGGGATAAAGCGCTGCGCAGCCGACATGTCGCCCTACGTGCGCAAGGCCGCCGCCGTGGCGATTCCAAAGTGCTATCGCCTGGACACGGGCACGCTGCCGGCGCTGAAGGAGTGTCTGGGCGTGCTGCTGGGCGATCGTAGCTTTTATGTGGTCGGGGCGGCGGTGGTGGCGTGGGAGGGCGTGTGTCCGGGGAGGTGGGAGATGCTGCATGGGCATTATAGGGCGCTTGCCAGGATGCTGATTGATATGGATGAGTGGGGGCAGCTGGCGGTGCTGCGGGTGCTGACGGGGTATGCCAGGGCGAACTTTCCGGCGAGGGAGAAGAGGGTGAAGAAGGCCGCGGGGGTGGGAGCGGGGGCGAAGGCGGGGGGTGGGGATGGGGATGGGTTCTACTCGGATGAGAGTGGGGATGAGGATGTGCGTAGGGGGAGGAAGGGGAAGGTGTCGGCCGCAGCCACGGATGCGGACCTTGAGCTTCTCCTCCGCGGCTGCATCCCCTTGCTACAGAGTCGGAACAGTGCTGTATTTATCCCCCAATTGATCATTACCCCTACTCTACATACAATATCTCTAACACACCCCAGGTCATCGTCGCCGTCGCCCGCCTCTACACACACCTCGCCCCGGCCTCCTCCCTCCCCACCGTCGCCGGCCCGCTCATCTCCCTCCTCCGCGCCCCCACCGACATCCAGCACATCGCCCTCCTCAACATCGTCTCCATCGCGCTCAAATCCCCACACCCCTTCACCCCCTACGCCACCCACTTCCTCGTCCACGCCTCCGACCCCCCACACATCTGGAAACTCAAGCTCGAGCTCCTCACCCTAATCTTCCCACACACCCCCACCCGCACTAAAAACCTAATCCTCAGCGAACTCGAATACTTCGCGCACACCCACGACCCAGCCCTCGTCCGCGAGGCCGTCCGCGCTATTGGCCGCTGCGCGCAAAGCGAGACCCGCAACGCCGCACGCTGCCTCAAGCTGCTCATGCGCCAGGTCGAGAGCGGCACCGGCACGCTCGTCGCTGAGAGCCTCACCGTCATCCGCCACATCATCCTGCAGAACCCGGCCGCGCACGCGCGCACCGTTGTGCGCCTTGCAAAGGCGCTCGATACGGCCGTCAATCCCAGCGCCCGCGCGAGTATCATATGGCTCGTGGGCGAGTTTGCGGGCGTCAATGGCGGCGATAATGTCGCGGCGGATACGCTACGGCTGCTGGCGAAGACGTTTGTGCTCGAGGGGGAGGCGGCGAAGTTGCAGATTGTGTTGTTGGCCGCGAAGGTGTATGCGCATTACTTGGACCGTACGCAGTCGGGTGCCCCGGTGCAGGAGGGGACGGGGAGGGGGAGGGGAGGAGAAGCATCCGGTGGCGCTGCTGTTTGCGTATATCACGCTGCTAGCGCGCTACGATCTGAGCTACGACCTGCGCGACCGGGCACGGCTATACAAGTCCATCCTGTCGACGCCATCCTCAACACCGCTCGCAACACTACTGCTCCTGGCGCCAAAGCCGACGCCGCAGGCGCCGTCGCCGTCGACGGGGCGCGAAAAGTATATCGTGGGCTCGGCGGCGATGGTCGTGGGCGAGGGCGAGGACGTCAGCGGGTATGAGCCGCTCGAGGACTGGGTGAGCGAGAGCAGGGCGCCGAGTCCGAGTGTTAGGGACGTGGCGCCGGTGGAGGGCGAGGCGGAGAGGCGCGGGGTGGTCGCTATAAAGAAGAGTGCTGGCGGAGGCGTCAGTCCGGGGATGGCGGCGACGCCGGAGAAGAGTCCGGTGTGGAGGCCGGAGGGGGTGAAGGTGCAGGTTAAGGGGAAGCCGGAGACGTTGGAGGACTTTTTTAAGGAGAGTGAGGAGGAGGCGAGTGAGGAGGAGACTGAGGGGGGGAGGAGGAAAGCGAGGAGGAGGAAAGCGAGGAGGAGGATGAGGAGAGTGAGGAGGAAGAGGACGATGATGACGAAGAGGAGGAGGAGGAGGAAAGTGAGGACGAAGGCAATGAAGGGTCGAAATTACTGACTCAGGATAAATAAAATAGGACTATGTAGCTAATTAAGTAGGAGCGTCTCTTTCTTTTGTCTTTTTTCTGTTTTTAATCAGCGTACTTGATGGACAGTGGAGTTGGTAATGTGTATAGACCTGAACGTTGTGTTGTACATTTTTTTCTTCTTGTAGCTGGAGGGGGCTTTTATGGTAGTTATGGGCTTAGACTTTTATATATATATATATATATTCCTTTCTCAGAGCGCTGTAGTTTCCGCCCTTTTGGCTTTTGGTTTTTTATGTGTTCGAGTGTATTGTCAGAGTGGTGAGGGTTGGGCGTGGACGTGGATTTGGGGTGTTGGTATTGAAAAAGTAGTACGAGGTACATACATGTAGTTAAGTAATCTCGACAAAGAGTCCAACTACTTGCTATATAGTCACGGATCAGACAGGTGTCGACATGATAAGAACACCTCTCGATATGACAAGTTCGCACAGTTTACCTGTACGGGTTTTACATCATTTGAGAAGCTAAATGTATGCAATTAATGAATTAAACAAAAAGGAAAAAAAAAGAAAAGAAAAGCTAAATATCTAAAAAGAAAAAACGATTGGTGGTGCAGCGGGCCGAGTGATAGCCTGTGATTACTTCGATACCAGTCTCGGCGAGTCCCGAGAAAGGTACAGGGCTTGGCTTGATATGCTAAGATTTATAGATTCGAGAATTTTTTTTTTTTTTTAAATCATGTAACCCTTAACTTTAGGTACAAAATTGTGCATGCAGTCATAGATTCGAGCATGCAGGGTGCCTTCCGATATTACCAGGGGACTAAGGGATGCCCGATATTTGAGATCAACTACCCCACCGCCCTCCAACCCCGCCGCTTGACCTTCCATATATAAGATCTCTGAGCTATTAATACTATATAAAGATAACTATTGGCAAGTGTACTTTTCTTAAGGGTATATGTTTAGCTCGACTGCCTTGACGCTCCAGTCTATCCATCCAGCGATGAGCCCTTCCCCGGGGTCAAATATTTGAATTTGTAATGTTCTTCTCCCTTGACCTCCACGAGGCCTGAAGTAAGCTGACGCTTTTCCTCGCCACCCGGACCCCCCCCCCCCCCCTCACTCAGACGGTTAATGTAGGAAATTAGAGAAGATCAACGTTTTAAGTGGCTTTTTGTACCCCTCCCCCACCAGCCGCCACCGGCCGCCCAAGTGAGGGGGAGTCCGAGTGGTTATGGAAAGTCGTCTGGTGACATGTCTGTCGAGGAACATCTTTGTCATATTCTACCTCGTGATATATATAGTGGTATTGCATTGATGTGCTTTTCGAGATGTGCTTTTGGATCATAGGCAACATCCCGGCGAGGTCTTAAGTTCCACAAAAGAGCGTGCGAACCCCACCCCTGCAGGGATGTTGATTCTGGACTCCGTCCGATACTATCGTTATCTCGCGCTCATGCTTAATCAAGTCCAGGTGACACCGATAGAGTTCTCGGAGAACATACATACAGCCTCTCAACTGGCCATGACCGTAGCACTATCCAACATCGGGCGTCATGATCGTAATTAATCGCTTGGGATTTGATACCACTAGTTCGAAGACCTCACTATAAGGCAGCAATGCACCTCATCTCGTGGACCATACGAGGCCAGCCCTTGGACAAGTCAATCCCAGCTCTGACAGTTGGCGGGGTAAGTAAATCTGTAGGCCAAGATGTATTGTTGACCAAAATCATGTATAGTCCGTGATTCGGGGCACCCTACACCTTTGTAGCCAAGTACATGTAGATGCAGTGTGTTTGGAGACGAGGTGTGCTTCCCCTACTTGTCAAGCTAAAGAAAGCTTAAGCTCCGCGTGCTTGAATGATGACACGACACGGGGACATGGAGTCTTGGGCACAGTAAATGGAATCACGCTAGTAATAAGCTTTCTGAGATTCCAGATATAATAGCGATCTGGTCCTTTCTGGGGCTTGCTCCCAGAAAGCTATCTATAAGAAATAAATACAATACTAATCTTTCCTTCATCCCAAGAACAAATGCTACCAGCTTCATATAATCATAATCAATCACTCACAGTTGTGAGTAAGCAAAATCGACCCACGCCATCAATCGACGCAAGGTCTTTTAAGCAGCCAGTGAATCTACACAATTTACTAGGCCTGTTAAGAACATGTCGTCCGCCTACATTCTCTAGCAGGAAATATCCTCATATCACATCTGACGAATCAGGCTTCCCTAGGATGTCGATGGTGACATTATCCCGAAGATGCCCCTATCAGACTTCTTCGCTTATGCTCAAGTGTCCTCTCGGGTTAGCTGGCGGGATTGTCCGCTCTGTATGCAAGCACTCCAAGCTTATTTATTTTAGAGATTAAATCTTCGGAATCATTGGTGTGTACCTTGGCAACTGGGATAACTAATGTGTACCCATCTAAAAAAAAAAATTCTATCCGGAGATAGTTTGCTACTGATCCGGGGCCGGAGATCCGATCTTGCTGAGCTCAGGCTGAGTCCCCAAGTGGTCAGTTCGATCATGGTACCTCCATCGACAGATTAAAGCTTCCATACAATATCACGGGCCTTCGAGACCGTCATAACGTGCCAAGACATTTGTTCACTTAAGGGGCAGATGGTTACGACGTTTAGTTACCGTCCAGGCAGGCCAAGTTGCTCATCCCGGGCGGAAATTTGGCTTGAAGCCTTGGGTTTAGATGGTCCGGCGTTTGATCTCGACCTTGGCGGGCTCAACATGTATCCATGAGACAACTGGCGTCATCAAGGGGAGAAGTTAATTGAGTTTCTCCCTCGGTTCAGCTGAGCACCCCACCTGCTCCATTTATTGATGCTTGCTAGTGAGGTCGTTGTTTAATATTCTGGAAGAACCAGCTCCAGATGGATAAAAGCACGCAGAAAAGAACTGTCAGTGGTCCAAGTATGTGGTACCTAGTGAAACAGCAATTCGATGGTTTCCAATCCGTGGCTCCCCGACATCTTAACTCGTATCCCGCATCCCAGTTTGCCCAACAGCCAACTCGGTTGACTATGGAATTTTCGCATGGCCATACGGATTATTAAACTATATGTACCTACTCTACAACCGCAGCAGGCAGATTATGTGTTCATTAATTGGCATTGGCATTTGCACATACCCTTGCCCAGCAGTGTAACGAGACAGGAGTGGTACGTAATCCGGGACTCGGCAGTACCTCGTGAGTTTAACAATTGCAGGATTTAAAGCACTTATGCAGGTACTGGCGGAAGCATTGGGCTATCCCTGAATGGCCAAGCTCCACAAGCCCCCCTTGGCATTATCGCCGGCGGTAGGGTATCCTAAGTGGGTTTGCGAGATTCTTGATATCTACCAAGCTACCGCCTTAACCCACTTACCATCGAATTTTATGCAGCTATCACATTAGTGCTCTGTGCGTAAACTCAACTCTATTTCTAAGCCCCTTATCTTCTTTTAAATAACGAAGTTTCCCTCTCACCTACCTACACATCCATCAACTTACTTTCAGTTTACTTCTTTATCAGTCGATACTTGGTTATATTATTGCAGTCCGTCATGTATGTTCTCCCATCTTATGTTCTCCCATCTATCATTGCTTAATACTCTACATTATCTTGCGGGATAGCTAATCTCCAGCTAGTAGTTCTTTTCGCAAATCTCGTACATACTTATATATATCCTACTCGATTACTCAAATGAAGAACGCAGTCAATTATTCTGGGACTTCAACCTGTATTGGCAATACAGACGCTTCAATCGATACATCCAGAGGAAATTCCCCCTCAACTACTAGGACCTCTGAGGCTCTAGCAATTCCTCACATAAAAGTCAAAAAGATTTGCTGTATTGGTGCTGGATACGTAGGTAAGTGACCAAACTCGGCCGGGAATGCGAATGCTCCGAAAACTTGTACTTATTCGATTTCCGCATTAGGAGGTCCTACATGTACAATAATTGCAGCAAAAAATCCAGATATCATTGTCACGATTGTCGATATCAATCAAGCCCGTATCGATGCGTGGAATTCCGATAATCTTCCCATTTCTGAGCCAGGACTGGATGAGGTTGTGAAAAGCTGCCGTGGACGAAACCTGTTTTTTTCCACTGATGTCGACAAAGCGATTCACGATGCAGACCTAATCTTCGTATCGGTGAACACTCCAACTAAGACTAAAGGAATGGGAGCTGGATATGCCGCCGACCTTGGCTATGTAGAGAGTGCGACAAGACGCATTGCCCAGATCGCCCGGAGCGACAAGATCGTCGTTGAAAAGAGCACAGTGCCTTGCCGAACAGCGCAAAACATGCGGTACATCCTCGAGGCAAACTCCAAAGCCGGGATTCGATTTGATATTCTTTCCAATCCTGAGTTTCTCGCTGAAGGGACCGCTGTCTCGGATTTAATGAACCCTGACAGAGTGCTCATTGGATCCTTGAAAACAGAATCCGGACGCGCGGCTGCAGCTTCCTTGGCAGATGTCTATGCATCTTGGGTTGCACGCGATCAGATCATCACGATGAACCTCTGGTCCTCAGAACTCTCAAAGTTAGCGGCAAATGCTCTGCTCGCCCAGAGAATCTCGTCAATCAATGCGCTCTCGGCGATCTGCGAGGCTACCGGGGCAGACATTGAAGAAGTCAGTTATGCATGCGGACTAGATACCAGAATTGGACCAAAATTTCTCAAAGCTAGTGTCGGTTTCGGAGGAAGTTGCTTCCAGAAAGATATCCTTAACTTGGTGTATCTGAGTGAGAGCTTGCATCTTCCGGAGGTCGCTGCTTACTGGAAACAGGTATGCCTACTCATCCCTGTTACTACAGCAACATGGATTAGTAGTCTTGCATACTAACGACTGACTGGGATTATGATAGGTCGTTGATATGAACGAGTACCAGAAACGGCGATTCTCAAATCGAGTGATATCTAGTTTTTTCAACACCATCTACGGGAAGAAGATAGCGATCCTAGGGTTTGCATTCAAGAAAGATACCAGTGACACCCGCGAGTCTCCTGCAATCACACTAGTAAACCACTTCCGTACGGAGGGTGCTCAGATCGCCATTTACGACCCCAAAGTTCAGGAATCACAGATTTGGATTGACCTTACCGAACCAGGTGTCATGGACGACCTTACAGAAGTACAGAAGCAGGTCTCAATCGCCAAAGACGCCTATGCTGCCTGCGACGATGCCGATGCTGTCATTATTTGCACAGAATGGGATGAGTTTAGAGATACTGTGTTAGATTATAAGCTGATTTATGACCACATGAAGAAACCTGCGTTTGTGTTTGATGGAAGGTTAATTCTGAACAAGACAAGGCTTGAGGATATGGGATTTCAGGTGGGAACTATTGGAAGGGCGACGAGTGGCTTTACAGTTCCTAAAGATTGGGAGTAAGAGAGATTCCTTCGTCTTATTCAGGGCTCGTGGCTCACCACAAGAACTATGAGGCCAGTGAAAGCCGCCCACGGGCGGCGCAAAGTCAACCCACCTACCACACAAAACTATCCCGCGAAGCAGCGCTGAATTCCACTCTTTGTCGCCATGGCCTAATGTGTTGTGATGACGGGAACGGGTGGTGGGATATTTTGGGTTTGTATTTCGTTTATTTATTATTTATCTCTGCTTTTGTAGTAACGTTAAGGGCTTAATTTTCTATACAGGATGGGTTTTGGTGGGTAACGGCGGGTGTATTCTCTTGTTTCTTATTTCTATATATTCGTCTGGAAAGCTATGGTCCTGGAGTAACTTTGTTCAAATAAGTGCGGTCGTCAGTAAAAGCATCGTATTTGATATGTAGATTCGAATGACAAAATCTGAAACAAATTTATTCTCGGCGCTACTGATCCCCAACAATTTCGATATTCAAATCCGGACTTTTGACGTCCTGTTTATGTAATTGATAGGGCTCACCGTTAAATTTAGCTTATCTGCTTTAATCCGCAGTGCATTTTCCCGCCGGCAGCTCGTAATCACATCTAAGTCAATACGACTGACAGGCTCTAGGGACTCCTTCAGTCTGTGGAATATGTGCACTTATGATAACATGCAGCTGGGATCAGGTTTCGATTATAAACACGGCCGGCAGAAGGTGCAGGGTCTTTCAGCTGGAAAACTCAACTACCTACATATTATGTGACCATCGCAGTAGGCAAAATTGTAGCCAATCAAATACACAGACTACTATTTCGATAACCATTCGATGTAGAACGACGTGGGGCCGTGACTGGAGATAATATATTCTACTACCTCGTATCTATCGAAGACAGAACTTTATTCCTTTGATTCGTAGACTTACTAACATATTGATGTATTGGTGGGGGATATCACCAATAAACCGATCAACACTAGTTCCACCCAATATTCCCCGCAGCATGCACCTCTTCTAACCGGGAATCATAGAAAACTCGCCCAATTAGAGGCTATGGTCTTCAAATTCAAATTGTGCATGCAAGACTTAAATTCAACATCATAGCCTGAATGTCTAGCTCGACTTTCTACATATTTACCTCATGTATACTTAGTTAGAAGAAGAAAAGTTCCGGTAGTACAAAGTCGGTCATGAGGTCTTTGTCTAACCCGACGGGAAGGCAGTTCTGTCGAATATCACAATCTCAACCTCATACAATGTCAATAGCAACGTGCTTGGCTTTACTATCTGTACTAGCTGCATGTATCTTAAGCTGCCAAATTTTGTATCTCCATAGAGCTGTGTATTGTAATTTCATTAAGAGCGAGGACATCTTGCAGCATGCACTTAACAGCTTCAGGGATAGTTAGACAAAGTCTCGAAAGTTTGTGGCAAGTGATTCAGTTCAGTTTTTTCTGCAGGGAGCTTAAACAGATTGCTATGAGGGTTAGGGGAACGAGTGACAATGTCTCACAGGATCCAATGTTCCCCAAGGCGTATTTCTGAGTCTCTACGATAAGTGTGAGGTCGTTCGGCTAATGACGTAATGTCACTGATCATTATCCTAAGCTTCCGTCCTCATATAGAACCCAACCAAACACATCAACCATGTCGAACCCTCCCCAAAATAACCCCTCTGAAGAGACCCGGGCATTTCTCGCAAGACAGCCCCCGGGGGCCGTTTTTCAATGCATGCTAGACATCTTCAGATTTTACGACATCGGTGATAGGATGCCCCGAGGCAAACTCAATTTCTCAACATTAACGGATGAGGAATACGTGCATTTTACACGATTCACTTCCGGTAACATTCGTACCGTATGTTCCAACAGAATAAATAATATGTCTTTCTTGCAGCTGATAGCATCAAATAGATTACTATCCTTCTTGAAATGCCAGAGAAAATCATAGGCCCTACGGGTCTAGAATTTACAAGGGAGGAGGCGTTCTTCTTTCTCTGTGCTAGGCTTGCCTGGCCTACGAGAATGAAAACATTGGAGTTTACATTTGGTTATGATATCGTCCTTATCTCTGAGGCTATGAACTGGGCGTTGCAGCATATCGTGGACCATTGGGATTTTCTTCTTGATGACTTTGAATCTGGACACCTGAGCGAAGACCGCCTGGCTCTGTTCGCGAGTAAGATTCATGCCAAAGGCTCACCTCTCGACAAGTGCTGGGGCTTCATAGATTTCACCATACGAAGAGCTTGCCCACAGGCTGAATGGGAAAGGGAAGAGTATCGGAGGAACATGCATTTGAAAAACTACAAGTACCAAGCTGTAAAGTCTCCTGATGGCTTGATTTATCATCTATTTGGACCAGAGGATGGATCACCCCGCACGCTACTGCGTGAAAGTCATCTACTTGATCACTGCGAGGATAATGCACCAAGCTATTACATGTATGGAAACTCAGACTACTCGATAACTGAAAACCTCATCACGGCCTACGGCAGTCTAAACATCACTGAAGATCAAAAAATGTTCAATAGGGCCATGAGATCTTGCCATGAATGCGTTGAATGGGGATTTGCTGATGTTCTACGCTTATGGACGGCTTTGGACTTCAAGACGACTCAGCAGCTGTTTGGGGATGTCGATGTTGGGTCACACTACAGGGTAGCTGTTCTTCTCACAAATTTTCATATCTGCTTATATGGGTCAAGTACTTCCACATTTTTTGATTGTGATCCTCCAACATTAGAAGAATATTTGGGTTAAGCTGTAGCTCATGATTTTTCTGGGCTTTCGAGGAGGTATTTGTTGCGGTATGGGAAATTGTAGGTAATTGTGTTTGGGTTTGCTGGAAAGGAACTAGCTTTAGTCAAAGTAATATCTCAGTCCCGGCGTGCTAATAGCACGGGACGAATCGGCGTATAATTTCATTGCTCATATGAGTGTAATACCGACAATGTTACAGTAGAAGGGATCCACTGAAGAAAGGAAAGAGAAATAAATACTCAATAGTTCTAATCTTAGCATGAGGGTGAGGAAAATACATGCCACAACTAATTTAGCACCATTGAATCCAAACGCCTTGCAACTTTTGAAGAAAAGTAAAAAAGATACCGCCCGCACTCAAAGATTAAACCGATTGATGGACGCACCTATCAATCCTCCTCCATCTCGTCATCCTCAACCACAATATCCTCCACGTCAACTAGTGACCCACCCACTCTCTTCACCTCCTTCCTCGCTCTTCGTATTGCCTCTTGCTCCGCCTTCTTGATGGTGCCACTCACCCTCACTACCCTTATCACCACCGGGACGCCCTTGAGCTCGTTCATAAACGACAGCGCCGTCCACACGAGTCTATAGTGATCTCTGGACACCCTGACTATTCCTGTCGACGTCGCTGGCGAAAAGTACTTCACGCTAAGGTTCCCCGCCACACCCGCCCCATAGTCGCCAAATTGGTGAGCGAGACCATCGCGCAGCAGTCCCGATAGGTATGACGATGTTATAGAGGGGTCGCTGGGTGAGGAAAATTCGATATGTGTACTGGCAGCACCTAGAGTCTTTGGCGCATTCGGGTACAGAACGTCGAAGAGGATGTAGCGGGCTTTGTAGCGGACCATGGTGCGCGCGCGGTGGAGTGAGGTTGGATTTGTATGTGGTGGGATTTAGTTAGTAGGTGTGTAGATCAGGGTTCCACAGAGCCGCTGGAAGCTTGGCGGTGGGCGAGTGATAGGATGAGATCGAACTACCCCACTACGAATCTGTGGGTATCGACTTCAATCCCAATCTTGTGCACGGTCGTTGAAATAGATCCTTAGTATTTGAAGCTTATGGATGGTTGCTAGAATCAAAATAGGATTCATATGTATGTACCTCTACTAGTCGCACCAAACCACATCTGTTACTAAATATTTGGCAATCTCCTTGTAGTGCAAAGGCTGGAGATAAAGAGCTCCAAGAGGTCATTTGGAAGCTTCAAATGAGACAAAGATAAGTTTTTGCTACGCAGACCTGGCTGCACTCGCATTTCTGCTTCTTAGCTATAAACTGATTGGTTGAAATATGTAGAGAAAAACAACGAAGAATGGCAGTTTCATGGGCGATTCAAGCTACGAAATTATTCACTGACCAATTTTTCACGTGAGGCCCATATCCACTCTATGCTGTTAGGCCCCTAGATTTTCGCTATTCAGTCATATGTTATGACTCGGCTTTAACTGCACTTGGTTGGTCAGTGATATATATTCAATATTTCTTTGTTTACATATGAATAGAGGGAGAAAGGACACACATGCTAGTGTCCATCGTTATAGGAGGGACATTTATTCTGCTTCCAAAATTGCCCCCAGTTTTGTGTAGTTATCCGTGTTGTAGGACGAGCTTGAGTACCCAAAGCTCACCAAAAAACTATAACTTAAGTGTAACTCAGAACCAAGAAACAAGCGTACATAGTTACATCCATGACAATTCAAATCAAGCCATGACCAAAAACAAATCAATACCATGGTTTACACTTATCAGCACTTCAAGCTCCTAAAATAGAAATCGTTTCGATTGGTGGTTTGAATTTGAAATTTTATGTTCGGAGGTGCGTCGATCTAAATCAACAGATCTACTATTCATACATGTCCCTGTACTTATTACATTCAGTATATTGGTATCATTCCATGGGTTTGTAATGATCATCGATGGCTATGCAGCCTCCCGTATACTTGTTTGACTCCCTTTCAGTGAACATAATAGTCCTCCTTGTTCATGAGATCGTTAATCAAGATGAAGTGTCCTCTGTATACCCTAGCACTCGGCGCAGTTGATCATAAACAATCTTGGCAGAAACGCCTGCGTAGTCATCCAGCAGATCTATGATTGTCTCTGACTAAGACATTGACGCCCTTCATCTGCAATACATAATTCACCATCGATAGGTGTTCCTCATTTCTTGTAGTGTGATTATTTAATCATGGTCATGGCCAGCGGTATAGTGCTATCCCTATCACCTGCCCTGGTACACGGAAATATCTTCCACTCCAGTCAGCAGCATCAACAAATTTGAGTACCCATTGGGTGCTGTTGTTGGAAAGCCTTCGTTACACAATATGTGTATGAGATCGTCCCTATACTTCTGGATTTTTGTGATGTATTCGAAAATATTATTGGAAGAGTCTATAAAATCGCCACCAAGCTCCTTCAGTAAATCGCCGCATTTGATAATTGAGAATCCAAGGTTTTGTGGCCCCAGGAATTTGGGGTTGTCCTTTTTTATATTTTGTATGATTAAGAATAATTCCTTGAGCAGGTCAAGCTCGTCAAAGAGTAGTTCGATGACTTCTGAAACCCAAGGTGTCGAAATGGCCTGCTTGATCCAACTAATTTTATCGTGAATGATTTCGATCGTGGTGACAATCATCTTTATAGTCCAAGAGTCGTTCGTATCTACCTCACAGGTGGTCTTGGCCATATTAAGTACGGGGGTCTTGATGTGACCGGACAATGTTGCTGTGGATCCGACGAGAGTTTTTGGAGAGAACATCCCCGAGAGCCGGGGCAAGATAAACTTTGCAAAGGTGTTAAAAATATGCCAAGGCCTTTCTCTTGGCATTAACTTTACGTTCGACCACTCCAACCGCATATGCATACATGTATATGGAATAGACGTACAACTACATGTAATGATTAAGTCCATAAGACCACTTCAATTAATTTCACATTTTCAGACGCCACCCCTGTTCAGGCGCATCTCATCTCTGTCTTTCTCAAACCCCTTGCCCATACGAAATGTCATGGGATATCACTCACCACCCAACTCGAGTGATTTCTCGTGAGTCATTCTAAAGAAATATGGCTCGACCAGGAAATCTTAGCTTACTACCCTTATTTATGTAACGGATGTATAAACCCATAGACCATTTTTTATATTGAAAGATTGTGTCTTTATATTTAAGATGAATTATAAGTCCACTTTAGTTATGACCACAATAATGAAGAAAGAAAAAATAGCCTACTAAGTTTAGTGGGGACAGATTCGACTTGATAACACTAAAAGAAACGATTGCTACAGCGTGACGAAAAAATAAAGTAAGGATAAGTGGAAAGTGGATGGGGGGTGGGGGGGTCGGGGGGTGGGGGGAAACAAAATGTGAAATAGAGTTATACCAGAAACTAACAGGCGGATAGAAAAGGGGTTAAAAGAAAACAAGTGCCTGCCCGCACACCCACATACCCACACATCATTCATACCCTCCGTTGATCATGCTCCGTTACTTTCATCACACATGATCCTCATTCCCTCCCCTAGCACTTATACCGCCCAACTGCCCAATAATACAGCCCTACAGCAATATCCGAACTAGCGGCCCATGCAGAAGGTCTTTGCCCCGCGTAGCAAACAACGCCTTAAATGCGAAGAAAAAGAATCAAAAATCACATGCAAATGAACTCTCCCCTTGCTTTTAAAGAATATCGGGTTTGCAGTCCTATCCCCATTGACGCTTTTTACTCGCTATATTAAACAAAATCATGCACGTAAGAAAACCCGCGGAACTCCTCTTGCATAGCTTGAGTGAGAACTAAACAAATACGTTAGTAACATAACACCCCGCCAAAGAAGTTGAATGGCTTACCAGAATGCACAGGTGTCAAAACAGGGGTAACACTAGTAAACTCCTGGTCGAAATTGGATGTGTCGGTGGCAGAAGTGATCTGAGGTTTGAATGGTGGCGGTATTCTCTTATGGTAAATATCCTCCCAATTCACAGAGTTGAAGAATGCGTGAGACATAATTTCCTGTGCATCTGTGGGGCCAGAACCCAGACGCAACTCGGGTTCCCTTGTCAACAGTTTCTGCAGGATTGATACTGAGTCACGCGGCATGTGAATCGGATATAGCGGCTCATCAGCAAGAATGGCATCGTAGATCTCATCTTCATCCTCGCCTCGGAATGGCGATTGCTGGAGCAACATCTGGTAGATCAAAACCCCAAATGCCCACCAATCAACTGCACGACCGTAGCGCTTGTCCATAAGAATCTCGGGAGCCATAAACTCAGGAGTACCACAAAATGTGCTTGTGGTAGAACCGTACCACATATTCTCCTTGCATAGCCCATAATCTGCAATCTTGATGTGCCCATCAAGTGTAAGAAGAATATTATCGAGCTTCAAATCACGGTATATAACTCCGTTCTCATGGAAGTACTTCAACGCCAAGCAAACCTCAGCTGCGTAAAACCTGGAAAAGAAAAAAAATGTCAGTGACCCTAACATAGCATAAGGGAAAATACACGTACTGCGCCCTCTTTGCTCCAAATTGCTCTCTCTGGATATGCAGCATCAGATCTCCTCCACTGATATATTCCATGACGAAGTATACGCGTGTTTCGGTCTGAAAGCAGGCATGTAAATTGAGTAGAAAAGGATGGCGCTCCTTATTGGCCACCAAGAAAACCCGCTTTTCGGATCTCGTACTTTCGACTTCGTCATTTTCAATGATAAACTCCTTCTTCAAAACCTTGATGGCATACAGCTTCTTTGTTCCTTTGGTTTCCGCCAACATCACTTTACCGAAATTACCTTTCCCGAGAACAGCAAGGAAGTTGAAATGATCCAGCCCTATCTTTTGCGGCCGCGATGCAGCACTAGGAGGTGCACCTTTTGGTGGAAATGTAGCGATCTGCGTTTGTGGTGGCTGTTGTACCTGTTGTGGTTGTTGCGGCTGTTGTTGCTGTTGCTGTTGCTGTTGCTTCGGCTGTTGTTGCTGCTGCTGCTGCTGCTGCTGCTGCTGCTGCTGCTGGGCTGGTACGGGCTCGGGGTAGGATTGTTGATGCGGAATAGGAGGTTCCTGGTGCTCATACGGAGATTGTGATGGAGGCGGTGACGATTTTTGGGGCGCCTGTGGCTGCTGGGCCTGTTGGGCATAAGGATTTGGATAGTCTGAGCTTTGTCCATACGAGCCTTGCAATTCACTCATGGGTGGCTTTTGGGCAACCGGCGACGCTGGAGCCCCTGACATGCGAGACGCTTGTGGATTATAATAGTCTGCAGATTGCCTTCCATATGTACCAGGGGATGACGGAACTGACGGTGGGCGCTGGGCAGCCAGCGCTGCAGCTGCCGCAGTTGTAGAATCTGTCCTTTGTTGCGGGGGACGCTGTTGTTGCTGCTGCGGGTAAGCTTGCTGTTGCTGTGATAAACGGGTTGGTGATTGAGAAGCACCGTATGCAGCAGTTGCTGCTGATACGGCCGATGGTGAAGATGGCGCACCATATGCAGGTTGACTCTGACGCTGTGGTTCTTTCTGGATTGAATTTCTTGAGTCCAATCCAGCACCATATGGGTCGCTTTGTGGTCTCTGGGCCAATGGCGATGATGGGGGCTTGGTATTGTCCATCAAAGTTGACTTCTTTCTCATTTTTTTCATCTCATAGAGGATTTGATTCGCGACTTCCATGGACATACCACAGAAATCAGGAACCAGATGCGCACACTGAGCGTGACAAGTGAGAGCGCATTCTTTTCGGCATTAGCGTTTGATAAATTTATGGGATTGGAAAGTAGACTACCTGAGCATTTGCGCGAATTCTTTTTCCCAACAGGTAGCATGTAACCACAGTGACAGCACCAATTGGCGCCCATGTTAGTCATAGGCTCGAATCTGTGTGGGATACGATGATTGAGTTTCTCTTCCTCTGGGTCGGACTCGGTATTTGACTTTGATATGCACTTTGTGACGACCTTTGGATAGCACTTTTTGTGGCAAGTGTACTTGCAATCCGAACATTGCATACCTGTCGAATACTTGAGAAAATCGCTGCAAAGCGCACAACGCATGATGTTGTAGAACTGCTGTTGCACAAACTTATGGCCATACATTTCGTGAACCTCTTCTTTGCGCGCACGAACAGCACCTTTTCTTCCAAGTCCAAGATCCAGCGGACGCTTGTTCTGGTTAAATTTGGCTATGAAAGTTAGCAATTATAAAGAAAATCGATTACTTTAGGGTATTTTACCAAAGCTTAATGAGAGGTGAACTTGTCCAACAGGTTCCAATGCAAACCATGCATCAATACACACTTCTCCGGGTTGCTGAGTTGGTTGAGGACGCCCTGTAGTGTTGGCATATAATCCGGCTCCCCCAGCTCCTGCAGCTGCAGGGCCAGGAAGTCCTCCGGTGTTGGACGCGTATTGACTCTCGTTCGGCCTGGGTCCGCTGTTTTCCATCGTTTCCGCACTCACCCACCCAGAGCCGGAGATTTCTTGCTCTACTTTTTTTCTTCTCAAGTCCTCAGCAATATCGGATATCCGGATCCACAACAGACCAATCGGCATCGGATGATCTGCTGGCTTGTCGTAAATTGTCATCTCGACCTCATTGGCTTTGTCCACATCAATATCATGGTTTTCGTCAAGCCACTTGTCGTTCCTGGTCGACTTTGTTCTAACACGTACAACATCTTCAACTTTAATTATCACAAAGGTTTCAGGTCCTCTGGCGAATCGTGAAGTGGTCGCATGGTCAACGTCCTTCACAGCGAGAACACGGATTCTCAGGCGACCAGTAAGAGGGCGGCGGATATTAGGAGCATTTATACTGTCATCTGCACCAATCAGCATTCCGTTGTTCCGATATGCATCGGCATCGATACATACCATCTGCCTCGTCGCCAAAATCCATATCAACGTGAAGATCTTCGTATCGCTTCAACGCCTGTTTCAACAACTGGATTTTCTGGGCACTTTCTATCCGTTTGCTCTCGGCATCTTGTCTGCTTTTACGATCTCCTTCAAGCTGATAAAGCTTTACCATTTTTTCAATTCCTTCTTTATACTGTTTCTCCACGCTTAGTTTGAATTCTAATTGCGATAACATCAATTGAATGCGGGGCCCAAGATGTGGAGTATCATATTTGATGAGATCTGTCAAGAAAATCAGAAAATGATCTAGGTACATAGCTTCCAGTAAAGGTCATACCAAGTTTCGAGTAGTTTGTTTTAGTTCTCGGTTGTTGGCTAGCAAACGGTGGATTCGGGGGAGCCAGAGGTTGTTGGTACCCCCCATAATTTCCTTTTCAACATAAGTACTTGCCCTGTGCGAGAGAAAAAAGAATATTGCGCACCTCCATCATTCATACTCATCCCTTCCATACCCGTCTGCATAACCCGGTTCTGCAGCTCAGTATAACGATCCTCTAGATAACTCAAGTTCCTTTGTGATTCACGGATCTGACTATCGAGTCGCTGTTGAACGGCTGCATTGTCGGTAGAGCTACGCATAGCGCGAGCACCGTTCATCAGGACCTTCTCACGCTCTATCTTGCGATAGACATCCTGCAGAAGCTTATCCGCCATAGCTGTGATAAGACAAAACCAAATCTAGCAGAATTCGAACTTGACCTAACGATCGCTGTATCTGTCTTCTGACTGTTGTCGGGGGGTGGTGTGAAGTTCCCCTGTCAAAGGTTCAGGCTATGACGAGGTTCCCACTCCTTAGCTGAGCGCGTGTCGGGTTCCGCCTCAACGAAACAAAGAAAAAAGTAGCAGGGAAAAACACCACCAAAGGAGACCCGCCCTGAATAAGTTTACTAACAAACTGAGAGCTCGCGAGATGAGTAGACAAAATCACGGGTGAAACTATTCTGTTGAGGTCGGTAAAGGAGGGGTATCAACAGGCTGCGGCACTTCTGGTGGGGGGCCTCTCTGGGATTGGAGCAGGGTGGAGGTGGCTGATATGCCAGCTTCAGATGGCCAGCTTACTCATTTTCTCTGGTTCAGTTTTCTATCACGTGATGTGTTTGGTTTCACGTGATCGTCTCAAATATAACTGTTTTGAGATCTTCTAGATACATCACGACAAGTGAGAGTACACGCAATTTGTTGATAATTGAAAAAGATATCCCATGAACCACTCATTCCAAGTAAATTTCTACAGAGGACTATCAGGACATACTCCCTTCCAAATCAATATCTGGGGAAACCAAGAACAACACATGAGACCATACAAGCCTGCTGGCCTGGGATCTGGGGAGCTCCTACTTAGCGCCTCTTAATATTATCGTGCGTAGCAAGCAACTGTAAAAACTTAGGCTAAACTCTTCGTGAATTAGGCTCCCGAGGAGGAACGACCGTTACAAGGTGAGTTTTGTTCCTGATATTTGCGAGTCTACAGAACCTATAACCAATATCCCTTGATTAAGCGGTCAGGCTTGATCTCAATCATGTTACTCAATCTGATGAGGAAGTTCTGATATTAAAAAAAACTATAGGAACGTATAGTCCCTCACGATTTCACCCTACATGTACTTGCTATGGAATAGGTCTCCGCCATCTTGCAACCGCACCTTCACGTACAAGCTTGGCGGAAACTTATTCTCGCCGCAAGTCGTTCTTCTCTAATCCAATATATCACCTTGCCATTTCACTTCTCTACAATGTTTGTATCACAACTTCCCTATTAAGTTTAAGTAACACGATTGAGATCAGGTCTGACGGCTTAAGCCTTAAGGGATGGTATACCCTTTCCTAGTCTCGTACCCAGCCCATTACTTACCCTTTCCTAGCTGATAGCAAGATCAGTCAAAGCCATTACGCATGGCTAGCCCTAGAATGATCTTAGGAGTGCCATTAAGCTCGTCCCCAACCTCCTGCTTACATACTTCCAGCGGGAAGCTTACTGCTAAGTACAGTAGGGGATCGATACGAGAATAGAGCACCACAGATCTTTAAGGCACATGAGGTTCATAACGTTGGACATGATGTGTTTTTGCTCCCAGAACCGTAGAACATCCGAGTCCTAAACCAAGTGACAGTAGAATTGATGGACGTCTAACAGATTTGGGATTGGCGGAGCCACGTGTACTCTAATATTTACTTTTGCACTAAGATTTTTCGGGCCTGGCGTGGGGAAAAGCACAGCATCCTAGTTGTTGAATTCAACCAGTGGGTAATCCGTGGTATTCCACGACTTTCATTACTTACATGTACACAAATGTACATACAGCACTACAAGCACCGCACTCTATTACAATTCCAGCACCACTGGCTAGCTGATCACCTAATAAATGGTTATAGATTCTTGATCATGTGTGAATCATACGTTATCACTCGTAGATGGTCCACTCACGCCTTTGTTCTTGGGCTGTTTATCTGACAAGCATCCAGAATATACCAGCTCACGTCTGCGTATAGCCGTCATTTGGAGATGACGACCCGTATCTATTTGTAAGCACATGGAAGTACAGTAAGTGTACATGTAGTCTTTCCAGCCCCAAAGGGCCCCTAAACCCTCCCATATATAAGTACTAATATAAAAAATTAGAAGACCTTTAAATAATCGTCTTTACACTCGAACTACATCACAAAAGAAAAGTCCCCATCACATTTCATCATAGGTTATCACTCGGAATCACTCATCCCGGGCCATCCTATGACTGGGATCAGCGACAGCACACCACATCTGTAGATTGCAAATCAAGTCTATTCCTGATGTTAAACCTGAAATAATATAAAATAATTGCATGTACTTGGCATAGTATGTAAAAGCCTTATCAAAATGTTTAGGAGAGTCAAAGGCTCGATCACCAGACTGATCCTAAAACTTCAATGCCCCTAGATCGTGTTATGTCGATAAATTTTCAAGATATCACATAGAGCGAATCAAAAGCTTTTTTGCTTTTAAATCTCTGTTGCCAACGCGAGGGAGACGACGAGTAACATCATCACCAGAGCTATTCTCTTATCTATATCATGTATTGGATGAGACTGCTCGACTACCCACAGTTCAGACGATGCGGAAACAGCTTCCGACGTGATACTATTTCGAAGGTGGTTATCCCCGCGACCGGCGATTGTAGAAAGGCTGTCATAGACGCGTTTAAAACCCCTCGATATTGAGTCTGCGTCATGAGACATCACTCGGAGCCAGATGTCTTGTCAGCAAGTCCAAGTTAGAGTTTAAAAGAAGGCTACATTCACAAAGAATTTGCACCCCCGCTTATACGTACACGGATCATGTCAGAATCAAAGCTTTGGCACTCCATCTAGAGAACTATGCAATGCCTGCAAATTCATTAATCCACGGAAAACACATTGTCCGCTCGTTGGTCTGTGTTTTTGGGAGCACGGAGCCCCCTTAAACTGTGCGGCCTGACACCCAATTAATCATGGGGATGGGTAATCAACCAGGGAGCACTGCTATCTCTTGTCTCCTGCAAGATCTAGGCGTCTCCGAAATTTCTTATGTTAAACCCTGGTCTCCCGATCCACGGAACGAATATCTGTTCCGCGTGCTCTAGTGTCTTGGCGAGCACAAGCGCGGGTGGTCGCGTCTTCCCCTCCGGATCCCATCTGACATGAACTCCAACGGCGCTCTGGAACTCTTGAATATCTCGAAAAAAACAAAGAAAGGCTCGAAAAACACAAAAAAAGAAACCAACCCCCACGATGTCGCTGCAACAAGAAGATGGATCATCTACTTTCACCCGCAAAGAAAAAGAGTCACTGGCGACCTTTGAGAACTTCACTTATACGCTCTGCCATTTCCTCGAGGTCGCGATTCACCAGATCATTTACAACCGTGGAATATACCCAAAAGAGCTCTTCCACGTTACAAACAATTATAATATAGGAACTCATACTTGTAGGCATCCGCAAGTCATCAAATGGATACGCGATGCCATCATGGCACTTTCAGAAGAACTACTGAAGGTAATTACTATTACTCTGTGACTTTACTCGGTGCCATATCTTTCCCTTGGTGTGCAACCATGATTACAAACTGACTTAATTCTTAGAACTGCGTAAGACGAGTTGCACTAGTAATTCTCTCCCCAAACGACATATCGCTGGAAAGATTTATATTCGACATGTCTAGATTTCCCTTAACCTCCGATATTGATGTTAAATACAACGCACCTATGCTGCAACCCGGTGCCGAAGTGCCCCCTTCTAGGCAAGCGCTTGCAAATCTGGAGAGAGAATTTCAGACATGCCTGGTTAAATTGAAATACTCGAACATAAGCCTTGGGAAAATTCCCGAGGACTCAACCTTCGGCCTGGCAATTGAACTGAACGACGACCAGGCGGCCCCAAATAATGTAAATGTTATCCCAGTCTCTAAATATCAAAGAATTACTTTGCTGACTTTCAACATAGTATACGGATACTTGGATGCCTTGTGAAAGGCAGCCGGTCTCGAATAATTCCAAAAAGTCCGTAGTTTCCGCTCCCGATTGCGAGAAAATCACTGGAATACGAACTATCAGAGAAGGCGCTTTTACCTTCAATATTTGGATTGAAGAAAGTAAAGCAAAGTCAAAACTGGTAGTTTGACGATAGAAGCTCCCTTAGATGATCAATTCCATAGTTGAATATTCGTAAAATCAAAGAAATGAGAAAATTGTGTAAGGATTGCGCATGACAACTATGTCATAATCGTTCTGTGAAATGCCGTGTAGTAAAAGATAATCATCATAGTCTTCATATAGATCTAATGTATACGCTGAACACAAACAAAAAACAAGAGGTACATGCTTAAACGTCTCAGCTCAAGCCTAGCGCCGTTTTGGAGTTTTCATATACAAGGTATGACTGCGTACAAGGTTAGACGTGTTATTATGCAAGATATCATATGACGAAGAAATATGGAACTTACAATCGACACTGCCGGTATCACCTTCAGAAGATTCGGCGTCAAGCCCCTGAACATTCCCCGAAAGCCTTCGGCATTGTATGTTTTCATCCCAACATCCCACATACCAGTGTAAGTCTGGGGATGCTGCGCTGTTCCCTGTGCCTGCAGTCTCGTTCTCAACACATTGATTGGATATACACTCGTCGCCCCCACACTCCCGCTTGTGGCTCCGATTCCAAGAACCAACCAATTCGGTACCTCCACGTCCTTTTCATTGCATTTTAACTTTTTTGCCTTGCGCTTAATGTAGGTACGCTTCATGTACTCAAATGTACCGAGGTCGATGGCCGAGTATGGAAAAATCCCGACCAGAGCTAGAGTTAAACCTCTGTAGAAGGCACTGGGTCCGCCGGCTTTCCAGGTTTTTTGAAAGGTTTCTGCTATTAGCTTGTTGCCCATGGAGCCATTCTGCACAGTTTCACATTGCATGCGACTATACAGCATATACGTTAGTTTCATATTGTACGTCGCATATGTACGTCTGAGGCAAAGGAGAGCTAGACTTACAATTTCAATGTATCTATGGGGTATATAGAAAATCTGCACGATATATTAGAAATGATGCTTCCTATTCAAATGGGATGATGCTAACGCACTGAGAAACAACCCCTCCAATACCTCCAGCAAGAAATCGAGCCATTGGTGATATTTGACTGGCATCTTCTGCGCCCTCCAATCTCGCAAGAGTCCTTTTTGCTGCCTTTTTCTCTTGTCAGGATTTAGATATAAACCGGAGGAATTGATGGTCGTTCGCACCTCAAACGAGCCAAACTTGATTGCAGACTCAGGCAACACCTTTACAACATTTAATCCATTCCCTATTCCTATTGTTAGGATTTTGAATACCCGGGAACGTTTCAGATACTAACCTGCAAAGAATGATCTCACGCCACCGGCTCTCCACAATGTCCTGATAGATTCCCTGAGTGGTCCTGATACTTTTTTTGCCGCCTGTAATGGTTCACCGCCTTTCACTGCTTCAACTGCTGCATGCTTTACTTTAGGAGCGGTCTGGGCTATTAAGTATACTCTTATACGATCAAATGGCGCTGTTGCAGTTCTAGATATTACCCCAGCGACACCTCCGGCAAGAAAGTAACCTATTTGATCAATTGAGGTTAGAATACAGTTATCGATAACTCGTAACGAATATGGGACACGCAGGGATAACATGCAGAGCGGCGGGCTTGGATTTAATGATGAAACCGATTTACCTAAGCCTTTGAGATTGATCTCATCACTCAGATTGACATCACCCTCCGGATTAACGCTAACAGTTGAAAGATAATACGAATAGATCGTGTGCAATGTGGCTTCCTTCGGCATAAACATTAAGAAATCTCTTTTGATATGTCAGCGACCACCTCAGGTGCAAAACCCAAAGTGCACATCGGAGTTCCCCTTCCCCGGGCAGAGGTTTGAGGATGCCAGCGATCATACCTCCACTCTTCAAAAGATATTACGCCGTCGTTATTCCTATCCATTGACTCGAAAAATTCTTCCAGTCGATTAGGATCGACTGCAATTCCAGCGCGAATCAACGCGGCTTTTAGTTCTCCTTTGTCTATATTTCCATTCTTATCCACATCCACCGAATGAAATATTCTCCACAACTCTCTGTCGGCGCCTTCAAAGAAATGCTTGAATTCGGAATATTGAATGAGGCCATCCTTGGAGGTATCGACTGCTGCAAGAATATCGTGTAGTAAATGTTCGGCGTCTTTCAGAGCTGCAGAGAAAATGGGTTTAGAGGAACTTTCGCGATTGATTTACCTTCGTTGTTGTGATAATAGACCTTGGGAGTATCGGGAGGAACGCAGGGGGGAGGTGTTCGACATACGGTGATTGATTCTCTGCAGTCCTCGTCTCAGCCCCTCAAGATCCAGATGCCCCTCATTGCGTGTATCCAAGTTCTTGAAGAGTTGTAGCAATCGTTTGTCGCGAGCCTTTTGGCTCTCCCGCTCCTCCATCTGAGGAAGCCGTCTTCAAAAGTTGACAAAGGGGTTTGTTGGTATGTTTTTGCTGTCTATCATGACATAGATGTAACTAGGGAAAGGGCCGTGAATACAGAATCTGAAATCGCAATCAGGATAAAAGTTTGTGTCCAGGGTTTATCTAAGGGGGTCAACTGTTAAGTGAAAAGTCCACAGGTCAAGAGGGGTATGTCTAAAGACGTCACATACGCATGATGGGTCACACACGATAAAGCCTTAAACAGAAGTACGGGTGTTGAGGGTAAGTGATCAGAATCTGATAAGTGAATGTTACGGTGAATCGGTGTATTTGTCTTATCAGATTCTGATCACTTTTCACTACACCCTAGTACAGGTTCTCGACGGGTCATCTTGGCAGCGGTCTTGATAACATCCGGGACTCCGGCAACCAGAACCATGTTTTAACTCAGCAGAGCACAGAAAAGCGGCGGGACTGGTGCTTTAAGCTTTCACCCCAAATTTCTCCTCTTTGCTGCCTTACAGTCCCTTACTCTGCCTAGCTCAGCTTGATTGAGCCTCATCCAATAGGTACCTGGTCTTATTGTTATCCTTACTACGTGCAACCCCCGGCTCAGCTGGTCCACAACAGCTCTTCAGAGATTCACTACAACCGATTCATCGTCGTCATCTTCCTCGAGTCACCGCTAATTCCATCCTCAATCGAGAGAAACTCGTCTTTACAATCCTTATTCAAAAAAAGAAAAGACAAATATCATTTCTCTGCCATATTGTGAGAAATAGCATCAGCAATGGCTGCAAATTATTGGACTTCATCACAGCGCCTGCACTGGCAAATGTCGCGCCCGAAACTGGCTGAGATACGCAGTGCACTTGATGCCCAGGATGGGGAGAGTGTTCGACTGTTTCCCTTACCCGACTTGAAGCATCTGAGCATCTACTTCAATTCACGTACGTAGAACGTTCACGCGACCCTCGGTTTTGCTCATCTTGCTTCATGCTCTGTTTCCTAATCCCGTTGCTTGTACGAAACAGAGATAGTTCGCCTTGGACGGCGCATGCAGACGAGACAGCAGGCGCTCGCGACTGCCCAATTATATATTCGTCGATTTTACACCAAGGTACCAATAAGGGATACCAATCCATATCTGGTTATGGCGACATGCTTGTACCTCGCCTTGAAGATGGAAGAATGTCCTCAACACATCAGAATCGTTGTCAGTGAAGCAAGAACATGTTGGCCAGGTGAGCTTCATCCATCCCTTCCCTTCGCTTCCCCATGAGCTTTGATCGGCAAGAAACCCCCTCTTCCAAATCCCTGTACCCCGCTGAACGAATAGACGTTATGCCCTCTGATACAGCAAAACTCGCCGAATGCGAGTTCTATCTCATATCCGAGATGAACTCGTATCTTATAGTCCATCACCCATATCGTACGCTACAGGACCTTACACCTGTCATGAATTTGACGACTGAGGAAAACAATATGTCCTGGCAGGTTATTAATGATTCCTGCTTGACCGATTTGCCGCTGTTATATCCCCCGCACATCATTGCACTTACTGCAATATTCCTGTCTGTGGTACTGAAGCCCTCGCTGTCTCAAGCCAGTCTACATGCTGCCGCAACGTCTGCAGCCGCTGCTGCGGTTGTGGCGGCAAATTCTGGTAACGGCAGTGGGAGTAATGGCAACGGCAGCCTTGGGGCGAGCGGTCAGGGACCACAGAGTCGCATCGGAAAAATAATAGAATGGTATGCTGAATCGAAGGTGGACATGGAGGCCATTATAGATTGCACCCAGGAGATCATATCTCTTTATGAGGCCTGGGAGTCGTTTACTGCAACTGCGGAGAAGAACTGCAAAGACCAGCTTACTCGGATGATTAAGGCAAGAGGAATGTCGTAGTCTGTCTTAATCAACATATCAGGCGGTAGAAAATCAACCCCACATTTTACATGTTCCAACGCTGGTGGTGGTTCCATTCTTTCTAGACGTTTTTCGATAGATTTTCCGATCGGGGAGAGGAGGGGAGTGAGGGGGTGGGGGACTCTGTCGATAGGGTCTCTGAAGAAGATCTCTAAAGACTAGAAGAACCCCCCAGGGTGGTCCGGGACCAACCCCTCCATCTGCCCTAGGCCCTGTGACGTTTATTTCCTTTCCTTTCTCTTTTTGTTCCTGGTGATGAGCGGACAACACGTCAAACAGGGCTAAACGCCAGCCTAGGTAACTTCTGGCCAATAGTAAATTCGAGAATTCTCAAAGAAAATTACCCGATCGGTACCACAGAATCCGTTCGAGGCTGAAGGAGCACAAACCCATGCAGAAGCTGACCGGGACAGCAAAAATCTAACCAGATAAGCACCAGTGCGACCACGCGAGGCACAGCAAGCGCGAAGACCGAAATTAAAATGATGCATGCGAATGCGACACGGCACCTGCAGCAGGTCGATGGCGAGACCGTCCCGCCTCTAACTGCCTCTGTTCTGAGTGGTCCGTGGATCAACATTCCCCTGCTGACCCGAAGCAGCAACCAGAGGAGGAAAACAAAAACGGCTGGGGTATTGGGAATGATGTGTGATTGGTGGATTTGGATGAAGGGGGGGCAGGTGGGTTATCGACTGGGTTAACGGTGGTGGTGGGGCTTAACTACCCTTCAGGCGCAGTTGAACCAACCAAGCCCCAATTACCCATGTTCCTAGAGGTTGGATCTTCCTTTTTTTCTTCACCATCCATGATTAAATTTAATTGGTTAAATATTCCTGGTCTGGGCAGTCGGTTTCTTCTTATTTGTATTTTTATGATGGAGGATCTTTCCTTTTTTTTTAGGCTGTGTGAGAGAGTGAGAGCAGTTGAGGGTCTCTTCATGAAGAGTACGACCAGCGCTTCGCCGGACTATTCCCAGAGCGGGAGTGACCCACTCGCTTTGCTCGCACACATGTCGCCACCCCTTTTTTTATTCCATGGCCCTTTACCTCCTGGTCTGGCCGTTCCCCCAGTCCCAGTGTCTTTGCTCTTCTTGCCCCCCTTCCCTTGTTCACTTTCGGTGCTGCAGTCTGCCCACCCGTCTCCCTCCCCTCTCACACCCACCATCCACCCGCCACAACCCTCCCTCCTTCTGCTTCTTATTTCTCCTCCATCCCGCACCCCTCTTCTTCTTTAAGCACACGAGCTATCTATCCACCAGGCATTTAAATCGATACACAAGTATCCGTGCGATACAGCATTGTTGTTATAATCTAATCATCGCCACCCTCCTTCATCTTCTACCCCATCCACAATCGTCTTTCCCATCTCTCTGACTCGTTGCCTTGCATCCATACCACCTCCTGTACCGCCTCTTCAGATAACATTATCCTCATATCTACTGCTACCACAGTACTACTACTACCATCTCGCTTTGTTTACATAGTCCTGCTCAGCCGCTTTCTCTTGTTCCGATAATCTCTTCTACTTCTACTATTACTATTACTACTACTACTTCTTCCAAAATACTCAAACCGTAATAAACCTACAAAAACCTTTATCTTTTAACAATGTCTTCTTTCGGTTACCACTTTCAACACCATCCTTCTACAGCTTCCTCGGGCAACCGCTCGCGTAGGAACCCCCACCGTCCTTCTTCTACCAAGTCTTTTCAGATGATGAGGCCGAAGGAGGAGCTGACAGACATCCCCGCAGTCCCAACTTTCATTGAGAAGTTCGAGGCAGGGAGATCCTTCGAGATGGAGGATGATTTTGCATTCATCCCAGAGCTGTGTACTGAAGAAGAAGTATGAGGCCTTTTGTCTGGAGCTCTTATTTACGCATACTTATTTCATTTACTTGCAGCGTCAAATGATGGACTTCTCGGGTTCAGATCGTTCATCAAACTCGAGCGGATCACCTCAGTCATCCCCACTACAACACCAAGTACAGCCTTCGACTGCTTACCCTCACGCTGCCACATATGCGAACATGTTCAACCCCAATATGCATATGAAATATCAAGCTCCCGCTGCGCTGCCTCCAAGACAGCGCAACGCCATCCCCATTGTCAACCCCAACACTGGTCTGCGAGTCGCATCTCCCCCTCTTGCATCACCTAGCAGGATGCCTCATCCTACCTCTAATCTGGCAAGGAGGGTATGGTAAACCCCACCATCCTCGATCCTTGGCCCCACCACCGTAATAAAACCTACATCGAGCGAATACAATACAATAAATCAATCATCTCAACATCCTCAATACGCGAATCTCAAACCTCCTCCTCCTCTTTTATTAGCGATCACATTCTCGCTATGTCTATAGAATGTTGGTGTTTAACATTGTACTTTTTGGGTGTCAAAATAACTCTGGGATGGTGTTATTGTGTGAGTTTCTTTTTATGTGGGTTTTATATTAACGGTGCGGTGGGTTGTGTTTTTATTTGGGTTTCCAGCTTAAGGATCATTAAAGGAGAAAGGGGAAAAAAAAGTGAAAATATTGGACGGCCTTATAAATATCTCACCTATACATAGTTTTTGTGTGCGGCTTTCTGTTTTTTTTTTCTTGGGGTCTATGTTCGCATATCTCTTAAGTCTTGGGAGTTCTTTTGTCTAACGGTTGGCGGACTTGGGCGGTCACCGGTGCGGGGATTTTTGGGTTGTTTAACGATATGGGGCTCTTTCTGGGGGTGCTTGTCAGGTTTTTTGTTATTTGTTACGGTGTCAAAGTTTGGGCTTGTACTTGACTTTGCTGCAATAAGCGGTGTATATCTTTGTTGAACTACTTGGTATGGCGGGTGCTTTGTGTTTTTAGGTTCTTTGCATCTTCTTTCTCATCTTTCTTTTCTCTTGTCAATTTTCTTCAAATTCTTTTTTTCTTGTTTAAAGATCTTTGAAAAAAATCATTTTGGGGTTGGTTTTCTGCTACTTCTACTACTAACTAGTTTCTTCTTTCCTTACTGTTTTTATTAGTTCTACTCTTTTATACACCACGATATCTTGTGTATTAGCTCATTGAATGGATATGTACTGATTCTTGAGTGTAAATCATTGTTGCATTCCGCTTGATCCATTCCTATTGCTTGCCTACTTGCTTTGCCTTTTGGGTGTTGTAATTTGTAAATTGTTGGGAGGAGAGCTGTCTCGGGAAGAAAGGGAAGCAAGGTCTCAGTCGAGGGGTGATTACCGGTATTTGAGAAGCGCCACGGGCGCAAGTGGGGAAATGGCTAATATCGTCACAGCAGACAGTCATTTCCTCTCCAAAGCATTCATCATTCGTCTCTGTGTTTTTTCCCGACCGATTGGTTTTCAAAATGGTGATTATGATGATGAATTGATGGTCTACTTAGCTACATAGAGCACATAACTCAACCCATTTCTGGTATGGTAGTTAGGGGGATATGAGGAGGAGATTTGTTGGTTGGGTTAATTAGTGGAACTGATTCGAGTTGGATTGGTTTACCTAAGAAGCTCAGTTGGGTCTTTGTCTTATTACATTCCTTCTTTACGTTTGGTCTGTCGGTCTGTCGGTCTGTCGGTCTGTAGGTCGGTTCTCACGATGATCTTGATCTTGTGGTACTCTGTTACCCTCTACAGTCCTGTCTGTGCACGGACGACAGCTGCCCATCTATCCATACATCCATCCCTCAATCCATCGGCTCGCATACTTGATCCTCGAGACAGGAGGGGACTGAGAGTAAGGACTGAGCGCTTTCACTTAAAGCATGTGGATCTTTTTTGTGGTTGTTATTGTGGGTTGTTCCTGTTCCTGCGGTCACACAGAAGAAAAGAGATCACCTGTTCTATCCTCTCTCGTCCTTCTTGTCAAACGAAATGTAGGTAGCTAGGTTGGAAGGGCTTGAGCTCAGTTCAGTTCAGTAATGTTGTGTGTTGAAACCATTCATGTGTGGAGTTGAGACAAGAGAGACACACAGAGACACAGAGACACAAACACCACCACCTTCCACACCGAGTCCCGACTACACCCTACTAGCTATCTACATGTACCTTTAGCGAGAGCTGGATATCACCGACGATTATCACCGCACATATCAGACAGGGCAGGGGCGGAGAAGCGTTTTTCCCGTTGAGGATTGTGTTTGTTTGGCACCCTTTTTTCCCACCTCGTTTTTTCCCTTTCTTTTTCCTGTTGCTCTATTTTCGGTCCGGTGCAGTGGACATCCACCATTAACTCAGCAAAGTATTAATGTATGCAAATAAGGCGTGGGCGTCCCGGCCCACCTAGGTAGGTACTGTGTTACGGTGGAGAGACCCATCGTGAGAATTGGCAGATTTCCGATCACCATCACCATCACCATCAATCATCACCGACCGCCGCGCGCGCACGCAAGCTGAGTCGGTCGGCCGTATGTAAGTAACCCTTGCGCAAAACAGCTCGCTCAAGGGTCGCTCTACTACTACTGTAGCTACCCTTACTTACCGATTCCGAACTGAACCTCGAGGGAAGGTACACCTCAAGCTTCTTTCTTCTCAACCGTTTGGACAGACAGACAGGACTGTGCAGGCTGTCTACCGCCGGTAGGTACGTACTACACTGGACGGTACACCCCATCAATTTTTATTACTTTCGGAGATATACGTAGGTACATAGTACAGGAAGTTATTATTACTGCTTCTATATCGGTTGTTTCGAAGCCCTGCTGAGTTTTGGTTTTTCGAACGTTTCATCCCTCCCCTCTTCTCTATTCGCTCCCCTCCCTCCACTATTTCTGTTACCCCCATGATGGTGTTACTCTAGGTAGAATTAGGTAGGGGGTGTGAGAGAGGCATTCATCCGTCTAGCTATTGTTCTCTTCACGATCTTCCTTAACGACCGATAGCACACCACCACCCTCTCTCTCTGGGCGGATTTATCACCAGCATCATCGTACAGACTGAACACAGAAAGAGGAAAAAAAATAGATGGATGCAGAAAAGCGCCAGCCAAGTTCCCAGTTCCCAGTCCCGGCTGCAATCTTTTGCCTACTTTACATGATCCCACCCCCATCCACATTCCATTCACTTTAATTCACTCCACTAAAGCCCCCCACGCATCGGCTGCTTGCTCGCGCGCGCGCGCGCTGAGTTAAGTGAAGAACTGAGCTTGGGGAAGACGCGCGAGAAGAGAAAAGAAAAGAAACATCTACTTTAAACACCCCCAGCACCATGCAAGTCTTAATAAGTCAATGTCTAAATGTGCAATTAAAAAAAACGAACAAAAAAGTAAAAAACACTCCCCCCCAGGCCTGACTGAGCCCGGAATTAATTCCTTCCACACCCTATTCCACACAGCTTCTTTCTTTGGCCCCCAACCCCAATTCTGCGGGGGTGGAGAGGGAGAGGTAGGTGGTGAGTTGGGTTGAGTGAGGCGTTATGTTATGGCTCGTCTCGTCCCGGCGCCCGCACTGACAGTCTGAGCTGCTAGCTGCTTAGTCTCTCCACATTTCGATCGCTTCCCTTCCCTCAACAACTTTCCCTTCTCCCCACTCTAGAGTACTTACCCCATCCTGACCGCAGCGGGGAAGCAGAGTAAAATAAAGTGAAGGAAGAGGAGAGATGCACCACCTACGTATCTCTACCTAACTACACCTATGCTACATCTCAATTTCTACACTGCTTACGCCGCAGTACATAGAGTACATAATGTATGTACCGACGCAGCGCAACGCACGCTGCGGCGAAGATGAGGGAGGGGGGGCAGAGCAGGCAGCTACCGATACCAATTAAGTTAATAACGTGGGAGGGTTAACTTAATATGTTACCACCAACCATGCAGATCCCTTCCCTAATTCCCCGATAGGGCCCAGTGATGATGCTTGGATCGAAATGAAGTCCCGTTTTGTTTTTTTAGGTGGTGGTGGACGCAGGTAAGTAAGCAGGAGGTAGGCTGCAAGGGTTTAAAGAAACCAAGCCTCCTACTCTACCTCAACTGAGGGCTCTGGACTGAGTCCGGAGTGAAGAGGGAAGTGGGCGTCCCTCAACGTAGCTCAGCCAGCCAAGAACAAGAGCTGGTTGGTTGGTTGGTTGGTTGGTTGGTTGGTCAATGATTGCTTAGTAACCGAAAGCTGCAAGCAAGCAAGCAAAGCTCCAAAAAACAAGATTGGCCCAAAACGGATAAGCTCACACCCATCAATGATCAATCCATCCATCCAGGTTGTTGTTGCTGCCCGCTCACGTCAGGACCAAGACCAAGACCAAGACCAAGGTCTAGCAACTTCTTGACATCAAAGGAGTTGAGTAAGAATGAAGTATCTACCCGCCTAAAGAACAAAGGAACAGCACGCACTCGCCCGCCCTGAAAAACCCGTAACCTCGGTCTCCTCCCCCCCCTTTCCTCGGACATAAGGTTAAGCTAGCTAGAATGAACAAGTGAATGAATGAAAGCGAAAATAGCGGGCCGTTGAGAAACGGGGGAATGAGAAACGGGGGAAGGAGAGACTTCAATGACGACGGTGCAACTGTGACGTAATGCATCTTGCGATCCAAATATCAACAGCTTCATCTTCAATTTCCCCCCTCTAGTCTCTCTTCTTTATTTTCCGCTGAACTGAACCCTCTCCCTCTTCTCCTCATTCTCGTCTATTTTTTTATATTATTGCCAGCAAAAACAATTAAAACAAACAACAACGCAATTGAAACATCGGACCCCCCCCAGCTGCTTTATCGATCAATTAAAACTCGATCTCTATCTTCAATCAATCAACTCACCAAACAACTCACCCCAAACAACTCACCAAAAAACAAATAACAAATAACAAATAACAAAAAAATGTCAGCATCACTCCTCCTCCTCCGAAGCTCAATCGCCGCACGCAGCAGCGCAGCTCTCCTCCCACGCACAACCTCCGTGGCTGCACTCCGCGCCATGAGCGACCACAGCACATCCACCCGTCACGGTAACGATCCAGAGGTACTTTCCACCCCTCCTCCTCTCCTCTTCTTCTCATCATCATCATCATCATCATCATGTTGTTGTTGTCTCCCCTAGCTAGTGAGCTAGTTCAATGGAGTCCCGTGGGGTTGTTGTTGTCCCTTGTCTGTCGTAGCTAGAGATACCCAACGCAACCACGCCCAATTTAAAACCCCACCAAAGTATTTATCGCTCGATAGCACGATAAGGGGCTTTTGGGGGGGGGTGTTGAGGCGGGCATTGCGCCATATATGTCACTGTCAATGTCACGTTTTCCACCCCATCATGTACCTGCCAAACAACGATCATGGGCAGCAACTCATGATGATGATGATGACGATGACGATGACGATGTAGCGAAGCAATTAAGTAGCAGTAAGTAGCAGTAAGAAGTGCTAACGCACCACCGCAACAACCCAACAGGTCCTCCAAAAGGGAAAAGACTCGGTGCTCCGCAAGCACTCCAAGAACTCCACCGAGGAACCTCGCTGGCACGAGGAGCTAGCGTCGGATGCTGAGGCTTTTGTATGTCGTCCCCTCCTCCCCTCCTCCCCCCCCTCTTCTCTTGTGCGGAGGTGACAAGAGAACAACCACGAGTGGCTAACAGTGTGTGTGTGGCTGTAGGTCAAGGCCCAGCGCGACGAGATCAACGGTGTCCACGAAGAAATCTCCGAGCTGCAGAAGCGCACCACGCCGAAGCCCAAGCGCGACTCGTAGATTTAAAGTAATTTGCATAATGTGACATTTTTCCTTTTTCCTTTTTTCGTATGGTTGTATTATTTGCATATGTCAAGTAGGATGTATTTACTCTAGTGGTGGTGGTTTGTATCGAAAAGTAAGGTTCATTGATTTGGTTGGGCTCCCTTTTTTGTGTGTGTCCTTTTTGGGACCAGACTGGACTGGATGCGACTGGATGGATGGATGGGGGACCTGGTTGGGTGTATTTGTATTTTGTATATGGAAATTGAATCGTTGGCAAACATTCCAAATTCCGCATATAGAGTAGATATATATCAAAGTAAAAAAATTATCATAGCTTACGGGGGCTGCATACAATTAATGAATTATCAAATCAATCATATCAAAGTAAAAAAAAACTCACTTGTGCTTTTTTTTTTTTTTTTTTTTTTTTTTTTTGCTTTCAACATATAAGCTACCTACTCTCGAGCGTTAACTTAAATGTCGAAGAGTCTCAATCAATCAATACGTGAGTAGAAGTGATAGCGAAGGAGGGAAATGATTTCTAGTGACTGAAAAGAGAGAGAGGGCCAATCTGCGCGAATATATAATATATATCAAAAAGAAAAGAAAAACTCCCGATTTAAAGCTTAAAGTAACTCAAAGTCCGCACCTATGATTTTTATTCAAAAAGCAAGAAGAAAAAAAAGTAGAAGAAGTAAGAAGAGAGAAAAAAAGAGGACCCTGTACCCAAAACTCCAGGAGAGAAAAGGAAAAAAAATAAAAAATAAAAACCCCAGGTAAAAGTATCTACATCCACTCTAAAGTCAGCAATCCATCCATGAATCCATCCAAACCCACTCCCCCTCCAACCCCCCAGGAAAAGAGCCACCTACCACTTCAACACAGCAATCAACACCACCAACACCACAATCAACACCACAATCACCACCAAGCTCCCATTCTCCTTCACCCCCCTCTCCACCACGCCGCCCAGCCGCCTCCTCGCGCCGCCCAGTCGCTCCGTGTGGCGCTCCACCAGCTCATCCACCCCGTCCAGCAGCTGCACATGGCCCTCCAGCTCATCGCCAATCTGGATACTCAGCTCGCGCTGGTTCCTGATGCTCGCCGACAGCCGGTCGAGGTCCTCGTCCTGCTCCTCGAGCACCCGCTGGTGCAGCTGCAGCACCTGCGTGTTGTCGTCGAGGTCGCTGAAGCGCACCGTCTTGCGCAGCGAGGAGGGCGTCTCGCGCGCGCCCATGAGCGCTTCGCGCGCGGCCGTGTCGGCGCTGGGGGAGCGCCGGAGGGGCGCGATGGAGGTGGTGGGGGCGGGGGCGGGGGCGGGGGCGGGGGACGGCGGGGAGGGGGAGGGCGGGTGTGTGAAGAGGGAGTGAAGGTCGTGGTGTTGCGTGCGGAGCTTGATTAGGATGTCTTCGCGCTCGCGGAGCACTTGGGAGGTTCTGTGTGCATGGCGTCAGTATGTTTTCCCCCCTGTAGTGACGTAGGATGGTAGCTTGGAGGGGAAGGGGGCGCGGGGAGGGGAGGGGAGAGGGCGGGGGAGAGGGAGAGACGAACGAGTCCCCATGTTCCTCGAGCTGCTGCTGCTCCTTCTCGAGCTGCTCGATGCCCGCGTGGAGCGTGCTGAGGCTGCGGGCGATGTCGGCGTCGGACTCGGGGGTGCGGGCAGCGCCGGCGCGGGAGTGTAGTGTCTGCCGGATGTGGTCTTGGAGGAGCGTGAGGCGATCGGCGGTGGTGCTTGCCATGCTTGCTGCTGCTGGTGGGTGAGTGAGTGTGAGTGTATGATAGTGATAGTGTGGTGATAGTAGTGGGTGGTGAGTGAGTGGTGGTGGTGGTGGTGGTGGTGGTGGTGGTGGGTGATGAGTGGTGAGTGGTAAGTGGTAAGTGGTTGGTTGGCGGGAGATGGTTGCAGCGGTGGAGGTCGGAGGTTGTGGTCGGGGATGCGTACGTGGGTAGGGGTGTTGATGGTAGAGTATGCATGGGTATGCCGGTGTCTGTGCTGCAGCGGAGGTCTGAACAGAGCAGAGCAGAACCAGTTAGATGCGAGAGGTGCGAGTGCGAGTGAGAGTGAGATGGCTGGATGAGGTAAAGTCTACATGGCTAATATAATATTTGCACTCTCTCTCTCTCATTCTCACCCTGCACTCTGCCCGCCCTAATCTATATTTCCATTCGTAAATTGATATTGGTATTGGTGCTTGATTGATTGCATTAACCTTGGGGAAACATAGCATGGCCGGGGTAAATAGAATATGTATTGCATTGCAGAGAGTCCTAGCTCCAGGCCTTGATCTATCTGGAGATTGCCAGCCGGGCATGGCAGGAAACAAGAAAAAGAGATTCACGAATCCCAAATGTCTCATAAAATTCCCCATTGGATAAATTATTCATTGCGAAACATGTGAGTGAGAGTGAGTGATCTACATTGCACTTCACTTCACTGCACTGCACTGCATTGCGATGACCGCGGGGGAGGGAGAGGGGACCAAGCAGATACAATTTCATGTAATTTGACCATTGGCCTATCTGCTCTACTCTACGTCTGGGGGAGTTTCACACCCTACTCTGCGTACGTACTCTATTAGTATTATTGTCCCAGAAGAACACTTGCACCGTATTCTAGCCCCGGTCGTCGGTCGGCATCTGACGTGTGTGGTGCATGCATTGCATTAAAGTAATATTATTGTATGTCCTGTCCTGTCTTGTCGGCCACGAGCTGTCATTATTTAAATTGTCGAGTCAATGCTTTATGAAACGTTGGTTTTGTGGTTTAATTGGGCTGTTGTGAAATCTGGGGTTGTGGGTGTCTGTGGCCCGGGGCTACATTGCTAGCTGTCTATCAATTGGCGATGTAGGCACTAGCATAAATATGAAATCAGTTCGCGGCATCATATCATCGTGAGTACTGAGTGAGTGAGTGAGTGAGTGAGTGATTTTCTTTTCAGAACCAATGTCATCATGTAGAGTAGCTACATAGCTAGTCTAGTCTAGTCTACGATAAATACAAATGCTCTACATACATACTCTGCAGCCGTATATTGGTAGAGGATAATCTTATTTTTTCCTGGTTTATGCACGAGGAGCCACATGATATGATCCCGCACCCCGCAAAGGATTATTCCGGCTTCAATGGATGGATGGAAGAAAGGAGGGAGGGAGGGAGGGAGGGGCGTGCATGGAAGAGCTAGAGGTTCCCGAGTCCCTGTTTTTGGTCTTGTTTGATCAGCGTCCGGTGTCTATCTACATAATCTATCTGCTATCTCTATCGCGAGTGTGGATGTGTGTGGCTACTGAGCATGGACTGGACTGGACTGGACTGGACTGGACTGGATTGGAACGCATGCATTGCATACCCTATGATTGAGTTATGTATGCGGGCCCGTGGCCCACTACTGGCAGCTTGTGCTGGAGAGAAGAGCGAATGGGGATGTCTTGTGGGGAAGAGTGAGGGCGGGTGAGAGAAGAGCTAGAGCTAGAGAGAAGTGCTTGACACCTCACAGCCTCTCTCGCACACACACACACACACACACACACACCCCTCACATCACCTCACCCTCACCCTCACCGACAGACACACAACAGACATACCCGAGTAGTACCGCACCCGCACCTATAGCCAAACCCGCTATACTTTCACCCGCCCTCGCCCTCGCCCTCGCCCTCGCCCGCCACACTACTCCACTGATCACCGCCCGCCCCCAATGACAACCCCCACCAACACCACCAACACCACATCCTCCACCTCCACCACCACCACCACCACCACATCAACAACAACTTCCCCCTCCACATCATCACATCCTCCATCCTCAACCTCCGTCTCAACCCTCGACCTCCACAACCTCACCTACCTCACCCCCACAGACGACAACCTCCAATGCCCCATCTGCCACTCGCCCCTCCTCGACCCCGTCACCACAAACTGCCGCCACACCTTCTGTGCGCCCTGCATCGCCTCCTCACTCGAGCACTCGGCCTCATGCCCCGTCGACCGCAAGCCATTGACGCCCGACGGCGTCTCGCCCGCCCCAATCATGGTTGCCAGTCTCGTCAACGACCTGCTCGTCCTCTGCCCCAACGCCGAGCTCGGCTGCCCGACAACCTGCGCGCGCTACCTCCTCGCCGGTCACCTCCGCGACGCTTGCGGCTTCGTCGAGGTCAAGTGTAGCGGCTGTGATGACCTTGTGCTGAGGAAAGACGCCGCCGAGGAGGACTGCATGCACCAGGTGCTCGAGTGTGCGTACTGCTTTGAGAGCTTCAGGAGGATCGATATGGAGGTTCCTCCCCCTCCCCCTCCCCCTCCCCCCACCCCCGCTCTAAGACAGAAAAAGCTAACCCCGCAATCCCCCCCCCCCCCCCCCCCACACAGGTGCACGAATCTCACTGCCCTCAGATCCTCGCCGAATGCCCCTACTGCACCACCGAACAAACGCGCGCCACCATCACCGCCCACACCGCCGCCTGCCCCTCCGCACCCACGCTCTGCCCCGCCAGCACCATCGGCTGCCCATGGGCCGGCGCGCGCCGCGACCTCCCCGCCCACACCTCCCTCTGCGCATTCACGCTGCTCCGCCCCGTGCTCGCCGCCCACACGGCGCGCCTCGAGACGCTGGAGCTCGAGAACCGTGCGCTGCGCAAAAAGATCGACATCCTGCTGCCGCCCGGGCGCGACGACGACGGCCCCGTGTACGACGACCAGACGATACAGCTGCTGACGGAGCAGGAGCATCTGCGCGGCGATGTCGAGAGGCTGAGCGCCAGTCTGGGCGAGATGGAGATTAAGCAGAGTATGCTGCTGATGAATGAGACGCTGAGGACGAAGGAGGAGATGGCGGGGATGAGGGCGGCGATTAATGGCATGAGGATGCAGATTCATTGGTTGTTGACGGCGAGGCTGCAGAGGGCGGGGCCGGGGCCTGGGGAGAGGGCCGAGGCGGGCGCGGGGAGTGTGAGGAGGGTGACGGAAGGGGGGGCGGCGGGGTCGCAGGGGGTGCAGGGGGATAGGGTTAAGCTTTAGAGTGGCCGGGGGTGTTCTTTGGGTTTGGTGCGGCGTTTGTTTCACTTTTTTTTTCCCTTCTTTTTTTCCTTCTTTTTGTGGTGTGTGGTTCTTTGCTTCTTATTCTTTTTGATGTGGTTCTCTTTTGTACTTCTTCATGGTCCTTCCTTTGCCCGTGGGTTAGAGGGCCGCTTTGTATTTACAATTATAGCATGGCATTATTAGTGGTTTTTTTCTCTCTCTCTTGTTTCTCTCTCTCTCTCTTCCGTAGTCTTTTTTATAGTTTTTATTTATAACCACATGCATATATAGGTTCTGAATGCATTACATCAGCTATATGTTGCTTTTTTTTATCCGTTTGTTGGCGGTTACATTACAATAGTTGTTCCGTTATTGGTGGTGGGGAATGGCCGATTTCGTCCCGAGTGAGACCCCATGACCCTGCCTCTAGGAGGCTAAGATGACCTCCGGTGCAGATATATTAGGCACTGTAGAGTATATCCCGACGGCTTATTCTAGCTGCTCCATCGACTAGAACCAGGCCGGACTAGAACAGCGGGATATATTCAAACACCCAGCCTGAGAGCGCCCACAGTATGTACAGCATTGGTATATAATGTGTACATGTAGTGATTGAGTGTATATAGCCTCCCTAGCTGGGGTTGATGACGATGGTTGTGGCATGCGCTGGACACTGGCTACTGGAGTACATGTATGTACTTAGCACCTGGCCAGCTAGCTGGATGGGCCGTGGTTGGTGGTAATGATCAAAAAACATGCCCTTTAATAAATAGACAGGGGTGCTTATCGATAAGTACAGTAACCGCAATTAACTGAGATCAGTGGGCGGGCAAGGTTCGAAGGCAGAACGGCGAGGGAAAAGAAAGAAAAAACGCGTTACATGGGGTGATCATGAAGGAATAATTTCTCAAACCCCCCCCCGATATAGATTTAAAATACACTATCTAGAAACACGAACTGCCCGGCCCGCAAATGATAAAGGAACTACATGTTATATTACCGTCTGATCTAGCTACAAAAGAGAAGGTATTCCGGCCCCCCCCCCCCCCCTTAGCTCCCTCTTCTAACCCCCCGGAAAGTCTAGCCCACCACACGGCCCTGGAACTGTAGCTTTGCGGTACCCACTGCCCAGAAAATGGAATGGGGGAAAACCGTTGGAGAGACAGAGAGAGGAGGGGGGGGGGGGGGTTCAACTCAGGTCCTGCCCTCCCGCTGAAGGAGAGGAAAGACAGAAAGTTAGACGATGAGATGGGAAGAGGTGGGAATATATAACAGGTGGCAGGATTTTCCAAGCCTAGAATGTGACCGCTAGTGGAAGGGAAGGGTGAGGTGGGCGGTTCGAGTGGACTGTGGACAGGCCGAGCCCGCACATAGCTCCACTCGAGGAGTTCCGGGTCCGCTGTGTTTCGGGAATAACGGAACACTAGACTATGTAGTTGTCTGTCTAGAATGTGGGCTTGAATCTGTTCTAAACTTATGCGCGGAAAATATGTTTTGAGAAAACTGTGTTTCACATATTCACTGTTATAATAGCGCAGGAATTACATTAACAAATTCAGCCGATACCTGGAGGATTTATAGGAGACGTCGGGAGGGGTCCATATCAAATAATAATGTGTAAACTCTTTCGTAGTTTATATTAAACTAAATGTATGGAGTTTTTCACGAAATTTCCAGTTTAATTGAAACTACATTTAAACCATTTTGTAGTCTAGTCGACTAGTACATATAGTTTAAATTAAACGAGCTTAACCTTCGCGAAAACCTCGAGAAACGCCGTTTACTATAAAACTAATCTGTAGTTTATTATAAACATTTATCAAACTATAAGGTAGTGTCGCTTAAACTCAGCTGTAGTCTCAATCAAACATAGGTGTAGTTTCAAATAAACTACGGTTAAACTCCATCTTAGTTTCAACATAGTTTCGTTTAAACTACGCCTTACTAAGTAATTTTCTACGCTGGTGTAGTTTATTCTGGGCCAAGCCTTGTGGTTTATTCTAAACTAAGGTTATTTGTACATACTACGGGGGTGGGGACATTCTTGTGAGATAGCTTAGAAGTAAGATTATTCTACCATTCTGTAAAGTACTATTATAGGGAATTATTATTCTTTCCCTCTAAATTTATATAAATCTCCCCATTTGTAGAGATATACTGATCATGATAAGGACCCCCGGGATCCGAGTCGGTTGCAAGCTGTGAATAACATCCGAGAATGTCCTAATACGTCCTACTTGGCTAGTTAGGCTATGTTGTTTGAACCCCGGCCGGCCAACTTAGCCTTAGATATTTTGTGCGTTGGGGGTTTTTGACTTTAGGGTCATGATGGGGCACTGGGGAGTGTACCAGTGGCCGGTATGGGAGCGGGATGGCGGCGATAGGACGGTAAGAGTACTAGTAGTAGACCTTGGGGCCAAGACGAGTGTTTGGGTCAAGTGAGGTCTAGTGAAGGAGGGGCGAGTGATGGAGGGGCGAGTGATGGATGGTGTTGGTGGAGACGAGTGATGTTGTGTGATTCGTGCAGCCATAGCTAGCTGGCTGGATACTTGGGTCTTCTTTCCTATGGCCCTGAGTTGTGATGCCATTTCCTCAGAAGTAAAACGCAGAAACACACAGTTTCTGCAGAAGCAGCTAGAAACAAAGGGCTATATCCAGAAACGAAACCCACTGCACTGTCGATGTTGTAGTTGCTGCAGGACGGAGGTTCAACCAGACACCCCATTTTGTCGCCTGAGCGATCATTGGCACCACCAACCATCCAGATAGGTCCCCACATACATGATGGCCCGCTCCTGCAGTGATAAAAAAAAATTGTACCTTACTTCTTGTACCTACCTTATTGTACAGCACAGTAACCACATGACTGCACAGTCCCGCGAGTCATTCTGCCCTCTTGATTGGACCCGTTCTTCCGGCAGCTGCTCTATCAATCTATTTCAACCTGGTTGCGGAAGATTCCGAGGTGCCCTGCGTCTCTGAAAATGACACTTGGAGAGCAGTGTTAGGAAGCCGACTATTTCCGGCGACAGCGACGGCGACGACAGCATCTAAGGGGGTGTTTTGTTTGCATATGTATCCGCGGAAGGGCCATTTTTTATTTTTTTCTTTGATTATCTTTATTTGTTTTTTGATGGTTGATATGAGAGCTCAGGTTACAATTGTTGTCGTTGTGCGGAGAGCTAGGTAGAGTAACAGCAGAGAAGGTTAACAACGCGAGGCACGTTACATTTTGGGTAGGTCTTGGCGGAGGGGTCCCGCACCCCCGCACACCCGTTTGGTTACGGACTCTGAGCGCTCATTCTTTTGCGTGCGCGGAATGCGTTAGATTTATTTCTGGACACGGCAGCCACCACCCAACTTACCGTCTTCTTGTCACAATCTTGGCCCTGACCTGCGTCCTGGTTCTTCTTCCTTCCTTTTTATACCCTCGTCGCCTTACCTTACCCTGCCCCACCACCAACCTTGAATCAGCAGAGATCACAGGAACGAAAGGAAAACAAAAAGAAATAAAAAAAGTGCTTAGGAAGAAAGTATTAACTAATACCAAATATGGAGCAGGAGTGAGTTTTCTTTCTCCTTTGCATCTGAATATCCATAGTCTGATGTAACTGCTGACCCACGAAACACCAGGATTCTTCGTCTTCTGGGCGAACTCCAGTCTACCGCCGAGGGCCCTCGGCGGAATGCGGAAACCCAGATTACCGCGTTGTACGCCAATGATGGTTCGTTTTCGACCTCAATTTCCCTTTGGGATGCTGTGCACCTTTGCGGATACTGATGTAGTGGCTAGCCTTGCCTGTTGCCCTCATGAACATTGCGTCTGCGCAGCAGCTCGATATGACTGCTCGCCAGGCGGCCCTATTGATTCTGAAGCGCTATGTCCAGCACTGCTGGAGCCCAAGCTTTGAGGAGTTCAAGGGACAGCTGGTCAGGGACGATGTCAAGGCCCAGATGAGGGTCGCACTGCTGGGTCTTGTTACGGACGAGCAGAGGAAGATTAGAGCGGCTGCTTCATACGTCGTCAGCAAGATCGCGAGTCAAGGTTCGTGATCAGTAGTGGAATTGGTGCATTGGGACGAAGTGTGTGTGTGTGTGTGTGCGTCTGGTGGTTAATCGATCAATTGAGGACAGATTTTCCGGAGGAGTGGCCGACATTGGTGCAGGACCTATTGAAACTGATCTCTGAGGGGAGTGAATCACAGGTTCATGGAGCTTTGCGTGTGCTCAGTGGTGAGTTTTTCCAGTGCGACGAATTCCACGCGGGTAGTTTGGAAGCTTACACATAGCTTTGTAGATCTTATCAACGATGGATTCTCGGATGAACAGTTCTTCTCAACCGCCAAAGCCCTTATCTCGGTCGTCTACGGCGTTGCTACACATCAGTCAAGGAACTACTCTATCCGTGCATTGGCCGTGCATGTGTTCTTTGCCTGCATTGAGATGCTAGAGATGGTGAAAGAGGACCACCCAAACGCCGTTAATGATTTCGCAAAGGAGATTCTCGATCTCTGGGTCCCATTCTTTGTCAATACTCTTTCTGGCTCTTTCCCGGAGACCGACGATATTACTTTCGACGGTGTTGTGACTCTCCGCATCCAGATTATCCGGACCATCATGCAGATCCGCAAAGTGTTTGGCTCACTCCTTGCTCCATTCTTGGGTCAAATATTTGCGGTTACTTGGCAGGAGCTTAATATTGTCAAGGATCGCTATGTCCGTGACTTTGTGATAAATGAGACCGAAGGGAAACTTGTTGATCTAGACAGCTTGCCGTATAGTTTGGATCTTTTGGTTCTGGAACAACTGGATTTCATTCAGACTTGCTTAAAAAACAAGGCTGTGAGGGATGAGCTGGCACGTGTGAGTGCTGGGGGTGGAACGGGTTCGCCATTGGTCCAAATGGTGAATGCTACTGTTGCACTGAGTCAGGTTGCGAGCGAGGATGAGGGCATGTGGGAGGTTGATTTGAACGTTTTCCTGTGCGAGGAGACTTCAAT